GGGGGGGCTCCTGCTTCGGGCCTACGTGATAGGCCAGAGAGGACACAGGAGAGGAAGTAGCCTTGGAACTGAATGGTTTAATCCGGCAATGCTGTTACTGTGAAAGAGACTTGAAACTGCGAGACGGTCAGTTCCTTATCCATACGACGTGAATGGGAATTTTCGGCTTAGATGTCCATCTTTCTCTTGAATCTATACAGGAGGACGCGAACACAGTGCTTTTAATTTGCTCTGGGCAAAAAGTAAAATTATGTTTTCTTCTGGCAAGTAGAACTGATAATTGAAACTTTTTCGAGGATTTGTACAGGCGACTGAAGTTCGTGTGAGATTCTTGCCACGAATGAACTTACCGAACTTATTAAAAGCCTTAATTCGGCAAAGAACTGCATGCGTTCCTCGTGTCCCGACTTCTCTGCTGTTGCTAGAAAAGATTAGATACCAAAAGCCGGTTGGGCCTGACTTGTATCAATGCTTGTTAGTGAAATGACCGATGAAAAACTGTATTTCAGTGTTGTCGACTATTACAAAGTCCTTGAACTTATCAGTCTGAATTGCCTTCATACTAAAGAGCAGTTTTACCATACCGACAGGAGCAGCTATGTAAATCTTGGTGTGATATATTTGTCAGTTCTTTGACCACTCTCTTAATATTGTATAAGAGAATTAGCTTTGTCGTCGTAATGTCCAAAGTTACGGCGACATGGGGCTATTGAACTGACACATTATCGTCCTTAACAATGTTCCATTATCCTGCTTACTACAATAAATTTTTTAAAGTACATTGTTTGAGTGTATTAATTATAATTGTGCTGTTACAACCCCGGCGTCAGAGCGCCCGCGCCTTTCCTTGAAGTCCAATGATTCCCTTCCTCCCCCTGACCAATCACAGCGCGAGCTGTTCCAGATTTACTCTGTACCGTTCTACAGATACATTGTCTTCTGAGAACTCGAGATAATTCATGTTCGTACTGTTAATTATCAAGGGCACCTTTGGGATGTGAGAAGTTGCATCCGTAGTTAAACCATGAGAACATGAAGTCATAAAAGAGAAAGTAAAGTTATCGCTGTAACAGGCCGTAGAGGCCGATAGGGTTGTGAGACGTCGAGGTGCCCCATTCTCTAAATAATTGGATCACAGATGGCGGTAAGGTTGTCAGCCTTACGCTCCGGCCCCCTTTATCCCCAAGAAGATTTCTGGTGCTCATTTCTGTCAGAGGTTGAGTTGACACCAGGGCCATAGTGCGGCAGGAAGGATTCGGTCAATTGAAAAATCCGATAACCTCATCGGGAAGTGAACCCGCGACCTTCCGGCTAGTGGCATAGTGCTTCAACCAACTACGCTACCGCGTAAAATGGCAGTACCTGTAAATATGTGGAATGTAATGTAAATTGTAAGCATGTTAATGATTTCCTCGTCTCCCCCATCCGTGCTACATGACCTGCCCACCTCATCCTCCTCGACTTGATCATTCTAATTATACTTGCAGAAGAGTACAAGTTATGAAGTTCCTCATTATGCAGTTTCCTCCAATCTCCCGTCACTTCATCTCTCTTCGGTCCAAATATTCTCAACACCCTGTTCTCAAACACCCTCAGTCTATGTTCCTCCCTTAATGTCAGAGACCAAGTTTCACACACAGTTTGTAGGATACGATTGGTAAAGTCAGATATTATCTTCTCTTGAGGTGGCCTGTGTTGAATCCTTACGAAGCCCCCTTCTTGAGAAGCCAGCAATTGCTCAGCCACTCAAGAAATTCCGAGCATAATACGAAAGCCAAAGGTTATTTACCGTGAAGAGTTATATCTCAGAATACAGAACTCTTCATAACCACCGCTGCGGGAACCTAAAATCCTACACTGAGTTCTTAACCGCACTCACAAGAGCCCGCCACTGTTTCCTATTATGAGCCAGAAGAATCGAATCCACATCCTCCCAATTCCAGGACCATATTAATACTATCTTCCTAGTGGTCTTGTTAAGGAGCCGGGCTAGCGCAGTCGGTATAGCGACTGACTACTGGCTTGACGGCAGAGGGGTCGGAGTTCGAGTCACGGTAGGGTCAAGAATTTTCTTTTTTCCACGTCGTCCAGACAGTCTCTGGGGCCAACCCAGCCTCAAATCCAATGGGTATCGGGGGCTCTTTCCCCGGGAGTAAAGCGGCCGGTGCGTGAAGCTGGCCACTCACCTCCAACTAGTGCCGAGGTCAAGAAAACTTGGATCTATACATCCCCTCCCCCATACGCCTTCATTGCATAGTGCTGCATTAGTTATGCACAGCGACAACTTTACCTTTTCCTAACGATATGCCTTGGTGACGAAGGACGAATCACATTGTAGAAATAGTGCGCGCTTCATTCCCATTGGCTGAAGATTCCATATTGTCAACTACAGCTGGAAGTTTCGGTAGCATTCGGGAGTTTGGGCCTTAAAAATGATAAAGAACATGCTGTTGTGCTGTTGCCGACCATCCACGAAGGGTGCAAGCCGTGGTGTGTGGTAGTTCGGTGTTGGTAGACGATGAGTGAAGGAGTTTAACGGTAATAATTAGCTTTCATTTAGCTGGGAAGTGTTACTTGGGCGATTAAACAGAACAGTACAAATGTTGGGAACAGTTAGAAAATGTGGTGTCGCCCTTGCGCAAACATCCTGGAAAGAGGGCCGAAGATGTGTGTCAGGGACTGCTTCTATTGCTGGTAGCAATCAGATTACAAGTATAAGAAATGATGGCAAAAATACTAGTTTTAGCAATGATGGAACTTCCCGATTAGTGTATCAGTGCAAATCATATCGACCCAGAAGTCACTCTCGGTGAGTTACTAAAGCTGCAAAATTGTTGTACGTTTTAAGCATTTCGTTTAATTAAGGGATAGTGTGTAATGGGCCCTAACAAGAAAGAAGATTTCAGTTTGTTTTAATATTATATGTGAGAGTGGCTAGAGCTCATTGAATTTGATTTTGAAAGATTATACACCACCAGAATAACAAAACAACAGTATTAACATGACAGCTAAAAGCGAAAAAAAATGTAATAAATTACCCATGGGCGATAGGTATGTGGGGACGCATTCTTGTAGAGATGCATTTTTAACTGCGAGAAATATACCAGGTTTGGATATATCGGTGTATAAACGTAGATAAAATACGTACTTTGTAATGTAATAATACAATTTTCGTTGTACTATTACCAGAACTGGAATGTCACAAGCAGAACTAACACCAGTGATTACATTATGGGTCAACCACCCAAATTTTCAGCCTGCTGTGTCCTTAACCTATAAAAATAGGAATCATTCGGAATGCATGTTTTAACCAGATGTAGTGTTCAAATGATGTAACTTGTTTAGCCCTCAGGTGTTCTATTCCCAAGGCAAGAATCACTTCCTATTTCAGTACTTGATTGAGAGGCATACCTCTATTGTGTGTTGCTTTAGAGGTGTAAATGATTGTAGTGGTATTGGTTATTTCATTAGTGTATCTGCCGTCTTGTAGGTCACTGTCAACAGCTAGTTCACCATCTATTCCATTAGCAATTAGTGGGACAGTGGCAACAAAAGATGAAAGCCGAGATTTTATGGCTGTGTTTCCTGATGTAGTGAGAGATCTGACTGAAACAGGAAGGCATTTAGACATTCCAGATGCTACAAAATGGTTTGCAAAAGTGAGTATGCCAGTAAGACGAGAATTTGTATTCAATATATCTGTAGACTTGGTGGTCATAATTTTGTCTTGATTTGTAACATCCAATTCAACCACAAGAAATGGCAGAGATTATTCAGTAATAAATAATAGGACCATTGGTATGAAGTGAGCTCACAACTCTCACAAAAGAGATTTAAAGCATAATTTTATATAAGGAAGGAGAAACGAGGTTTTTGCATGAATGAAATTAAATGAAAAGTGTTCCATGCTGGCCCTTACTCATACCAATACATCGATAAAGTGAATAAGAATTGACTGAAGGCAATATAATGAATATGAGTGGATTTCTTTCATGAGTATGAAGTGAAAATAAATGCAGACAGAGGATATTACGGTGTTGTGTTTGGCAGGTGTAAGCTTATAAATGAAAATGTATGCAGAAGGCAGAAAACTGCAAAAGAGTACAGTTAAGTAAAACTGAGTGTCTTGTTTTCAATGTTTCAAGTTGAACTGTATAAAGTTGCAACTGTATAAAGTTAACACTAAATGTCAGTATATAGAGGTATACAAAATCTGGGGTTAAATGGTTAAAGCATTTAGTGACTGGAACATTCCTTGGAACTGGCCACAGTCACTGGAAATAAAGCTGGCATGAAGGCAAAAAGAAATTTTGGCTTTTTTGGCTGTCAGTTTGGGGACACCACAAGAGTGTGGTTTATGTGATACCTCCATTACTCATAAGAGAACAGACAGAAAGTTAGGAAGTCAGTTGTGATGAGCGGTTTTCAGAATTTTCCAGCTCGTTTGCTACAGACTCACTCCGAACCGTGTTTCCCACTTGGCACGGTGTCCATTCTCACATTCACATTTAGATATGGGGAGAAAGCTCTCTGTATATGAAGATGGTCCAAGCTGTGGTCCCTTCTCAACTTCGTTTAATTTTTTTGTGGTTTATTTTATATTACTGTCAGTATCCAGACTGTACATCATCGGATAGCAGGATAACTGATGATTTGGAAAGAATTTGGAAGGACGTGGTCATGGTCTGTTCAAGGTGGTATCCCATCATTTTCCTTGAGGGACTGAGGAAAACCATGAAAGCTGCATTCATGATAGCTGGTGTCTCAGTCAGGATTCAGATAAAGCACCTCCTGAGTACAAGTCTAGACTGTTACCACTGCAGCAGTCTGTTTGGTATACAGTTGTCGTTTGCTGCTTAGGTGTTTTAAGAATGAAAATTTTTATAATAGAACTTGTATAAATCCACCATTATTGCAAAACTGAAGAATGTCAGTCAAACAATATTTCATTGTAATGATATAATTTCCAGTTTCACAGTGATTTCCTGTGCTCTTTAGCAACCTTGGGGAAAAATAACATGAAACTTCTCATTACCGCCCTCACCAGGTTCAAGCTTCTACCTTTTTTTAATTACCATTATTTGTAAGTCACAAATATGCCAACAAATTCAGCATGAAACATTTTACATTTTTTATATCTTAAATGATAATAAACATGGTGGTGAGCAGTATTTTCAGGTTGTCTGTCAACTTTCATGTGCAGGTAATTCATACTAGTGGACACATTGCATAAAGATATATAGAGTTAAGCTGTCAGTTTACAGTTCATGCTACAGTTGAGTCAATGAAATAATGTACACAGATTCCCCCCTCAGATGTCTGCAAATCAGCTGCCTTTTCCAGTCCCACCAGTTGTCACCATTTGTAGGACCTGCAGTGTAAGTGTGAATGAATGAATGAAAGATAGGCCAAATCGACCCATAACAATGGAAATATCTGTGCTCTGTTGTGTGTCCCTTTCTAGTTAGTCTCACTTTTCAAATGAAATGTAGTGCTTTACTTAATGGGGTGTCTAAGCAGTTGTAAAACTGAAAAATCTGCTCAGTAAAACTGAAAATCCATTAGCTAAAACTAAAAAATCCGCTCGCTAAACCTGAGAATTCTGCTTTTTAAAACTGTAAAAAAAAACCCTCACTAAAACTGAAAACTCCCCTCAGTAAACCTGAAAAAAAAAAGTCGCTTGTTAGAACTGAAAAAACCGCTCTTTAAAACTGAAAATGTGTTCAATAAAGCTGAAAAATCTGCTCGGTAAAACTGAAAACAAAAGCGCTCGCTGAAACTGAAAGAGCCGCTCCAGAAAACTGAAAGATCTGCTTGGTGAAACTGAAAAATTCGCTCAGTATAACTGAAAATCTGCACAGTAAAACTGAAAAATCTGGTTGGTAGAACTGAAAAATCCGCTCAGTAAACCTGAAGAATGTGTGCAGTAAAGCTGAAAAATCCCCTCGCTATTTATGCACAAGTGAGTGAGCAAGACTGTTGGTGTGTGAATGGAGGAACTGTAACACCAGAATAGCATGGGGAGTGGCATGATGCCTGGAACAATGTACAGGGAGTGAAATATACATANCTGAAAAATCCCCTCGCTATTTATGCACAAGTGAGTGAGCAAGACTCTGTTGGTGTGTGAATGGAGGAACTGTAATACCAGAATAGCGTGGGGAGCGGCATGATGTGTGGAACAATGTACAGGGAGTGAAATATACATGTTTCTTGATCTGTGACAAGTGTTACTTCGCTATATGTTGAGCTGAGTTTGGTATTATTAAGTAGAGGATTTGTATGTGGTCAGAAGGAAAGGAAGTACATGTATAAGCCTTCATCTCAAGCTCATCAAGGTTTTTCTGCTTCACCCTGATCATCAAGACCAAGCCCAGAGTGAGGTTGAATGATATGCTGTCTTGTCCTGCCCCGTCAAAAAGAGTTTCTCAATTTCACCTAAAGAAAAATTGCATCAGAGGTTACAATTTGGTAAGATTTGTGCCTACTCAGGAGTTCACAACAGAAGGATCCTATTTTCTGTTTCCTCCAAGTATTTTTTCTTGTAATAGTCTTTGAAGAGGTATGTCAATTAAAAGACTTACAAATTGGTTTTATTTTTATATCTAAAATTTTAATTTAAAAGAGGCTATAGAGGCAACATGGGAAATACCTTGAACTTTCGGTGTGCACTGGGAAAGAATATTGTCACATTTTTTATGGAGTGGACACTAGGTGTTCTTAGTCTGTTAAAATCTTCAGTGCCATTGTTTGGTAGTGAGTTCCAATGCTGGATGTTCCCCTTCCTCTGGGCTCCCGAACTGCACCCAGCCTCAGCTACCAGCTTCTAACAGCAACAGCTTGGAACAACTGAACCACAGTGGTTCTCTAAATAACTCACTGACAAACTGACTTGCTTATTTTGTGGCTCTTGCCTAGCAACAGGTCTGCATGCCACAATATTAAGACCCTATGTGGTACAAAGATTATGAATGCCAATCAAATAGATTTGGATTATTTCCTGGAAACTGTTACTGTGTTAATTTGGTGTGGATATTACACTGTTTATGAAATAATAATGATGAATATGTTCGTGCATAAGTTATGACCAGATAATCAGGGGTAAACAATGAATACATAATTCTGTACAGTGGCATATTGTCTAAGCAGTATCTTAAAATCCTCTACAGTGAAATGTGAAGATTATTGCTGTTGCAATAAAATCCAAGAATATGATACTGGCCTGAATGAGTACAGTCCAGTTCACATTCCCACAGCTTATTTTCTGAGAATTATTATAATCATATGATACTATCTGTGTCTAGATCCTTCAGGTGGTCTCTAGCCATGTATACATTTTTTGCCTCTATTTTCTTAGATGTATACTGACTAATAATTTTGGGTGAAACATACAAATTATGAACCTCTTCTAAATCTATGTTTTCAGGTGTTGCAGTATAATGTTCCTGGAGGAAAAAAGAATCGAGGCTTGGCCTTGATTTATGCTTATAAGGCGTTGGCAGGAAAAGATGAACTCACTCCAGAAAACATTCGCTTGTCTCAAATAATGGGCTGGTGTGTGGAAATGGTAAGAAAAATATGTGATTATTTGCTAAGTGTCACAAAAATGCCTCAATATGCCTGGGAGTAATAAATTGTTAAAAATGAAATTTATTTTTTAAAACTGTTTATTTCTGAAGACAGAATACCAAAACTGTGCAAGAACTAACACTTGTTTTGCAAGTTACTTTTGGTTGAGTTTTAATACATTCAGTTTAATTTCATGTTACAACATTATGATGGATAGAGAAATAATATAAAATGTATTGTACTGGATGTATTGAAACAAGTAGGTATGTATGTAACTGCTTTGGCTGTATAAATGTATGTAAACTGTAAGAGGCATTGTCTGTCCCTTTGTCTGACTCTTATGTACAACTGGTAGTCAGGAAGTAAGTTTACAAGGCACGTACAACATTGTCTTCTTCATTTCATTATCATTCCTGGATATCCTCGCAGTAGTTCATCTTCATTTCCATGCATTTTGTTTGAAATTCCATTTTTTGATGCACAAAACCAACCAAAATCAAATTCCAGACCCTAGAATGGTCACCATAGGTTGCTTACAGCCACATCAAGTGAATGTATCATACTTGTCATAGTGTGACGCTAGTGTCACAGTTTCTTGTATGAAGTGTCATCTTCACTTCATTGGTTGTGTGGCCAAGGAAACTGTCCAATAAAACCATTGAGTGTTGCTGAAGCAGAGCACTGGATTTTCTGTTCAGTCATGAAGTTTGTTTTATTCATCCGGCCTTTCTCATGGACACATTGATGTCCTGGGAGAATGACTTCTTTGGTAAATGGTTTTCATTTGAAAGTTACACAAGGAGTGTTGCTGGCACAACCATACTATGTGTGATGAATCAGTTTCTGAACAACTTATATTTTATTATGATAAATGTTATTTTATTAATGTTTTAAATTACAAAATTGGATAGATAGATGTGGTTTATAATTTATTTTGTGTAGTGTCATCCATGGACTACAGTAAATAAGTTTTCCTTTATATGTGGTTGATGTTTCCACTACATTCTTTTCTGTGGTTCCTTTCGAACATGACAAATGACACAGATCTGTGTAGCAATTAAAAGTGCAGTGCTAATGCACAGGTAACTGACTATTGATACAATTATTGTGTCTCTGGACATTATCAAGCATCCTGTTTTTATTTGAAACACACGAAGCATTGTATGTTTTGAATAAAAACAGGACAGTGGATAATGTCCAGAAACAATAATTGTATCAATATACCATCATCACAGACTTTTAGATCTTATTTAGCTAGCTTCTGGTTAGATGGCCAGTGAGAGCGGTTGCCTACGTCAGTCATCAGCAGCATGTGTTCATTGATCAGTGATTCGTTATTCAAAATTTCTCAGTGAACAGTTTATAGGAATGTAGATTGGTCAAGGTGGTCCCATTCTCTCACCCCTTGATCACTTGGTATGACCCCTATTGATTTATTTCTATGGGGATATATCAAAGACATAATATATTGGCCCAAAGTATGTGACCTGCCTGATGTGCGCTATAAGATCATCAGTACAGTAGTATCTGTAACTCTGGAGATATTTAGAAAAAACTGGATGGAGTCAGTCAGTATGTAGGTTGGATGTCTTCCGCACTGAGATCTGCTGACACAACAAAATACTTGGGGGGTTGTTACACTTGTCACCTCCGACATCTTTCATATATCTGCATCTGAAATGAAGCTATTTAGTTCCTTTATCATCTGTGTTCATTTCAGACACTCTGTACTGCAGGCCAGAACTGATAATAGCTTGGGAGAAACAGTGAAATGGTGGAAAGAACAGGACACTGACAAACAATAGAAAAACCACTCTGTGGTATACTTGTAACAAGTCATGCAGTTGCATAGTTGGTTGAGGCACTGTTCTACAGGCCACAAGGTTGTGGGTTTGATATTCGATGAGGTCACTGGATTTTTCAATTGATCTAATCCTTCCAGGCGCACTATGGCCCTACGGTCGATTCATCCTCAAACAGGAATGAGTACCAGGAATCTTCCTGGGCGGTTAAAGGGCAGCCAGTGCATAAGACTGACAACTTCACCACCATCTGTGAGCTGATTGTCTAAAAAAATATGGGAGTCTTGATGTCTCATAACCCTGTGGGCCTCCACAGCCTGTTAAAGGGATAGCTATACCTTTCTTATGTAGAAAGATACAGTAGTTTAGAACATGGCAGTCACACGTTGACAGGTTTAGGCTGTATGGGGGATGGGCCAACATGTTGTGTCCTGGAGAATTTGAGTTACTTGGGGATGAAAAGTGTTATACCGTATAGTAACCGACCTCATGAGCATGTTCCGACATATTCTGCTGGTGATGGTATGAAGGAGAGTTTCACAGTAATACTGTGTGCTGATTTGGTGTCAGGGTCCTTGAACAAAAGCTTGTTGAACTTGTTTGGTGAGATTCCATCAGCATTTAACCATGTTACACTTTTCCCGTTTGCTGTAGCATGCGTGCTCTGTTGCACAGCTCAAGTTTGACTGCTAGTGTGTCATGCACACAACCACATGATCATTTGCGACGGGATATATTTGCTAAGTGCCATGAACAGGATTCGTCTGAACAACGCTCTTATTACTAATATTGATGTGTTGATAAAAATTCTTATTCTTTGTGATTTACAGCTGCAAGCATATTTTCTGGTATTGGATGATATAATGGATAACTCTGTAACAAGGAGGGGTCGACCATGTTGGTATCTACACAAGAACCTTGGAACTGCCGCTGTGAACGATGGTCTTCTTCTCGAACATGGCTTGTACCAGCTGCTAAGCCGATATTTCCGTGATAAACCATATTATATCAATGTGCTTGAGTTATTTCATGATGTAAGTTTTATTTTTGTCCATAAAGATGAAGTTAGGCTAAGAAATGTTTGTGTGTGTTACATAGGGTAGGAGTACGTGCTGTAGTTCAAGAAGTCAGTTGCCAGCTTCACACTTGTAAGTCACTGTAGAATTAATAACATGAAGTAGATGCAAAAGAGAAATTGCTAGGGAGTGTGGGATCTTATTGTAAACAATTTTGACACATTAAAAGAATTGTAAATATAAAAACATGCTGTATGTGGAGGCAAAATTAAGAATAGAACAAGTAGCAGAATGGCAGGTACTATGCTGATGAAGCCATTCTCTTAGTGTAGAGTGAATGATACTCTTCTGTCAGCCCAAGAAAGGGCTGACAGAGTTGTTCTGAAGTTAGGTGTGANNACACTTTAAGGAACTTTGTAAGATCTGAAGCTCTCTTATAGGCTAAAGTTGATTGGAATCTTCTTGGGCTATCGTCCCTTTCAGTTGGTCTGACACTGATTATGGGGACAGAGATGGTCCCTGAACTGTTTGTAATTTTTAACCAGCCAGCACAGCTGATAGCCCAAGAAGGATTTATCAGCATGCTATATTTGTCTTCAGGATAGCAGATGGAAATATCATGTTTCTCTGAAACTTCAGCTAACTTCAACCAGACTTCATGGCGTCACTTCCCAGAAGATAATAAACTTTTTTTTAATGCTAGTGGGGTGGGACTAAGTCCCCTACCCCAGCGCCACTTTGCCCACCACAAATCCCACTTGACCAGACCCTGGATCGAACCTGGGCCGCCACGGTGGAAAGCCAGTGACTAATCGCTTGAGCTATGGCGTGGCCTCTAGTCAACTTCATAATCACCACTCTGAGGACATCAAATATCACACATTTATAATCTATTTATATCTATTCGGACATGAAACATTTGCAATGCAAAGCACAGGCATACCTTCTTTTATGTTTTCCCTTTTTTCAGTGAGAAATTCAAGAAATGAATACATTAACTAAGTGTACCTGTTGATATTTCAGTGACAGATCTTTGAACATTTGGACTGTATACAAATCTTGCATTATACATGAGTTGACTTTACCATTCTTGTATTAATCCCCACCAGTTGTGCAGGAGAGCGGTAATCTGTACATGAGATAGGTTCATGTACAGGTTGCAGTATGGAGAAAAATAGAAAATATGATACTTCAGCATATGTAATGCCACATGTTGGAATGAACATAAGATATTTAGCAAGTATTTTGAACTTCTAATGAACGAAACCAGAATACTGAAAACATTATTGTAGTCTACATTTCGGTGGGATTAACTTTCAAGGAATCCTGTTTTTATTTCTATTCAGGTAGCCTTGAAAACTACGATGGGCCAAACACTGGACCTCCTTTCAACACAGTTTGGTGCAAAGCCAATATTGGAAAAGTTCACAATGGACAGGTACAATTCCATTGTGAAATACAAAACAGCTTATTATTCATTTCATTTGCCAGTTGCCCTCGCCATGTATATGGTATGTATAATTTTAATGCTGGTTGTGCTGGTTCATTATTATTAACATATTTCATAGACATATACATTTATTATATACTCTCTCACAGGGTAGAATTTAATTTGATGATATTACTGAATGTGTAAATATTTCTTTTGTTTGGTATATTTAATAATTCCATTGTCTTTCTTTGAAAAACTTCTCCATTCCACAAAAAAAAAAAATTTTAAGATGGGTGCTTCTGTGAGATCTGAGGTTCTCATGCCATTGAATATGGGTACTTCTATGAGATGATCATGGAAGAGAATATGGGTACTTCTCTGAGATCTGAAGTTCTTGTGGCATATAGTGTGGCTACTTTTGTAAGATTCTCATGGCAGTGAATATGGCTACTTCCATGAAACCTGAGGTTCTGATGTCAGTGAATATGGATATTTCTAATCGTAATTTCATGCATCCTGCTGTGCTACGATATACAACTCTTTAATGAACCGTCACAACACAGCAAATAGTAAAACATCAAAGTCAGCGTTCAGCTGTATCTTTGCTACATGTTTCGGCCACTATTGGCCATCATCAGGCAAATACATATCAACAAAAATCTACCATTTAACTGCAATCATAAAATGGATATAACACTATTAGTCGTACAAATTTAAAATGTAAAAAATACAAAAGTTCAGATTATATAAAAATTAAAAATTGGAAGTATTATAACAAGTTTTCAAAAACATTGAATCAGTCTTTGGATATACTTTGTGTGCGTTTCCATAGACAATAGGGAAATTCGATATTACTTTATATAGAAGATTTTAAGAGAGGCCCATGGTGTAGCAATTAATGAATTGTGTAATGCTGCCTCGTCATTAAGAAGAATTGTCCGTATTGCATGGAAAGCAATGGAAAGCTGTAGTTATGATTCTATGATGACTTTATATGATTCCTTCTTTGGTCATTTAATGGCATTGTTCATTAGCTTAGGTTATATGGCTTTGAATAGTATAAAGACCTGTGTATAATGAACTGGGAAGGACATTGCAGGATGCCTTCATATCCTGTTTTGAGGTATTATCCTAGAATTTGCCTGGAGGAACTGAGTAAAAAAAAGAGTAGAAAGATTGTTAGGATACTTATCTTTTGGGCTGATGTTCAAATCTGAAAAGCTGAAGGAAGCACTAGTACTAATCAGATGATTGTGACTTTCGATCAGGGGTTTATGTAGTTCTTCTATTTAATGGAGGGCATAATAAACTTCTGTGTGAAAGTAAATTAATTTTTTCTGTGTATGAGGTAAGTACCTTTTTTTTTCCAAAATATTATAATCTGCTACTAGTAGTAGATTACTGAAACACGTTTTTGTATGCTATGAGGCATATATAATTTAATTTGTGTGAGATGTATATAAACATGATAAGTCTACAACTTCTTTGTTAAAACCATCAGAACACAACTATATCAATGTCAGTGCCTAGCTTTGGCTCTGCTACATGTTTTGACTATTAATAGCCATCATCAGGCAAATACATGGTTAACATATATGCACCACTGAACCGCAGTACTAGTAAAATTGGATACAATATTATCAATTATATAAAATACTTGATGTAAAAATACAGTAAATTAGATTGTATAAAACAAAAGTTATAATATAATACCATAAAATTCTTCGATTGATGCTTTACTTCATCAAGTCAGTAGTTGGTTTCTGTAATTTTGTTGCGTTCCCATGGACAAATTGGAATATTCTGTAGTTTGTGTATATATATATAAAAGTGTATTGGAGGCTCGTGATGTAGATGTAGTAATATTAATGTTAATTATTTAGTCAGTGACTCGTCTTACAAAGTATTGTCCATTCTGTAGGGAATGTAAACAACAAAGTATTGTCCGTTCTGTAGGGAATATAAACAACATCTACATTCCTTATTATTAGGAAGATAATTTACAACATTTATTTTTGATATAAGTTGCAGTTAGTTTTCTTGCTTCCTGAAAATTGCAGATATTCCATCCTGATTGTAAGTTGGCTATTTTTAATTTGTTTGCATTTTGGATACGTGTTCTAATACTGACATTTGCTTTTGTGGATGAAAGCATTATTTTAAAACTATGAATTGTTTAGGATTACATGTGCCTTGCTTACATTACATCCATGTGTGTCTGGTCAAATAAATTCAGAAGTCCTTGACAGACTTCAGTGAAATATTTAAATTTAGAAATTGATATTTTGCTTGACTTTATGTTATTCATTTCAGGCAGGTTTTAAGGATGAAGAAAGTCATCGCCAAGCAAAGACTATTCTTTTGGAAATGGGCCAGTTTTTTCAAGTCCAGGTATGAACTACTATCTCTTATCTGTGGCAAGAAGCTTATTCTAAACTAAAATCTGGAAACTTCCAACCAAGAATCTTAAGTCTTTGAAAGTTTTATTAACTGAGTCATTGTTTTGGAAATGAACAACTTTTGATTTAAAGAATTTGCCGATTAGTATGCTCCATACATTATGAACTTTGATTTTCAGTGTACTGATTTTTACATTTAAATTTGTTGTTGAATTATCGTTGTACAATATGGACAACTCCAGAATGACAGCTGCTGAGATGAAATTCCTGAGGAAGAGTTTAAATATACAGGGGAATACCAACATGTTTTGGATAAACTAAAGATCAGATCTGTATTGATTATATTTTTGGACCACAAAAGGAAGGGAGGTGACATAATGCACAGATATGGACTTTGCAAATACAACCGATAAAAGTGCTTTTACAACACTGTTGTATTTTTTGCTGTGAACTTAGTATGTGCAAGAAAGCAAGAAAGGAGAATGCTTCAGTCATTCATTGCTTTCCCTTCAGCCTACTAGCTAGCCAGCCTGGTGTGTTTCATGATCACAGCTCAGAAATTTGTATAGAAAACCACATGCAAATGCTGGAATAGTATCATATCGTCGCGTGTTGGGTGTATAACGCGACAAATAACTTCACGCCGTACTGGATATAGCGAATTTTATTTCACATTCGCTCTTACAGTCACACAAATTTCAATCTGACAATTACTGCCATCGGCAGTATCACAAATACTGTACTGCAATTAAGTGGTGACTGACTCGTAACTAGAGAACTCGAGAACTTCTGCCTTGAGAACTTGAGAACTGGCTGTGAATAGTCTTCGCTGCTCCTTATTAACCTCGTTCCAGACAACACAGAAAACAGCCACGTAATAGGCACCACTGTTGTCTGGCGCCGTGTTGCTAGCAACACTGTCGGGAGTTGTTTCCTGCTGTGTAGCAACGGCGGCATCCCGTGTTACGTCACCGCGGGGAGAGGCGGGGTGTTGACTGGCTTATTACCATAGCAACGGCAACGCTCCGAAAGTGTTACGTCACCGCTGGTGGGGTGAGGGGTTGTCCTCCATTGCGCAACACGTCACAATATTTACATGTGTAATTTATGGACTTTTTACCCCAAAAAAATTGTATCTGGGAATTGTGATGAAATACATGAATACGACTGTTTGTAGTATAATTTTACATGCTAGATTGAGGCTAGGAAAATTGTAGCTACATAATAGTGAGAGAAAGCACATTTTACATTCTATTTGGGTAATATATAACTGCCATCTGAACCTGACTGTGGAACTGTTATATAATTTCCTCAAGTTTGACATTTTCAATTCTTTGCTAGTTATTGCCAGTTTACAATAAGCCAACAGGAACAGTTCAGACCCCTTGATTATACTGGGTGCAGTAAGAGATGGAAAGTGTGATTAATTATGAACGTGATATGCCAGAATGATGAAAGTGGAAGTTAAAAATAGAGCATTTAATTTTTGTCATGAAATTTCCTGTCTGAAAGTGGGGGCATATAAATTATGTAGAGGTGAGTACATACAGTATATAGAAGATATACTTTTGAACCACTTTACAGGAAATTCCCTACCATCTGGCATGTATGGGGCCTGTTACCTCAGTCTGCAAATTGCATGGGAAAAACTTACAGAAACCCAAGACATAGACAGAACAGCATATTTTCACTTTAATTCTTCCATGGGAATTTTCCTAAGTGACACAGTGGGTTGATAGATGGAAGATATTTGGTACGTATACTGAACAAATTCAGCTAGCCTCTGCTGTAAATCTACCTGTGTGTGGGGTGATGACAGGTAGCATGGCTGTTGGTGGCTGGGGAACTGCTGTGGAAATGTGCATTGCCAATTTTTTTATAACTTAATAAAATGGCTATTTTTTTAATCTTTTGGTAGTTGGGTTAGAATATGAGATTCTTGGATACAAGACAGCTGAGAGTTTATGATACTTAAACCATGACAAAGTAAATGAAAACGGGTGTTTTGTGGAGGGCTCACAAGCTCCAACCCATTGTATATAATTTTGGAAGGCTGACTATATAATAAGCTTGTTAAGTTACATATGTGCTTGTATATTTATATATTTAAGTTCCTTTACAAGCACACAGTATGTGTATAGAAGTTGTGTAAGATGTGTAAAATTGTTTTCTTTTTCATTCTTCATAAATGCAATGTTATAGGCTGTATTTACACTTTTATCTTGAAATGTGATGCAGCTTGACTTATTCCACACTCTGTACACAGGCCGCAGAAGGAAGTCACATGGATCACCCTCTTTCATGTGACCCTCAAGCTATAACACTTCCCTGTTTTATGCATACATCCATGTTTCCATTCAGCTCTCCAGTCATTCTGTTGGTAGTGGTAACCATTAGCAACAGGCACTTTGGGTTGATTAATACAGGCCAGAGGAGGCTTGAGAGGAAATAAAACAATAGGCAGAAAGGTGGAAGCCTCTTGTTGTGACATCCCCTTGATCCATGAAGCAGTCCGAGTACAGAGGTCAATGGAGTGTGTATAATATATCCATCAGTACATAATAATTGAACATTGTTTCATAGGATGACTTCCTAGACTGTTTTGGAGACCCAGAAGTCACTGGGAAGATTGGCACTGATATTCAGGATGGGAAGTGTACCTGGTTGGCAGTGGTTGCATTACAGCGAGCCACCCCTGAACAGAAAGCTTTGTTTGCAGTAAGTTATTACTTCAGCTTTACAGTTATATAGTTACATTAAATCTAATTTTCTGTGAAAAGTGTTGTAAAATGCTCTGTAGTTACTTGTATCCTACCATCTGATGCTGTACATCAGGCATGTCAAACTCAACTTGTACAGAGGGCTACCTCAGCCCTATAAATAATAGTCCAGGGCCGCACTTCAAAATTGAAATATACATTAGATTTTGATACAAGGAAATTTAATTCTATTTATTATTTAGGAATAATTTCAATATAATTACCTAAAGTGGAACACTAATATTTTGCCCAATAATCAAACATGTACTTTTACCTTCTATTTCACAACATAAATAAGCGATTTCCCATTTTTCTTGAAAAACACGGTGCTCACTTTCAGTAGTTCTTTTTTTGCTACTTGAATTTTTGAAAGTGACATTGCCCTTTAAAAGTTACTGTACATATACAAGAAAACTCATAGTTGATAATTTAATGTTTAATTATAACCTTTATACGTTCATCACAATGTAACATCAGCACTGGTCGCTGTGTGAAAATGAACTGAATGACAATGTACAAGAGACTACCGGACTAGTAGGAAGGTGTATCTTGTCTCAAAGGTCATAAAAGTGAAAATTTTCTAGCAGCCCTTTAGACAGTGGCTGGGGGTTGCAAGTTTTGAAGGTAGAAATCCCTTGCACTTGTGTGTCAGTTTCCACCCTCCTTGCATTCTTACTACGCCTCCAAAAGGGATTATTGGAAATACTTGGGGTGGTGAGGCTGTGCGGATTTTAGTGCATTAATCTTCTGAAATACAATAGTTTGTCCTTCACAAACTTTACAAACCGTTAGTTAGACAAACCCTTCTGCAGTTCTCAGAATCACTTTTCCTGCAGCCTGCTACTTTATGTCTGTGTGAGACTTCTTGTCTTCTGGTCTGTTGGAAAATTGTCTTTACAGAAAGTATTTCTACTAAAATTTTAATATTGATTTTAATATCAGTTAGCTCTAGAAGTTGAAGGGCCGCACTTTGTGGCTATGGGGGCTGCATGCGGCCCGTGGGGTGCATGTTTTACACGGCTGCTGTACATTGTCTTTTCTGAAAGTGTCATTAAATAACTTAAGATGCTTGAATGTGAACATTTTTTTTATTATTTATTTTCATCCTCCATGCAGTCGTTATATAATGGACTGATAACAGACAAAACAGTTACTGAGAAGATGCGCTAATGAAGATAAACGTGAGAAAGATGTAGGATTTGAGGTTCTCACAGTGGTAGTTATGAACAGCGCCATCATCTGGGATACAGCACGGTGTTGTCTGTTGAAAGCCAATCAACATTTCGGGGGGACATCACCTCCATCATCAGGGTCGAATAAGCCTAGCAAGATTCACTTTGTAAGATTTGAGGCTTTCACGGCGGTGACTATGAAGAAAGCAGTCTTCTGGGATTTGGCACTATGTATATGTGGTGTTAACCGACGTTTCGGAGGAACGTCGGTTAACACCACATATACACGGTGCCAAATCCCAGAAGACTGCTTTCTTCAAGATTCACTTTGCTTATCAGGACACAAAATGTACCGTCTCCAAGGTACTTACCAGCCGTGGTGAACATGCCTGTGACTCACTCACTTGACCTCTCTTCCTTACACTTCGGTTCCCTGCCCAACACACCCTTACATTTTTTGTCTTTTTCCTAAACCACCAAAATTCCCCTTTTCAGGGCCTCTTAAACTCCAATTCTTGTCTCCTATTGATGGCGAGTTCACGAACCTCGTATGTACATTAACATCTAGTTAAGTAGAAAGTGTGATAAATGATGTGCATTAGAAATAGACCTTGAGAGGGTGGCATCAGAATTTGGAATAACTTATGAAATAAGGGGACCCAAATTCAGTTCTTGCAGTGGCCCTCAAAATGTAAATGGCTGGTTGTGGTTAAGACCCTCTAGTGATCATTCCAGAGACAGAAATTATATATAGTTGGGTCACTACATCTGAAAAGGTAAAATCCATCTTTGCATCATACATGTTTTTGCCATTTTTAGTCTTATAATCATAATTTTGTTTCTCGTCCTACTGCTAGGATTGCTATGGGTCAAAGGATCCACAGAAGGTTGCAGCAGTGAAGGAATTATATGAACAGTTGGGCTTGTCATCCACATATGCTACATATGAAGAAGAGAGCTACAACATAATCAGTACACACATTCAGCAGGTGTCACGTGGAATGCCCCATAAGTTATTCTTCAAATTCATGGAAAAGATCTATAAAAGGGAATGCTAAATATCCCGCTCACTACAGCTATCTTATTATGACAGTGTGGAGTCACGATTAGCTGAGATGGAGAAGAGTATTTACAAGAACAAGAGCTTGAAGAGTCACTGAAGGGAAGGCCATCTTATGAGTTCCACTGGAAACCACTTGCTGAGCTGATCTTTCTCTTTTCTTGGTTAATAATGTAACTTGACTATCACCATCTTCGAGGCAAAATGACTGAACAGTGGCTTGGCACTGCTGTAGTTCTGGGCCAGAAGACAGTGGGGAATTCTGTGTTCTGATTGATGCATGTGTGTCCCACAGGGAACTGAGTCAGAGCTTCGGACTTTTACTGGCCTAATTGTCTTGAGTTTTGTCTGAAGGGAGTTCAGGATGCTGTTTATTCATTGCCAGGCTCTCCAAAATGTTGGCAAAGCTGTGACCACAGGGTGTCATCACACCAACTGCCATGGAAGCTTGAAGACTCCTTCATCTTAACCCTTTTCATTTTGATGTCAACATGGCACAGTATTGCTTGAATGTAAAGGGTCAAAACTTAATTTTGTTTTCAGTTGAATTTTCAGCATTTACTTTCCTTATTTCTGTTCTCATTTATTTCTTGAAACAATTTGGTGCCACCAGTAAAATTTCAGAGCTTATTGTCCTTCATTATATCTGTAGTCCTAATTTGGTTATTCTTGTTCTCTTTTTCACCAAAGTGAATTATTGCATTATTCTGTTATCTCCAGCAGGTAATACTGTTTATCAGAATGATCGTGAACATCCCTTAAGTGTGATATTTACATTTGTTATGTATAACTTTTGTACCTACCTTTATAGTCAATAATATAATTTTTTTATATTGAAGTGTAATTACATGTTTGAAAAGTAAGATACATTTTTGTATATGTATAGCTTTAAAATATTTACACAGTTAATTATCTAGAATCAAAAGACATGCATAGAAAGTTGTGGAAAAACAATAAAACTTGACAATCTGCCATCATGCTGAAATGATGACACTTAAAATGTTTCTGACCTTTAATTTAAACGAGTTCTTTTTTAATGTAATATAAATCATTGACAACTACAGTATGTGTGGCAGATCTTTTTACATGAAACTTGATGAATTCAGAACACAGTTTTCAAGAATGTTTGTCTGGGTTTCCAGTAGATGCTGTATGGAAACATATTGGTCCTTCATGGGAGGATGATTTTATGTTATATGTTTGTAATTACTTTACATGTCTGAGTTCCAAAGTAATTTTTGGCGCACACAAAGATTATTGAAGAAATTGAAATTGACTTTGTTCGTTTTTTGCAAGCCTTTTTTTTCTCAAACTTTAATACAGGTAGCTTAACAACAGTGATGGAAAAGACCAGTAATATTGAACACTTGTAGCTTACATATTGAAGATGAAGCAGGAACATTCCCTTGTTATACACCTGGGAAAGAGAAATGGATGATCAACATATGAGTATCTGATTCTTGCCAGTGTTAAGCATTTCTGTGTTGTTACCGAAAGTATTATAAATTAAATTCAATTACTGTCAGCTGTTGATTGTTTAGCCACATTTTATTTGGTGTTTGTGTTTCCTGTGCACAAAGCCTCTCCTATTGTACAGCCATTCTGACATTCCTGCGGTGCATACTGTTCTCAGTGATGAGGTCTGGCAACAACTTTACCACTTTAAATTATTTTAGTACACTCATAATTCAGTTTATATTATGTTTTATTGCCTAATAGCACAGTCAGAATAGTGACAGGCTATGAGCTGGACAACCAAGGGGTCAGAGTTCAAGTCGTGGTAGGATCAAGAATTTTCTCTTCTCCACATTGTCCAGACTGGCTCTGGGGCCCACCAGGGCTCCTATCCAATGGGTACTGGGGGCTCTTCCCCTGGGTGTAAAGCTGCCAGGGTGTGACACTGACTACTCACCTCCAACTAGTGTCGAGATCAAGCAAACATGTATCTGTACATCTGCTTCCCCATACCTCTTCCTGAGGCGTACTTAAGCACAGGTACAACTTTACCTTCTACTTTACTTTAACATACATAATAAAGTTTTGCCCCATGTGTCATGTCAAATACCAATTTTTTTACTGAAATTAAAGTTGGAGATTAGTTCTTCCCAGAACTTTTAGTTTATTTCAGAAAACGATGATTAATTTGATTTAGTATATTTAATATTTGTTCACGATTATATTTTATATATATATATATATTTTATATTTTATGTCATTAATGGTAACAGGATATTGAAAGGTAAGTAAAGATCTGGTGAAGTAAATGAATTCAACATTTTCAGAGAAATGTCCTATTCAAGATTTAATGTGTGGTGTACAACAGGCAACAATACTGAAGTTTTCATACATTTCTCATATATTTACCACTTTTACAAAAGAATGTGTATGAATAAAACAGAGCTTTCAAGGCGGTGGCTATGAAGAATGCCGTCATCTGGGATGTGGTGCTGTGTAGATCTTGTGTGAACAGACCACCTGCTCATGCTGGGTGGTTACTCTTGGAGTTTTCTACCCTGAATATGGAGGCGAAATATCTGTTCACACAAGATCTATGCGGTGTTACATCCCAGCAGACAGCATTCTTCAGAATTTTAATTCCTCAAACCAGAATACCAGTACTATGTGTAAAGCACATAAAAGTATTTTGGATTTTAGGTTCTCACACCAATGAGTATGAAGAGTTCTATCATATTGGTGTAATGCAGTGTAGTCTAGTGGAAGTCAGCCAACATTTTGGAGGAACTTATTTCCTCCACCTTCAGGTTCAGCATCAAGCAGGCAGCATGCTGACTTCTTGCTTGAGTTAAACGTTGACACTGAAGATGGAGCAAGTATGGTCAAAACATCAGCTGATTCCCGCTACGGTATATGGCATTATATGAGGCGCTATGCTGCAAGACAGAAGGTTACAGATTTGATTCCTGATGAGGTCAGTGGATTTTTCCATTTACCTAATCCTTCCAGCTGCATTATGGCCATTGGGTGGACTCAGCCTCTAACTGAGTCTTCCTAGTGATGAAGAGTGGCTGATGCGTAAGGCTGACAACCTCACCACCATCTGCAAGTTGACTGTCTAGAAAATGTGGGAGCCTTGATGTCTCACAACCCTATGGGCCTTCACAGCCTCTTACAGGGATAGCTTTTTCTTTCTTTATATGGAATTATATTCAAGAAGAATGAGCTCTTTGTATCAAAGTAGGTATGTTTCATGATCTTTACACCATGTTTCAATGGATCAACCTGTCTGTCCTGTATACACTTTTCTTCATTTGCATGGAATGCTACAGACTTTTAGTCCTAAGTCATCTTTCACTGGTCTTAGTGTGTGAGAAGTCTTAGCAGGAATGTGGACTGCCCTTAATTTAAATTTTCGCAGTAACCTCACTATATCCAAGTAAAATGACACCATCATCCATCAATTCATGGAGTGCTGACTACACTTGCTGAATGTGCCAGGATAATAGGTGACACAGAATGTTTGAGGTACAAAGCTTGACACTTAAAAAGAAATTCATATAGAATGTGTAAAATGCTGCAGCCTTCAGCAGAGCAATGAATAAGAAACACAAAAGAACAACAATAAAAGAGAGACCAATTGGAGTAGCATCTTTACCATTCCAACAGTCAACATGATACAAGCTCAGCGGGTTACTGGGAAAACATGTGGCTGGTCACCACATCAACCCTGATGATGGAGATTGAGAAGATAGCCAAAATGTTGGTTTTTAAATCGTCACTGAAATGATCGATTGGTTGAGAATTTAGCACATTTATTTGCCATGAAAGTTTCATATCTTACAAGCAACAATGATTATGCAACACTAACAACAAACCCTTTACACCATAAATAAAATACAACACACATACTGTGTTGGCTTTCTGGGGATGTTGAAGAATTTAAATTCTTTTTGTCAATGGGTAGATCTGTGTCCATAGGAAGAACATTTTTGTAGGCCTCAACAAATAATGAAGGAGTGAAGAAAAAAATCACAGCACCAACACAGTAGTGCACACAAAATAATGCATATATGATTTGAGGTTGTCGCAACAGTGGTTATGAGGAGCCCTGTTTTCTGGGATATAATGCCATGTTGAGGTATATGGGTGAACAATCACAACATGGCTGTAGAGTTTCACATTCATTGACACCAACAGATGGCGACTATGAGATAGCCCAGAACAACACAACAAAATTATGTTGTCAACTCCACAGCATTTAATACAACCAGAATCTCCATATTGTAAGCATAATAGAAATCTAAAGTTATGAAGACTTATACCCAAATACTTTAAGCTTTTAAGCTTTTACATATATGGATCATAAAGTATTCTTATAATAAGGTATACCCGATGATGATGGTCTTGTATGATAGGAACAAGTCGGGGTTTCTATAACACAGTCTACTTAGGAAGCAAATGAGATATCCTTCAACGGCAACTTGCATTTGATTATATATAGATAGCATTTAGGGAAACGAATCCTAAAATATATTATCAACAATTTTTATTGACATTATCTTAAATTACTGATTCCTCAGGTAAGTCTCTGAGGCTACGGACCAAAACAATTTAGGTTGTGCCTTAATGACTGACTCGAATGAGTTAAAAAAAATAAACGAGTAGAGACATTGGCGCCTAGTGACATCTATCATGGGTAATGGGAATGATTTGTGTACTTGGTTCACTTATCTGACTAAAGATAGCTCTAGATGCACCAATGTATCGATACGGTATCACCTATGTGTGTTATCTATGGTTATCTATGACCTGGTTGCAAACAATCTCGCAGGTCGCGATAATGCTCGAAGCGCGGGAAGCGCATGTCCCGACAGAACGAAGGAAAAGAGGAAGGGTTTTGACAGTTGTGTGACTAGTGAAAGTTGTATTACACGGTTAAAATTGGAACTGAAAATGATGATTTGCGGTCCGAAGCTCTCCCTCTGCATCATTATGATTAGTGTGTGGGGCTTCTTTCAGTTGGTATGATACTGATCAGTGTTACTGCGGTTATAATTTTTATTATTATTAGTGTTAATATTTTAGTTGTTACTCTAGTACGAACGAATTTCCAGAGTACTTAAACAAAAAAAGCACAGAAACCCATACACATATGTAACTTTTTTTTTTTTCTTTTATAGGTATTAATGGGTATTTTTTATAATTTTACAAATATTGCGTTAGGGGAAGATCTTGCAAGGGTTGAAGAAGTCAGTTTTGGAAAAACAGAAGAATGCTATAAGACTGCTGACAGAAATTATGTACAAGTATGTATTTATGTTTATATATTAAACTGTTCATATAACAATGTTACATCAGGTGCAAACGCTGTTTAACGTTGATGGTGTTTGTAATAGAATGTAGCAAACACTGGTTATTCCAAGGAACATGGATTCTAGGTTAATTGGCCTTTATTATGTAAATGGGAACTATATTTGAAGTTGTTTATTTTTGTGCAGTTAACATTGCTCCATTTTTATGTTGGAGCAAATCATTTGTCATGTATTAAAAGATGATTGTGTTTTGTGTATCTGTTGCAAATGGGTTGTCAGGTAGCCTGCTGATGTGAGCAAGACTGATGAGTTGGATGGCAAGTAGTTCTTGTGGAATGAGATATTTTTCTTAGGTTTATGCAGAGATGTTGTGTTAGTTTTTCAGTTGGTGCCGGCACTGCTGCTGTGATGTAATTTGTTTGCAGTTGTCACATAATAGGGAGTGACTATAGATGGGGTTCTGGATTGGATATTGAATTTATTGACCATTTGCAGGTCATAACTACAAATAACTATAATGCCATTGCTATTTACATATTTAACAAAATAATGTTAGAAGTCTTCCAGTCCACAGTGTCTTCACTAGTAGTCTGCTAATGGCTTATAACAATGGCTAGTCCTCTGCTTTCAAGCTCAAGTCCTCTCTGAATGGCGGCTTCCTTCTAACTGCCTATTCCTGCTCCAGTTGTCCTCATAACCCCTCAGCATGGACCAAGTAGAAAACACCACTGGCAGCAATTCCTTTGTTGCATGCATTTCTGTTGCTGCAGGAACAAGTTTACAGAGTCATTGCCTAGAAACGACTCTACATGCTACAATATATTGTTGACTTATGGAAAAAGTATTTGTTTGTTAACAGACACTTTTGTAGGAATGTCTGTAGTACAAGGGTCATCATTAAACTCTTTAATTTTTCAGTGTGATTATTTTTTAGCCAAGGTAATGCAAATATTTCATATCAATTAGTGTCTTCTCTTTTTGGTCCCCAGTGGAAGAGCACCTTGATGAGTCTGTAGTGGTGATACAAGTGGTGTTATACTCCCTTCTGATGTAAATCCACTAAGTAGTGTGAGATGAAATGGAAATACAGTTTGTGTACTAATGTTTAATTGCATTTAAGAAGATAATGTGATGTATGTTAACTTTTTTTTTTATTGGTAGCGGGGCAGGCTAAGTCCCTTGTATTGGGGCCACTTATGGCCTATTGTACCAGCTCCAGATGATAGGTGAGGGTGATTGTGGAGCAATTGGTGGAATGAAGATTGGCAGGGGAATCCGAAGTACTCAGAGAAAACCTGTCCCAGCGCCACTTTGACCACCACCACTACTTTGAGCTACTTTAGATCATCTTGTCAGTGGACTCCCAGTATGCCATCCCTTACTGTGAGGGATTTTCATGGGGCTCAGTAACTTTTGTATGGAGGGTGCAGTAGCATATGGGGGGAGACAAGGAATGCATATAAGATATTGGTGAGAAAGCCAGAAGGAAGGAGATCACTGGGAAGACCAAGGCGTAGGTGGGTGGACAATATTAGAATGGATCTTAGAGAGATAGGAAGGGATGGTATGGATTGGATTGATCTGGCTCAGGATAGGGACCAGCTGAGGGCTCTTGTGAACATGGTAATGAACCTTTGGGATCCATAATATGCTGGGAAATTTTTGAGTAGCTGCAGATTTGGCTTCTCCTCAAGAAGGGCTCAGCTCCATAAGTAAGTAAATAAGTGAGGGTCCTTACAAGAGCCATTTTGGCCTTATTGTAGGATCAGGATTTTCTTTGTTATGCATGTATGGGTCTTTGTTAACACTTCAGTAATATAAGACATTTAAATGGCTCCACTCCTTAGTGATGGATATTTCAGCCTTAAAGGCCTAAAGTTCAAAGGTATGATACATTTTTCAATATCGCAAGCACCTGTGTGTAAGATGTAAGGTTTTCACAGCAGTGGTTATGAAGAGTTACTATCTTTTGGGATATAATGCCATGTAGTCCACTGAAACTCAACCAACACTTAAAAGTTCAGGGTCAAAGAATAAGCTGAGCAAAGATACCAGCATGAAAGCAGGAGGCATGCCATGGCATTATATCCCAGAAGATAGTACTCTTCAAAACCTGTTTGTTTTCTTTCAGAACTGGTATGATTATTCGGGGAACTATTTAATGCATGTGTATGAACTCAGTTTGCTTACCTCAGATGTGGAGTTTCATAAACATAAAGATACCTGCACTGAATGGTGGTCACCACTTATTAATTCAGTTTAGTATGGTGATCTTCATTAACATTCATAACATGACCTATCACCACTTTTCACATCAATACATTACATCCCTAGTGTTGTTGTTTTGATGAAATGCCTTTCAGTGAGACATGGTACTGTGTTAGATGAGTACTGGCCGGACTCTTTAATAGTCTTTAGTACTACCTACAAAACATTTTCATGTGCCCTTTATTCATTGCCATTATGGATCCTGAATGCAGAGATATAATTTCACCTTGTCTGTTTTTCACAAATTTGGAACATTTTTTCTCAGTACTGAAATACTGACAGTCTGTTTTATGAACACCTTTTAATGTTTGTGGCATATCATAGAAATTATTCATCCACGCAGTCCAAGCCAGGTTCAGTGAAGGTGCCACCAGCTGTACAACAACCTGGTAAAGTCCTACATTTCATTCGAAGTGTAGGAAGCACAATAGATCATTGAAGGTCGCAGTGCAAGGGCCATATTTTATGACCCACCCCTTACACACGTACATACACATACAACTGTTCAACAACAGCATTTGTTTTGATCATATAAGTTGATATGAGAGAGGGACTCAAGTTTCATGACCCTCAAAGTTCAAACAGTGAGGTGTCATAAATAGCCTGTCACTGCATCATATAGTTGAATGTTTGATCCTAAATTGTGAAGACTTCAGTGAAATCTGCTGTTTCAGTGATAGACAGCTTTCCATAGTTTTTGTTACAGGATTTGTAGATAGATGTAGTTTGTCTGAAACAATGCATAAGTTCCTTATTTAGGTCACAGAATTACTGAGTGTTTGGACTTTTTCCATCATCTGGTGTTCTAGAGAACAGAAAACCTGACATTTCTGTAACTGGATCTGTTTCCATCCTCAGGTGAAGGGAGAAGACACTTACTCAGTGTTTTCTATTCTCTAGAATACCGGACGATGGAAGAAGTTAAAAAACCCAGGAATTTCGTGTGTTATACACGATCATCAGAACCCTTTAGAATCTCCTTATTTAGGTGTATAATAGGACACATTTTGGAAAGCTTTGGTGGTCTGTGGTATGAATCTTTACCTTTTACCTTTATCATGTACTAATGGAATAATATTCCCTCAGGATTCTCAGTGTTGATGACTCCAGACTGTTGATACTGGAACAAGTGGTCAGCATACATTTGCACAAATCCTGAACATTTCTTGCCCCAGCCATGTTTTTCAAAGAAGAAACTGGAATAATTAATGGGAACCTTTGCCACAGTGCATTAGAGCAGGTGAATGGCAGGGTACTTATTTTTTAAGGTGGCTAATGCACTTCAGCTTTGTGAGATGTTCTAAGGATGATTTGAGTTCTCCTGACTGTTGGACATTCAAGCACAAAGCCATGATATATGACTCAAAAATTTTAGTCATATGATGATTCACTTAAGAATATATCTTTGGGATATACTTAATGAACTTCTGATGTAAGATATGGATAAGGATTTTGCAGGATTAGAATGAATGGTCACTTCATCTGACTAATATAGCCCAAACTTAAATGTTCAATTGAAAATTCTAGGGTCATCTTATACACCACTATACACAGTATATTCGTAATTTTATTTTACAAATTTACATACAGTTTCAGCATTGTGTAATCACATAACATATTTTCACAAAGACATCTGAAGACTGGCTAATAGCATAAGATGTTTCTGAAATATATTACATACATCATAAATAAAGTAAAGCTATCCCTGTAACAGGCCGTGAAGGCCCATAGGGTTGTGAGATGTTGAGGGTCCCACATTATCTAGACAATCGGCTCAAAGATGGCAGTAAGGTTGTCAGCCTTACGTGCTGGCCACACTTTACTCTCCAGGAAAATTATTTAATTAATTCCTGGTACTCATTTCTGTTAGAGGCTGAGTCAACCCCAGGGCCATAGTGCGGCTGGGAGGATTAGGTCAGTTGAAAAAATCCAATGACCTCTTCGGACCTTCCAGCTTGTAGCATAGTGCCTCAACCACTACGCTACCGTGTGCCTCCATTACATACATCATACAAACTGAAAATTAAAGTCAGAAGTCCACAAATTTAGTTCCAATCTTGAAGAGGATATTCTTAACATTAGCCTGTTCTTTTCTAAAAGGCTCTATTTTAACTTCTGGACTCTCATTTTGTAAGTGCCTGAGTTAATCTTCCAGCCCTTTGTCTCATTACATTGCCTGGCAAAAACCATTTGTGATTATTATATTTACAGACTTTGTAGTGTTAAATGATGACTGCAACTACTGAAATTGGTTTAGAGAAGCTAACCCCAAATACTTACATAATGAATACATTACAGATTATTACATATCAACATGCTTGATTAAAAATAGTGGTATAAGTACTGCTTAGGACATGAAGTTATGAAGATGTAAATGTTAACATATTGTAAAATTTATGCAGCAAAACTTTTTAAACCAGGCATGCCATTCAATATTTTAATTTTCCCTAAAAAAAAACCCAAAGGGGAGTGATACATCTGAGCCTGGATTTATAATGCCATTCTGATTATATCTAAAGTGCAGAGAACTGTTTGAAATCATGATATAATGGGCGGAGTACAACAATGTAGTGAAAACAAAATGAGTGTGTGCTACTATGGGGGTGTGTATGAAGCAGCCTCATTGAGATCACATTCTCTGACACTTATTTGCTTTATTCCTCAACCAGTCTCCTTTGCTACTAATTCAAAATCTGAACATTCTATTTCCAGTATGGCAGATTTTTATGTCTACAGGTCTTCCTTTAACATACAGCTTCCTATCTCTACTCTTCTAATGGAAATAAAATCTAACACTTATTAATTATATTGCAGTGACCATTCTATTTTACTATCTGCAATTGAATCTTATTTACAAACAGTCTGGATGACATATTCAGTAATTCAATTACATACAATGAGTCTGGAATGTTATTGTGATATTTTCCAGGCAGACAAAACTATAAATTCTGGAATCTTGGAAATTGCAGATGTGTAGATGTATGGATAAATGCCTAAATTAAAACTCCAAATTATATGCATGGAAAATAAACTAGCCCGTCAAACATTCAAAGCATTTCATTAGGAGCTACAATATTTATTTGCTCACTGATGCACACATGGAACTATTAAACACTAATTCTAGCCAATTTGGTATTAAATATCACCATTCTATGTAGCAGATAATATAATAACAAAATTTTGGCATCTTATTTCCATGCAATAAGACTGTAACGACTTGAATATACCTCAGCTGTATCATCCATTAACAAAGAATATTGTTTCATAATTACGTTTTTTGTTTCCATTATTAATGCATCGTCCATCCTCTTCTACTCAGGTTAATGAACAGCTGACTTACAGCAAATTATTAATTATGTATATCTGAATTAAAGAAATGCCTTTACATAATAAACCAAATGCAACATATAATTCATTCTTAAAACTGAAAGAGGAATTATAACAGTTGCAACAGTATTTTCATATTGCCATTAAGTGAAAGCCGAGAGATTTTGACCTGGCCAAAAATATCATGAAAAATGGCAATGTTTTATTTTATTAATCATTATTGCAATATTCAACTTAGAAATGTAAGAATAACATGTTTTACTGTACAGTTATGAGGATATAAATCTACTTATAAGCCCACAGTAATTTTTTTATTTGTTTCCATTCAACAGTTTATGCGATAAATTACGAAAAACATAACATTATACATAGGGACATAAACCAGAAAGCTAAAAATAGTCATTTTTCAAAAACTGTAATACATATTTATACAACATGAAAATTTTTACATTTTAAATGAAACAAATTCCCATAAATATCTACACAATACATCAGGTCCAGCACATCTGCAACTACTTTTAATACTTGGTGCACTGCTAAGGGTGTTACAGTAACCTCAATAAATTGATTACTTTCCTTCCAAATGTATTAACACTGGAAAACTAGCTACAACCAATGAATGAAGAAATCCTATAGCATCCTTTCTGATGTAGTGTCCCAGATAAAGTATTTCCCCAGCCACCAGCAAACACTGTACAAAACAGTGAATTTTGGAAGGTCATATTCTTCACAGTGCATACGTGGAATACTTAAATTTGTTTTACTTTGGCCAACTACACTTTAATTTTGTAACAGGAATTTTTAAAAAACTTCTTACTGGAATTTCAACGAATTACATACTCAGAGATGAGCGACTGTTGACATAAAACTGATGGCCTGATATAACCAAAGTAAAGATGTACAGACAGGCTGCAATCCAACAGTTATATGCATTCTGAAACAGAAAGGACATAAATAATAATCACAATCTTGTTGCTTGGCTGTAGTTCCTAGCTAGATCCAAGACTGAAAGATGAACAGTTATTACAAATAATATGAGATCTGACGTTTGCAAAACTGCCACCGTGTGCTTTCCGTGGAAGCAGTGGACAGAAACCTCAGCATGGTTTGATGACATTGGCATATCAGGGTTTCATAGCTGTGTTGATGTTGTTGATCTATGGCAGTCTCTTCTGAGTGGTGCCTATTATTGTCTGAGTGGTGTTTTGGTGTTACTGCCAACAACTCGCAGGTCTTGCATCACAACAATGCACCTGCTCACATGGCACTGTCTGTGAGTGACTTTTTAGCTAGTAAACAAATAACTGTGCTCGAACACCCTCCCTATTCACCAGATGTAGCCCCAAATTACTTTTCTCTGTTCCCAGAGATAAAGGAAATATTAAAAGGAAGACATTCTGATGACACTGATGATATCAGGAGTAATATGACAGCAGCTCTGAAGGCAATTCCACAAAACCAGTCCAAGGCGCTGGCATTGGTGCATAGCTTCCCAAGGGGAGTACTTTGGAGGTGACCACAGTGATGTTCAGCAATGAGGTATGTACCACTTTTACCTTGATGAGTTCATGAATGTTATTGTCAGACCATGTCAGACCTGAGCAGGCACCCCATATCGATAGTTGTTAAAAAGAGAAATCCAGATAAACAAAAGAGATTCTTTTCCATAATTCAACGTATGAAGACTACAGGAGTGCAGACGAACTACATCACAGCAGCAGTGACTGCTGCTAATACAACTTCTATATGCATAATCTGAAGAAAAATCTTTGCTCGCCTTGATGAAACCTGCACTCGAAATGCAGCTGTTTAAATCTCTTGTTCTACAAGTACCATGCCTGCCATCTGTCCCAGCAGTCTACTTCCATCAGCAGGCCATATGGTAACCTGTTGGTTGCAACAGACACATAGGACACTTCCCTTTTTAAGGAGGGTCTATGATTTACTGGAGATGGGGAGAATCTTAATTGCATGGATATATGTAAATGCAGTACCTTTCCACATAAAGGCCTATTTCCTTAAAACCCTTGGAATAACCAATTTTCATTACATTCTGTCACCAATACCATCAATGTTAAACAGCATTTCTAACTCATACAACACTAACACAAACACAAACAAATAAGTAAGCATATATACATACTTGTACGTAACCTCTATCAGCAATTTTATAGAATTCTTCTGGTGATTCAAAACCACCTTCCTCAACACCAGGAAGATCTTCAGATAAAGCGATGCTTTTCACATAGTAAAATATGCCCATTAATACCTGTAAAAGAAAGACGGGCAAGTCCACATCACGTTTATAAGGAAGACATTTCCAGCTTGATTCCTTCAGAGTTGAATCACTTCTGGGAGACTGTATTACCAGTGGAGATTAGTATTCCCGTCAATTTTACTGCTTTATGGCCACTAGAATTTTGACAGCAGATGTCTGAAGTCATAAAAAACTTGTCTTTTGGGCACAGGTTTTCATAGAAAAGCTGGCATAACTTCTGATGTAACTGACACTTAGAGCTCACTTTCTGCCTCTTTCAAAGCAAATAAAATGCCCTTTCTGATGAACTATCATGCCAATATTATCAGCACAGTTACATTTTGAAGGCATTCAAATCTGACCTTTGGCCTTGTATTTCTCAAAATGCTGTATTTTAATTTTTTAAATACAATGCGTGCATGTAACTGCTATTTAAAAAATTGGGAAATATCAAGTTGGGACTGAAATGTGATTGGGTTTTATGAAGCTTTGTACTGACAAGGCAACTTAAAACAACATTTTTCTTTCAAAGTCTATACATTCATTAATTTAGGTTAACATAAATTAGGGCTGTGCCACGGCTCAGGTCATTTAGGATTTGTGGTGGGCAAAGTGGCACTGCACCAGGATTTCTCCAAGTACTTCGGTTTCCCCTGAAAATTCTCATTCCACTGACTGCTCCACATTCATCATCATTATTATCCAGGGCTGGTACAATAGGCTAATTGGTGGTCGACATACAAAGTGAACTCAAGTCTCACCCCACCCCAAGAAAAAAAAAAGAACTCAACATAATTAACTATATATATATATATATATTTAGAAATATTGTTAACTTGTATAGTAATATATCTTCTTGTAACAAAACTACTAGTATAAAAGCTAACACACTGCCAGCACAATCTTGTGAATGTTCAAAAGTGACGGCAGTATGCCAAAACATGCTTTTTTAAGCTAACTTAAGTGAGAAGCTCTTGCAAACCAACTTGATAACAGGCCTTCTTTGTACTAATTTTCTCTCACAAAATCAAAATTGTGGTTGTGTATGCTGGATCGAGCCCATTCATGCAGCTAGTGAGGTATTATTACTTGTACATTATATGGTTGTCGAAAACTGGCGTTTGCTGCCAGCCGTTTCATGGTGTCACCAAGCACTCTTCCCATGGGATGTTACTGGCACTCCACATTCTCCACTGTGCCATGTAATATTAAGTATTTTTTTGTTTTGTTTTTGTATTGAACTGCAGACAGCTTATCAGAGAAGTAGACAGTTTTTCTCAGATACTGCTGGAAGGTATGCACCAAAACAATCATGCTTCAAATAGTGTGATGTCACTATGAGATTCTCATGCTCTGTATTTAAAGCATCAAATTTCTTGAAATAAACACAGCTGGATGGATGGTGACTTGTGCAATTTTCCAATGAAACCCCTGTGTTTGACTTCACAAAACTAAAGAATAATTATCAGCAAAGTCACACAAACCCACAAATTCACCTTACTGTAGAGTACATTCCAGCTCTTTGAGGAACACAGCTTGTTGTGTTGCAATGAATGAATGAATGAATGAATTACAAAGTATAAGTAACAGTGTTTGAAGCTATGATTCAATGAATTGTTCAGTTGACTTTAAAATGATTAGTCATTCACACCTGCCTTTTGAAACTGAACATCTGAAGGTGGTGTTTTCAAATGCATTTTCTGTGAATACACCTTCCAATGTACTTGTAGTTTATATACTGACAGGTGCATGATACACATTGCAGTATAGATGACATGACTCTGGTAGATTGCAAATTGTAGCTCAAAGAGTGTTGATATATAGTAAGGTCATACTCACTTTTTCTTGTGAGTTGGGATGTATTTCTGGTTTCCAATACTGAGTTCACATTTTTGTGAAGTGTACACATATGCCTCCCCCTCTATACAACTTTCTCATTACATAATACACTTTCCGGAATGCATGGATGCAAACTTTTTAAAATACTCCTTTGACCCCTGGATGTCAATTTTTAAAATGAGAGTGTAACTTTGAAATTGGACAATTTCTGTTCATGCATTTTTACACCACTGACTAACTGAAATGTATTTAATCTTTTTCACCATGCATTATTACTCTTCTCACTTCATCACTGTTCCATAAGTCTCAATACTGAAAGCATTGTTAGATAACCCACAAAAAATCTGAATATCATTCTCTCATCTACATCTAGGTATTCCTATCAAACCTTTTATCCAAATCTCTCCCATGTGTGTTACAATCCTGCTCATCTCATCGACTTTAACCTGATCATTCCACTAATATGCGGTGAACAGCACAAATTATGAAATTCCTCATAAACAATTTTCTTCAGCTCCCTATTTCATCCCCCTATCCCCCTTACATCCAAATATTCTCTCAGCAGCCTATTATCAGACACCCTTGGTCTATTGTCTTCCCTTACTATGAGCAAGCAAGTTTCACACTCATCCAAAACTACAGGCAGTCGTAAATGTTGTATATTTTAATCTTAATGCTTTTTGATAGTAGGATTCTGAGCTGAATGGTAGCAAGTATTCCCTGACTTTACTCTGGCTCTATGTCTCTGGAAATCCTATTTTGATTCCCAAATACCTGGACCTTGCTAGTTTCAAAGGACCTGTGAAATCTTTTATGATTTTGTCATTTCCCTGCTTACTACTAGATCAACCTCCTTACTAACGTCTGTTAGAGCTTCTGCGATTTTCTTTGCCGTATTTATGTTATCGTCTAACAAATTAATTTCATCGGCACAGACTCGCTGATGTGTCCCACTTCCTTACAGCGTATACTTAAGCGCAGCTGAAAAGCAACGGCGATAAAGCACCACTTTCCTTCAGACTATTCCGAATAGGAAACAAATCAGATATATGTTTACCAACACTGATTTTGCTACAGGTTTTTCAATTGAACATAGAGTTTCATGGTTATATCAAACTCAGAAATTCACACTAATAACAACAGCAAAGAATACCCTTTAACATACCAACTGAAAGATGCCCCACACACTAATTATAAGACCACAAAGGGAGAGTTTCGGACCGCAGATCTTCATTTTTCTAGTCGAATTACAAATTCATACACACACCATCCAAGCTCCCATACAAATTTATCTCCAGTATATTACTTAGATACGTTAGATACAACTTTCACTTGTTACCTTGTTACCATGTGACTTGTATTCTCGAACCCAATGACTTTGTAATGAATGTAGAGTAATGAACGGAATAGTAAATATTAATTTGATTTGTAGTGCATAATATAGAGAAATTCATATGTAAAAAATTTGAATAAATTCAATTAGTTATTTTATATATTACAAGCTATTGCAAATGAACCGTGTGGTAACCGTGGTGACGGTGGTGACCGTGGTGACAATGTGAATCATTCCGAATAATCATACCAGTGATCGGTGGGTTCACGCAGAAATATGGTTGATAGATTAGGTACGTTTCCGAATGGAGTTTACGTCTTTTGTGGGTGTGTGTGTGTGTGTGTGTGGCATGTTGAAGCGAAATATTTCCACTTATGAGAGTTACGGTATTAATATAATTCGTGCGTGTTGAAACTCCCGTAATTATATGTCAAGGAGTTAAATGCAAAGTTAGTAGAGAATGTGACATAATGGTAGTAATTTCATAGTGTATTACGAATTATTCATTGTTGCCTCTCTTGCCCAAAGTTTGAGAGCGAAACATAGTTTCATGTATGGTGATATTGAAGGTAATTTAATTAGAGCTTGATACAATCTGAGAACTATGCACGAGATTTACAGATCGTGCTGAGGTTAGGCGAGGTTAGGTCATGACATTTCAAGTTCGCTTGCATGGTGGATTTTAGTAGTGACACAAATGTAAAGGATTGTAATTGGGATTGGGTGAATGGTCTTGTCCGCAAGGACATAATATAAGGAAACAGCCGTTATTCATGGACATAATAAACTGGTTTTATGTGTACTTTTTTATATGAAGATTAATTTTTATCTTTGAAGTGTGAAGGGTTTGTAACTGTAAATACTCATAATTTAAGAATTTTGGTAATTTTGAATGTACATATCATAAAATAAAAGTGTAACTTGCTTCAAAAAGAAAGAATATTGTGCCTTCATGCAAAACAGTTTGTACTGTCACATATATGAACACAGTTATTCAGATGTAGCAGAAATGCCCTAAATGCTGGTGTATTCTGGACAACGAAACACACAAGTGATACTGCCAGAATCTGGTTGCAGCCAGTGAGGCAGATATAAATTGTGAAAACTATCTGGTGCACTACATTCAACTAACACTCCAACTTTTTTGCAAATGCCTCAGATTTTAATGTAAATACAATTCATTGCAGTGCCATATTGAGATGTCTGTTCTGCAGCTGCTGACACTTAAAGCATTTTGTATTATGTTTAAGCACATGTTTTGCCTTCTGTTTGATGAATTGAAATTCAGATACAAAATTTTGAGGAGTAAATAAAATACTGGTGAAATGCCCCCAAAAAATGTAAATTGTAAAGAAAGTGTAAATAGCAGGAATTCTTTCAAAACCATTGCACTCTGTCATTAGCCATTGAATACATTGTATTATCATCATTTAATTTCTGCTTAGGTCTCAGAGTGGCCTGTTTCCTTGAGATTTTCTTATCATAATATTGTATGGATGTCTTATCTTTCCTGTGCACGCTACCAATTAAGTCCATCTCGCCCTGCAGACTTGCCATGCCAGATCATCACAGTCCACAACCTGACTTCAAATTTCAGTGAAGGTTTTAGCTTTGTAAACTTCATAGGAAGTTGTATTCTAGCAAAATTTCAACACCCTTGTCTTGCAGTTCTCATGGAGCAAGAGTGAGAATATAATAAAAAATTGCATATTTTTGCCATGCTCCCTCTAAAAATTATACCTTTTGGTCTATTACAAGTTATAGAGCTCATATGATACTTTTTCTTTTAAGCTAATGAAATTCTCTTTCCACAAATATGTGACTCACATATTTGAGCTCATTGTCACTTGATGTAAGCTTTGACCTCAATTTCTTACTAAGTGTAATTTTTTCTCCTGAGAAAATACATTTCGTTAATAAGATTGTAGTCGAACATATAGCAAATTGTGATCCCAAGACAGGCATGGGACATCATATAATAAAATTATGACATTACAATCTCAGGACTTTTTCATTGAACCAGTTTGACAGTTGCAACCTGTTTTCAGTTTTCAAGTTCTGATTCATCTCGCTACAGTTGTCAGTATTCTTGGAGTGTTTGTTGCGTTTCCACGTGCTGCAGTGTGTTTGTGACAGGGAATCTTTTTGCACATTAACTGTATACATCACTACTTGTTAGTTGTGGTTAAATGATTCATGAACATGGAATTATCTAAGAAACTGTAACACAACACTCTGCGTAGCGGTGGCTGATAAGGTATTCTGCATCATGTACTTTCACACATCCCATTCCCTACTACCCCTGGTTAAATTCTGTTGCCTTTTCCCTTGATGGTTGGGCTTTGGCAGCAGCAGTCAGTGTTGTGTACTGTAGGTGGTGGTGGTGGTGGTGGTGGTGGTGATTGTCATGTAATTCTACATTTTTTGGAAATGGGATTCAGAGCGAGGTTTTAAAACCAGGTCAAGTCAGGTCAGGTCAGGGCTGCAGTGAAATCGAGGAGGAGAGGTTGTACTTTCAAAGGATCGAAACAGAGACCGTGCAGGAGGGTAACTGAATCAATTGCATACTGCCATGCGGTAGATTTAAAGAAACTTTGTTTTTTTTATTATGGAGAATCTGATTGCCACTGTTGAGAGCTGATCTTCAGAAAACAGCTCCTCTTAAAATCAAGCAAGCTTTCCCAGAAGTTCACTCGCTTTTGAATTACATAAGGAAAAGAACCAACTGAACATACACTCCATTGTGGCATTTCCTGGAGTCCCACTCCTGACCCAGGAATCCTTGTTGCCTTCCTTCCTCCCTTCCTGTCTTTTTCTGTGGTGACTTCCCCTCCTTATAGTATACCATTACACTTTTGAAGGTGTGGCTGGTCTGGAAAAGCACATTCCTAGCTGATCACCTTTCCACCTCAAGGGCGAGTTACCAGATGGAGGAGGAGAAACCAATATGGTACTAGTGGAAATTTAACAAAGCTGTGAATGTTTTGTTAAGGCCCGGGATAGCTCAGTGGGTATAGTGGCAGGCTATGGGCTGCACAGCCAGGGTTTGATTCCAAGCTGGTGCAAGAGATTTTTCTCTGCTTCACAGCATTCAGCCTGGCTCTAGGGGTTTATCCTCCTCCATGGGAGCACTCTCATAGAGGAGGATTGGCGTGATTCGCGTATTTGAGATATGACATATGGATGACGAATTCTGAAAGATTTTAATATTTAGAATTTATTGTTATACATGACGAATACACATTTTAGTCATTTTAGAATGAAGACGTCATGGTGTGCAGTGCAGCAGTTTGACGTGCATAGAGACACACCTGAAGATGCCACATTAGTGCCAAAACATGTAGTGTAAAAGTGAAGAGAAAGGTGAAATTGTGTGCACTGTAAGACGGTTAGCATAAATACACATCATGGATATATATTTTTTGCAGTAAAGGGAATCTATTTATGAGAAATTGAAGGTCAAAGGTTACATCAGATGATTGAAACAAAAACTACTCTATCCGAATGTGAGTTATGTATTTTTGAAAAAAGAATTTCATTAGCTTAAAGAAAAAGTGTTAGTTCTGTAGCTTGCGCAGAACAAAAGTTGCGATAATTTTCAGTGGAGGCATCATGCCAAAGAATGAAATTTTGTAAGATTTTTATAACTCTGATACACATGCATTGCTAGGGAATAGGGTGCTGAATGTTGTAAGAATACTATTTGTTATGGAGTCTGCAAGCTCTCTAACTTTTATTGAAATCATAGAAGGTTGGGCTGGAAAATGCAGTTTTTCCGATGATTTGACATGGAATGACTCTGTCCTCGATTTCATTGCCCTGTAGTATTTGATAAACAGTACAAATTATGATCTCATATTTTGTTGCATCCTGTGGTTTAAATTATTGTTGATAATATTTATTACATTTTATTCAACAGAACACTATTTGCAGCAGGTGGAGTATGCTGTCTACGGAACTGAATATGGCACATGTGCTGAAATATGTCGTCCTAGACAACAAACTGTCTCTGCTGGAAATAGTGTTGTGTTGACAATAATGTAGTAAATATTGTCACGTGTTGGGTGTATAACGTGACAAATAAATTCACGCTGTGCTGGATATAGCGAATTTTATTTCACATTCGCTCTTACAGTCATACAATTTACAGATTCACAATTACTGCTATCTGCAGTATCACAAATACTACACTGCAAATGCTGGATGACTGGCTGGCTGACTCGTAACTCGTAACTCGAGAACTGCTGTGAATAGTCTTCGCTGCTCCTTATTTAGCCTTGTTCCGGACAACACAGAGAACAGCCACGTAATACACACCACTGTTGCCTGGCGTCATGTTGCTAGCAACTCTGTCGGGAGTTGTTTCCTGCTGTGTAGCAACGGCGGCATCCTGTGTTACGTCACTGCGGGGAGAGGCGTGGTGTTGACCATTGCGCAACACGTCACAATATTATAGACACAAATTATGATGTTCCTGATCACATTTCTCCTTCTTCTTGGGAACCCCATCATTATGTCCATGATTCCACTGCTTGGGTTGGTGAAAGAATCCTGTTCATTTTGTAACATGTCTGTCCCCAAGTTGGAGGAGGACCTCTGCTTATTGGCTGTGTGCAGTTGATAATTCAGTATAATAGCATCTGCCCCTACATCAGCTAGCCATTTCCTTCATCCACAAGGAGGCAGTCTCAACTTCAAGAATTATATGTGGAAATTAACTCCAAAATATATTTAAAATTGCTTTATAACCATTTCTTATTTATCGCTTATACATGGCATAGTTTTCTGGGAACTTTCATGCTTTGTTGCACGACATGAGTGGAATAATTATCATTTCTAGCCTTCAAGATTCATTGCTGTGTACTCATGTGATTTTTTTCCTGTAAGGCAGCCTGAAATGAAAAATGTATTGAAATAATAGTGCATCTACAAAATGATGACCAGATACTTGCACTTCTTTTCTTCCACTGTGTTTTCATTTGAACACATTGCAATTGAGCAATATAGTTAAAAACAAAATAGCCAACTAGTATTGTGCACATGTTTCTCATGTGGAAGTTCACAAAAATTTGATTAACAATTTATGTTATGCATGAAAAAGTTAGTTTGTGACCATGTTCAGTAGGCTTTGACATGAATCCGCATGGCTAGGAAGATGGAATTATGTGATATTTACAATAAATATGGGACAGTTCTTTATAGTGGCAAAAAACAGTGACATCTCTTATGAATGGAGGCATGGTATGAACTAGTTTTGCTGAAAAGAGCTGTAAATATTAGTTTTACAACTTGGATTTGGTAGCTGCTGTTCTTATTCAGGAATGCTTTGTTTAGGGATGTCTAGTGAAGCAAACTGGGCTGGCCAAGCTGGTGGCATATACTTGATTAGTTACTTTAAACTACGTAAACTGTACAGTGTAATCATTTTATCTTTTTCCAGTAATTTTTTTCTTTCCCTGTAACAAACTTCTCCAAGTCAAGCTCTGAAATTGATAATAGGACCCATGTTGGCATAATATTTTACATTCAGAATGACCTCAGAAATCACCTGAAGTTATAATGTGTAAGTTCACATAACATCCTCTGTGTGTGTGTGCGTGCTTGGGTGTATGTATATTGAATATGCTTTGTATTTCTTCAAGAAATTCAAATATAGATTCAGTTTAATTTGATGTTATTAATGTGTTTGTCTTGGTAAAATACAGATACAAAGATGGGTTCCATGGTAACAGCTTCATGGGTATTTGTGCTTAAGAGGTTCAAGTTCATGGTCACTATATTGTAAAGTGCTTTCATTCCCCACATGTTGGAAAGAAAAAGATTTTATCAGGCAGGAGATATTTCCATTGCTTCTTGTCATGCTAGGTAAACTCAAATTTACAGCGGTTAGAAAATCGACCTTTGACAATTTGTTATTTAACTTTCAGATTGACTTATGCTAGTCTTAAGGTAAAAGGTAGGGTAAAGATATCCCTGTAATAGGCCGTGGAGGCCCATAGGGTTGTGAGATGTTAAGGCTCCCACATTTCCTAGACATTTGGCTCACAGATGGTGGTAAGGTTGTCAGCCTTATGCACCGGATACCCTTTACCTCCCAGGAAGATTCCTGGTGCTCATTTCTGTTAGAGGCTTAGTTGACCCCAGGGCCATAGTTCAGCTGCAAGGATTAGGTCCATTGAAAAATCCAAAGACCTCATTGGCAATTAAACCCATGACCTTCTGGCTTGTAGCATAGTGCCTCAAACTATGCTACCAATGCTAATTCAGTCACATGTCTCAAGGATTAGAGAATAGAATGCTTTATATTAGGTCCAGTACCTGTAAGCAAAACTGAAATATAGTCAGTGGTATACATTTCTGGGGCTTGGCAATGTAAGTTGAATCTGTTGTTTATGTAACTAAGCCCACTTACAGTCTCACAGTATGGTTGGCTACTGTGCTAGAGCAATGTACAGTTTAGCTAACTTGACTGTGTTAGCATATATAGTTCCAATTAATACAAACTTCATTCATTGAAGGCAACGTGATGAGACCAATTGCTTGCAGTGAAGTATGGATTTGAGGTTCTCACAGCGGCAACTGTGTAAAGTACCGTCTTCTGGGATTTGTAGTCTGGTAGATTGGTATATTTTAAACTTGTAGGATGAACTTGAACTGATGGTCAGTGAAATCTCACATAATGATGAGTTACCCAAACAAAACACGGCAAATTTACTTGACAGGTAGGAGTATTTTCCAACTTTTAAGTTCTGTATTGGAATTTGAATATTCCAAAATCATTTCTTACAATTTTTAATACATTAAACTGAACTAAAATATTCTTGCTGCTGGTTTCCATTAAATCTTAGGTGGCAAATGAGCGAACATATTTTGATATATTAATGTTTGCTGTCTGTGAGTCATCCTTGATGCTGCATGCACTGGTGCAGTAAACCTGTTGTCAAATTGTATACAGTACAGTACAATACAATACAATACAATACTGCTAAGTTTAAATCTGGTTGCCAATGTAAGGGTAGTGAGAAATTTAATGAATGTCCAACAGACTGTACTTCATGTGTCATGCATTATAACACAAGGAGAATACAGTAGATTCCAGGACTTTTTAATATATGTGTATTTTGTTCATGTGTCTCTCACAGTGGAACAACATTTTATTATTGTTGTTGCTTAAGATGATAATGAGCAGGGAGATGGACAGAATAACAAAGCTGCATCATGAGTCTCTCATGGCTGTAGGAGTTTCCAATAAAGAAACTCTGTGATTTTAGTCTGCAAGCGAACTATACCGACCGAGCGACTGCCGCTTGTTGGCAAATTCCAATGGTGTGATTTATGGTATGGCTCTCGTAATTTACACTTGAAATATCCCAGGAACTGCAGTGCATGTGGGCAGATACACCAGCAGTGGAATAGTGAAAATTTATAACAAAACTAGTGCCTTCTATGGGTTTGTAACATTAATTCATATTATTCTGTGTTTGTAGTGAACAGTGAGGCAAATGCACGACGCATTGCAATGGTTGAGAGCTGCTTTGGCAGTTCTGGCCAGGTAAGGAGCATTTTAACACATTGCAGCTCATGTTGGAAGTGTTGTAAGTTTATCAGTGTGATGAAAATCATTTTAAAGTCAATTTGTAGTGAGGTGTAAGTGTAATGTCACATCTTGATATCTTGTTTGCTTTTACTTGTAGAATTATGTTGTATGCAAGACTGTCTTGTTACATTCACTGTTGTTTTAACTTATTACTCATTTATGAAGTTTACCTAATTCAAATAATGTTATGTAAGTCCATGATTTATTTAATCCGTCTTGCAGTGCATACACTCATTTAACTCCTTCTCTCCCTCGCACTACATGTTTCGGCATAATAATGCCATCTTCAGGTGCTTACTTATCCACGTCAAACCAGTTCATTGCATGCCATGTTCACACATTAAAATAACTAAAATATGTATCTATCATATACATTGTCAAACGTTAAAATATTAAAATTGTTCAGGATACCACATCGCTACATCGCCCCTCACTACGTCAGTCACGCCCATTCTCCTTTGTTGGAGCACTCCTTCACTATCTTGTGTGTCTTTCTTTGTCGAACAGAAGCCATGATTTGCTTGATTCAGTCGCCAGGCTGCTTCAGTTTCCTTTAAAGACTGAGTTTCTGGAAACGGGCACTACCATCAGTACCTTCCACTGGAAGGTGACTGACGTAGTGAGGGGCGACGTAGCGATGTGGTATCCTGAACAATTTTAATATTTTAACGTTTGACAATGTATATGATAGATACATATTTTAGTTATTTTAATGTGTGAACATGGCATGCAATGAACTGGTTTGACGTGGATAAGTAAGCACCTGAAGATGGCATTATTATGCCGAAACATGTAGTGCGAGGGAGAGAAGGAGTTAAATGAGTGTATGCACTGCAAGACGGATTAAATAAATCATGGACTTAAATCAGTGCAACAGGACGCTAAAATATAACATTAATGTTATGTAAGTTGAGCACTTCACACTTTTCTCTTCTGTGTGCAGTTAAGAATAAAAAATAGTAAAGTTTATTAACATATTGTGTGATGGTTAATCCCAAACCTTGAAAGGTAAATAAATGGGATGTACTTGTAAAGGTAGTGCACTATTTACTTTGAGTTCTTTATGTAACTTGGCAAATGGAGGTTGACTGTTTGTTGTTTCTCTTTGGGGGGGTGGATATTTGGAGACTAATCATTCTGGTGTGATCTGTTAGTAGTAGCCAGAGTCGAACTGAATTTTTATATAGCTCCATATTTTAACAAATTTGTACTCACAGTCTATGTATGTTTTGCTGATTTGTGTATGTCATATGATGGTGACTGTTTACAGTTGAAGTATGTTGTGTATAATAAGAAGCTGATGATTTTTTAATGTAATTTTGTGTGGTGGTTAATCTTATAGCTTAAAAGTGAAGGCAACTGGGATGCATTCTTATAGAAAAAGAAGACTATAAAGAGAATTGTCTTCTTGGATTTGATGTAGTGTAGATACCAGTATATCAGAGGAACTGCTACCTCCATCTTAAGGGTAGAAGAGTAAGCCATCAGGGAAAATTGGCTATTGATACAGGGAAGGGAGGACAAGGGTTGGGCCTAAGAGTGAACCATGGACTTTTCATTTTTTCTGTTCCATTTACTTCTCTTCCACATAAGTTGCTCTGTTTTTCCACACTTTATTCACTTGTCATAATTCCCTTCAATTTGAATTATGTGTTATGTGTTTTTGTTTTTATTTATTTAAATTTTGTCTTTTCACCTCCTTTCCTATCCACTTTTCACATTTTGTTTTATTCTTGATTTTATTTTATTTTTATTTGTTTATTGTTTGTTTTACTTTCTTCATTTTCTTTCAATTTACTTTTTGTCTGTTCCTGTCTTCCTGTCAGGCCCTTTCAGAGCCGCAGGTTACTGTTTAATTACACAAATTCCATTGGTTTACTCCTAGCCCCCAGCCTATGACCTTCCTTCCCTGTAAAACTCATATTTTCCCTTGCATGTTTTACATTTCTAGCCTGAAGTTGGAGGCAGTGTGTTTATCAAAACATTGATACTCGTCTACCAAATGATATGGTGTCACATCCCAGAAGACAGTTATCTTCAGTACTACAGCAGTGGAGAAAATGTGACATGCCCTTCAATGCAATATGCAGCCCAGTTTTTGAAGGTGTAATTAAAGAACTGTTTTTTTTATTTATCAGTTATACAAATTTGTATGGTGGTTTTTGCATGCAGTAAAGAACTGTAACACATTTTTAAAATTCTCTCACTTAAATTTGTACTTCCAGTTTCTAAGTGGTTATTCGATACACAAAGCATCAATTTCCATTGAACTTTTTAAACACAAATATATTTGTTGCCGTTGTTGCTCTGAGCAAGGTGGCTCAAGCAGCAATGCTTCTGACTAGTATTTGGGAGGTACTTGTTCAAATGTTACTGGGCTTTATTTATACTGATGAGTTTTCTCAGTACCTTGAGGTAAGTTTCGGGATGTTGCTTAAATTATTCCATGACTGCTTAATTCCACATCCTGTACAATTTATTATTCATTATGTCATTTGACACTGTAAAAGGTAAAGTAAAGGTATCCCTGTAGCAGGCCATGGAGGCCCATAGGGTTGTGAGATGTTGAGGTTCCCCCATTTTCTAGACAGTCGGCTCATAGGTGGCGGTAAGGTTGTCAACCTTACACACTGGCTGCCCTTTACCCCCAAGAACCTTCCAAGAATATTCCTGGTACTCAGTTCTGTTAGAGGATGAGTTGACCTCAGGGCCATAGTGCGGCTGGAAGGATTAGGTCAATTGAAAAAATTACCTCATCAGGATTCGATCCCGTGACCTTCCTGCTTGTTTCATAGTGTCTCAACCAACTATGCTACCACATGCCCCCCCATTGGACACTGTGTAGTTTGAATTACTGACAGTACTTTAAATAAGCTAGAAACTATATTGTGTCAGTATATAATGAAATAAATAACAATAAATGGTATTCTCAGTGTAGCTTCAAGTGAAATACGTAAGAGAACTAAACATGTTATTTTGCAGGAGAAAAGTGTGCTTTATATATGTGGAAAATAAGGCATGTAAAGAAGGTGTTAAAAAAATTCCATTGCAACAGTTGCATTAATAGTTATTCATATATCTGTTATAGCATCATGTAAGATAAGCTGAATTTGACCTTAATATATGGCCTTCTGTTGCAATTCCCAGCCTCTTGGTGTTCCTGGCCGGGTGCTAGTTGGAGAAGGAGTACTTACTAAGATGTGTCGAAAGAAACCCAAAGCACGGCAGTTTTTTCTCTTTAATGACATTCTTGTGTATGGAAATATTGTCATCAATAAGAAAAAGGTAAGCATCTAGAATGCACATGAAATTCAGTTTCTTTTGGTTAGACTGTGGGGGAATTGAATTTGAAGATTCAGAGCAGATGTTTTGAAGGAAATCCATATTCGTCATAGTATTAACACTTGTAAAAATGGAAATTTTTGCTTTTTCAAGATGCAGTTATACCCATAAGGCTTTACACTGGGTTGTGTTACTTTTAGGCATGTTTACAATTTCAGAGTGCTGGTAACATTCACTGAGATTACTGGGCAAGCTGTATGCCTGTATGCTTGAAACAGTTCTAGAATCAGTGGACAGTATTTGTGAAATTTTGTATTAGGAGCTTTTACAGAAAGCATTGTCATACCATTTCTGTTTGTATTTAGGCGCACACAATTTTGTTGACTATTTTCCATGAAGTTATGCATACAGTTATGTGTGAATGTCAATTCATAACTTACCCAAAAGAGATGGTACTCTAGGCAATGCATATAAATATGGAACTCCATTTATTATAATTTTTTTTTTGCCTGTAATTAGTAAAGCAAAACAGAAAGTATTTTCAGTGAATGGTAATATCGGTATTGTAGTGCAAGTTAAGCCACATGTTGGGAATGTGTGTACCTTGCATGTAGGTTTGTATCTGCATTTACATTGTTGTTTTGTTCAAACATGCATATTTGAATGGATTTTAGAGAGATAGGATGGATGGTATGGATTAGATAGATCTGGCTCAGCATAGGGACGGGTGGAGGGCTCTTGTGAACCTTTGGGTTGCTTAAAATGCTGGGAAATTCTTGAGTAGCTGCTGAATTGGCAGCTCCTCCAGAAGGGCTCAGCTCCATGAGTAAGTAAGTAAGTATGCATATTTTAAATGGCTCCCCAGAGTGATAGCATACAGCAGTCTATGTCTTTCTTTATGTTACATCATTTTGATTTCCCCGATTTTATTTCTATTTTAGGTGATCCTTTACGAGTGTTAAATTGAGGTTTCTCTGTGTGTCCAGATTTTCAGTTTATCCTTTGCTAGAGTTATACCTCCACTCCCCTATATGTCTGCATGGCATAGTTCTTAATTAATTAAGCACAGGGACAACTTTTTATTTACTTCCCTCAATTACTGCCAGTAAGGGCGAGTTCAGTGTACCTCATTCCTCTTTTTGCTGCTTCAGGAGCATTTTGAATCTGTTACAAGAATATTTTAATAATTGCCTTTCCTCCTTTGAAAGAGCCATTTTCATGCTGGAAAAATATAATAGGTTTTGAGAATGAAAAATCAGTCATTGAATTGAGATCAGGAATCTTTTTTCTAGATATCTCTAAAACTTTAGACTTGCATGTGCCCGCTTAATACTCACACTGCTGTTCATTTATTATTATAGGCCTATAATATTGACTTGTAACGAATTTGAGGAAGTGCAACAGTGAATAATTGCATATGAATTTAATGTTTGTTTGTTATAAGGGAAGGATTTGTCATAATTGTAATTATTTCGCATATAATTTTTTCTGCTTAGTGTGACTTTTTACATCATCTGGTATTCTAGAGAATAGAAAGCACAATGTTTCGGATACAGATCTGGTTTCCAAAACATCAAGTTTCCCATTCTCTAGAATACCAGATGATGGAAAAAGTCCAAAAACCCAGTAATTCTGTGTGTTATACACCATCATCAGAACCCTTTAGAATCTTCTTCACTGTATGTTAAATAATACTGTTTCAGTACAATAAGCAGCACATAATTCCGCTGGAAGAGGTGAAACTTGAGTCCTTGGAGGATGATGGTCGTAAGTAGTTTCAGTTAAAACTTTACTTCATTTTACTGCTCCTAGTTTAATGATTTATCTTCAGTTAACCCCCCCCCACCCCCAAAATAACATTTTTTTTTCATATTTTCAGAGTTTCGAAATGGGTGGCTGATACGAACGGCATCAAAATCATTTGCAGTATATGCAGCCACATCAACTGAGAAGCAAGAGTGGATGGCACACATCAATAAATGCATTGAAGATCTTCTTAGGAAGAGTAAGTATTATTTTACTGTTGTACATGCACAGGATAGGCCGGATGGATGGGAGGTTATTTAACAGTGCTGTTGTTACTCCCCTGACTTGAATACCCACACTGCAGTACTTTTCTCCCTTTTTTTTTCTCAGATCCATTTTATATCTGTTTATTTGTAGCTTATTTAACAATGCTGCCAGTAACTCAGATCACTTTTTGATGTTCTATTACTGTTGTGTAGTTCCTTTGTAATTTGTGACAGATATTATCTTCATCATCATGGCTCTCTCTCTCTGTATATACAAGGTATGTCCCAAAAGTCATGAAATATATTTCTTTCCCGCGTTCCTACTTGTTGGAGGGCGCTGGAACTGGTTGGGTTAGGGGGGGAGGCCTTTAGCTTCACAGCGCGCCCAAGGTCAGTCTGCTTGAGCATCGGAGGCGTCAGTATCGCTGATTTAGTGCACCTGTGTTTTGTGACCACGTCACGGCGCATGATGGCGGATACTTTCGAACAACGTTGGGCGGTCAAGTTCTGCACAAAGCTCAGCAAAAAAGCTGCTGAAACTCATGAACTGCTTGAGCAAGCCTACGGGGAGTCTGCTCTATCATATGTGCAAGTTACAAGGTGGGTGAAGAAGTTTGAGGAGGACCAGGAAGGAGTGGAAGATGACCCCCGCTCTGGACGGCCATCAGCAAGCCAAACCAAAGAAAATGTGACTCGTGTGCGTGATTTGTTGAATATTGACCGTCGAATGACTGTCCAGTTGTTAGCCGACACGCTGAACATTCCAAAAACCGTTGTGCATCAATCGTTATGGATGAATTGAACATGCGAAAAGTGTGTGCCAAGCTGGTCCCCAAATTGTTGACGGACGAGCAAAAGGCCAATCAAGTGTTGATCGCGAGTGAATTGAAGGAACGTGTGGAAATTGAACCTCATTATTTAGACTGTGTTGTTAACGGTGATGAAACGTGGACATTTGAGTACGACCCAGAAATGAAGCACCAGAGTGCTGAATGGCACACCTCGGCTTCCCTGAAGCCGAAGAAGGCGAAGATGAGCAAATCCAAAGTGAAAACAGTGCTCATCGTCTTTTTCGACGCCAAGGGTGTGGTCCCCAAAGAGTTTTTACCCCAAGGACAGACCGTCAACGCTCCCTACTACATGGATGTTCTATAGAGATTAAGGAAAAGGGTCATCTGCGTGCGAAAAGACATTGCCGCTAACTGGCGGCTGCATCATGACAGTGCGCCCAGCCACACGTCTCTGCTCGTCCATGAGTTCCTGGCGAAGCACCACGTGGCAACGCTGCCGCAGCCACCCTACAGCCCCACCCTAGCTCCGGCCGACTTCTTTTTGTTCCCGAGGATCAAGACTACACTCAGAGGACGCCGTTTTGAAAGCATTCAGGCTATCCAAGTGGCCGTGACAACAGCTTTAAATGAGGTTCCTGTTGAGGCCTTTGAGGGGGTGTACCGGGCATGGGAGAGTCGGTGGAAAAAATATGTAGATGCTCATGGACAGTACTTTGAAGAATATTAACACTTTGTACCGATATCATCAATAAATTTAAAATATATGTATATATATTTCATGACTTTTGGGACACACCTTGTATATACTCATGTTTCCTGGCATGACATTTAAGCATTAATTCTTTTTGCAGTTCACACACAGACACACACACACACATATATGTCATCATTGTTTAAGGTGGAAAGAAGGCAGTTAAGGTCCATGCTGCTGTGTGGGTCCCAGATTCAGAAGCAGCTGTTTGCATGCATTGCAAGAAGACACAGTTCACTGTGCTCAATAGGAGGGTGAGTAGTCAGTAGCAAGATAATTTTGAAGGAAGTACGATTATTAATACTCAGTTGTTTGTCAGTTTGGTATGACCTTGTTATACTGCAGGTTCAGATATACTGCTGTTTTGATCATGCCCTCCAGTATAGTTACACCTGTTCCATGTTGTACAGGTTTCTGTGAAATGCTTTAGTTACAGAACAAGACTGTATTGCAACATTCATTGTTGTGTGGGTGTGGAGTGTAGAGTCCATAGTCTTCTAAGAATAGGCTGGTTCCTTTCACACTCTCTCATCTTGGGATTACGCTTGGTCGTCGACTTATGACCTATGCAACTTACGACCACAAAGAAATGAAAAATAAAAGATGATTAAAATGTAAAAGTTTTTTAAAATAAATTATAAAGATGATAAAAAGATTAGAAAGATTAAAAATTACTGTTAATACAGTAAAACTTGGTTATAGCAACATCGGTTTCTGCGACACCTTGTCTATTGCGTCACATATTCAATGGTATGAACTAATTCCTCATAAAGCAACTGTTTTTATACCTTGCTTAGTACGACATGCACAAATGCATCAACCTCGTATGTAACGTCATTTTCATTCCTGAATTTCTCTGATATGGACATTGAACGTAATTTAGAAAGTGTGTATTGGGCAAGTAACAGGAAACAGATGAAGATAACTGATTACTGTACTCGTATCTAGGTACAGTAAGGCACAACAATTGATGTAATCTACTGTAATTTGGTGAGTGGGCCTACCTTTAATATACAGTATTAGTGCGGTGTGTATTGTCAGTGAAAAGCACTGTAATATGTCTTTGATATTACACATTTGGGCAATTCCACGTTAATGTTACGTTGGTCTGTTCTTAACTACGTATTTCACTAAAAAATGCAACATTTTAACTCGGTTTTTGGTAGATTTTTACGTGACTAACATAAGGCTACTGTGGAAGTGCCCATTTCGGTTGCAACGACATTCGTTTATAACGACACTATTTTTAGGTCCCTTTGATGACGTTATAACCAAGTTCTACTGTAAATATATGGCCACGACCTGTCAGTTAGAACGGAAGTCGGTCGTAAGTCGATGATCAAGTGTATATTGTTCAAACAGCAAAATTTAATGAGTATTCCTTTTACATGTCCAGCCAAAGGTGGTTGGAAATACTCCTGAGGAATTACAAAGAGTCAGTCTCAAAAAACTACCACATTTTACTGACTGTTACTAGGAAGTGTGTAGTGCTACAGTAATGACAACCAACAAAAAAAAGTATTTTACAGTCTTAGAAAAATAAAAAATGATTGAAAAAGTTGAGAATGGCAAATCAGAAGCTAGTTTATTTTGCAAGTGCGGAATTCCAGAAGGAACAGTACGCAGTTAGACGAATAAGAGAACCAACAGTTGTAGGTTCCCTAGAAGGCAGTGAATGGCTACAAATGAAGAAGGCCACTTGCCATCTGATTTCACACTGGTATTTTGCTCAGCTTATTCTTCATCCCTGAAGATGGAGGCGATATGTTCCTCAGAAACATCGGTTGATTTTCAGTGGACTACACGGTGTTCTATCCCAAAACATAATAGTGTGACATGGATAGCACAACAAGAAGTAGGGGTCATGTGAACTCTGTGGTCTCGCGAGTGACGTCACAAGAAGGCTAGACTTTGTGAAAACAGTTGTGTAGATGAGTGTTTGTGTAAGTGGTTTGTACAAAAGAATAATAAAAGAATTCCTGTGATTGGGGTAATTTTGAAAGTTTAATTTAACTTGGCATGGATGAAACATTCAAAACTTCTGAACGGTGGCTTTGGAAATGGAAGGATCCACATGAGATATGCTAGATTAACACTGAAGGGGAATTTATATGTATCTGGTGACAGTGCAGCAACTGGATGCTTCCCTGAACCTGTGTAAAGCAAATGATGATGGATACACTCATGAACTGTTTTACAGTTGTGACAGAACAGCACTACTACAGTAGTTAAATCTTAAAAAAGCACCCAGCAAAGTAACAGTGTTATGAATATTTTCATAATGAGGTGTAAATGTGAGTAATTTACAATGATCTGTGTCCAGTAGCATCAGTGAAACATAAATGTGAAGTACACCTTAAAGCTCACATATGTATGTTAGTCAGTGCATAAATACTGCGTACATAAATAAGACAGGTTCCAAAATTAGTTAATGTCAGTTTCACTTACAGTGCAGGTAGCTCATAATATGAGTGCTGAAGCCATCCTCTAAACCTGCTTTGTTTTGAGGGTGTAAGTAAGTAAAGTAAAGGTATCCCCTTAACAGGCCGTGGAGGCCCATAGGGTTGTGAGATGTTGAGGCTCCCACATTTTCTAGACAATTGGCTCACAGATGGCAGTAACGTCAGCCTTGAGGGTGTACTGCCTTTAAACAAAAAAGTGTTTTAGTTACATGACAGCATTACAATATACAAAACAGTAGTATTGTTAGTTTGTGTGGTCATCAAACATGGCTACTTTGATGAGGGTGTGGACTGGAATCATTTGGCTCAAGATAGGTGCCAGTGGTGGGCACTTCTGAATGTGGTGCTGAAACTTTAGGTTCCATAAAATACAGAAAATTTGTTGATTAGCTTAGTAACTATTAGCTTCTCAATGGCTCATCGCCATGGAGTTAGTAAACACATGTTTACCTGAAGATTTACTTTTAACAGGCTGTTTACTTATAGCTTAACATTTTGCTAAAGTCAGATTGATAAAGAATTGGACAGTAAGCCAAGCAGGGACCAGTGGATGCATGCAGCAAGCTAAGCAACTTTCTCTCTGATTTTGATGGTTCCTGCTCTGCTCGTCTGAAATATCAGGCTTTCTCCAAAATATCACGGTGTTACAACTCAGAAGACCGTTCTCTTGTAACTTCCAACTCTGAAGACCTCAAATCCAACATGATAAAGAATTGCTTTTACAAGACATTTCCTCTGTTTTGTTTAGCATCATTGTCGTAAATGTGGTGCTGTGGTGTGTGGCCCCTGCTCGAATAAAAGGTTCCTCCTACCTAGCCAGTCTTCCAAGCCACTGAGAGTATGTCTCAATTGCTACGATACACTTTCTCGTGCCAGGGTTCAACAGAACAATATGGGAAATCCAACTGATCTCTCTCTAAGCAAAGGTAAGGATTCCTTCAACATTTAGAGATAATATAAAACTATTAGAAACTACTAAAAAGAACGTTAAATTGTACCTGTGCATAAGGACCTCAGGGGGTGAATGGAAGTAAACATTTATGTGCTCTTAACCTTAGCACTAGAAACAGATGAGTTTCCAGCTTTGTTCTGTTGCTGCTGTGCCAAGTCAGCTTGTGTTTGGTGGTGAGAGAAGAAGTTGTCCACTTTGGGAATTGGACCTTAATCATTCATCTGTAGTTAGTTATGTTGTGGATCACGTTATACCAGGCTTAAAGGAGATAAAGGAATGCATTTGAGCTTTTGTTGTCTGGTTCTGTATTGTGGTATCCTGTTGCATTTCACTGAATAAACTGTATTTTACTCTTCCCATACATTAGTCACAGTAATTTCCAAAGTGTCAGTCTTATGCCACCAATTCACTGCTGTAGGTCTGACAGGTAGCATAGTATCTTCCACATAAATTGGATTCAGTATGTGTGCACGACAAAAATTAGGCCCTTTTAGTATTGGTATTCCTTAATTTGTGTGACAGGGATGTTCTGAAAGAAAGTTGCACATGGTGAAATTGCATTAATTGAACATAAATTTCTCCATAATAATAAATGGAAATGACTTGAGATCTGCTATGAAAGGTATCACAGTGTTCTTGCTGTTACTCAAACTGATTATCATGTGCAGGACAGCACATCCCCTTTCTTATATTAATAATATACACGTTGTTTTGTTACAAATAAATTGTATTTATAATTACATATTTAATTGTAAAAAGTACTCTAGACATGTTAAGAAATTGGATAGCATATTGTTGTTAAAATATGCACAGAAAGGCTGCACAACTGAGTCTACATCACTTGCCCAGTTGTTCTGAGATCCTTGTGCATGCACATGCCTCCTCACAAAACAAAAACAAAAAGCAAAGCAATGCAAACCAAACCGATACAGTACAAACCAAACCAAACCAAGCCAGAACAAAACAAACCAAACCAGAAGAAAACAAAACAAGCTGACCTCTGAATCTGTAGCTAGTCGTCCATTTTTTAAGATCTTACAAATTTTTTGGCAGAAGCAAAGGAGCGCAGTGGTTCTGGCGATTCCTCTGGAGAAGAAGACTCTGATGATGAAGACGAGGCAAATAGATCACAACAAGACACATCTGCTCATGATGAGGTAAGCTGTTCCACTATGTTCCCTGTGATTTATGTTGACCACAGTTGAATCAAATTGAACATCATGAAAGTCACTGTTTTTGTGTGGAGAATGGGATTGGGGGTTTTCTGGTGAAATACACATTTAATAATTTATTAGAGTTTATGCATGTTCTGAAGTTCTTTTGACATAGACGAAGCCTTATATGCTAAGTAAAGCCATTAAGAAGAAATTAGTTCTCAGTGGCATTTCTTATACTGTGTCAATTTACATCATAATTCTCTTGTTTGGTTTTAATGAGAGTACTTTTCAGAATTCCCAATACAAAGAGTTTTTTTTTTTCCCCCCCGCATTTCTGGATACACGTAATCATACATTTGACATTGCTGAAGTGATGCATGATGAGGAACAAGAAATTACAATTAAAACTTTCAAAATATTTTCACTTTTTTTTTTTTCATGAAGGTGCATATCCTCATGTAGTCCCACCATATACCACTATGCAGATCCATGCTGTCTACAGGCAATAATAATAGATTGAATATTGAACATTGTATTAAGCGAGTGTTTCCTAACTTGTTTGAAGTGGCTATGTTGTAGCCGTGAAAGTAACGATGATTAATTCAACATTCTCAATGTCTGTAGTATTATCTGAACCAAGATGTGGAACAGTTTCTGATGCTTACATAATCTCTTGTACCCACAACTGACAGGCATTGTTTTCTTTTCTTTTGTGAAATAGAAAGGTTCTGCATGTTAAGCACTTCTGTTTCAGGGTGGCAAAAAATCTCTTAAAACATGAATTACTGGGTTTTTGGACTTTGTCCATCATCCTCTGTTGAGTCCCTTAGAAAGAGGTAACCTCAATCACTGGACATCATGCCTGAGATTAGGCTTTGTCAGTGGGAGGTAACAGGAAAGCTACACAATAAAAACTGTGATAAAGCACACACAGACCTGAAACTAAGACAGAAAGAGAGATGGAAATTTTATGCAACAAACCAAGTTCATGAAAACCAGTACATAGGATTAACTGGAGAAAGTTGTGAAACCATTTTTGCATACCTCTAACACAATCTGTGGAATAAGAAACAGCCCTTGGAACTAAAGTCTTACAGAAACATGTGACGAATCTGCTAGATCATACTGATCTTCCTGTGAGTTGATAACTTCATTGCTGATAAGGGGGATCCAGATGGGATAAATGTCCGAACTGTTGGCTGATTTAATTCATTAAGCATGCCATGTGAATCAATTTTTTTCTGTTTCCTGTATCTACTGTTGGACCGCCTCTATGGTCTAGTGGTCAGAGTTCCTGGTTACAGATCCAGAGGTCCCAGGTTCGATTCCTGGTGCTACCAGATTTTCTGACAAGTAGTGGGTCTGGAATGTAGTATACTCGGCCTCATGAGGATAATTGAGGAACTATTTCTAGGAAATAGTGGTTCTAGTCTAGAAAACAGATTAATGACTGTGGGGATTCGTTGCACTGACCACGTGACACCTTCTATCCGCAGAAATTGGCAGTAACTTCGCGACAAGCAGCAGTCACTCTGTTGGTATAGTTCACTTGCAGACTACAGGCCACGGAGTTTGTTTTTGTTTTTTTTTATATTTGCTGTTACTTTCAATTTCCAAAGTTGTAGCTTCATCCCAGCTTACCCTGTGACCCTCTTCATAGGTATGTTGGGCCAATTTTGATTTTTCTAGAAGCCCTTCTTTGACATTGTACCTGTTTTCACAGAGCTGCACAGCTAGATTTCTGCCTTTTTCACCAGTCTAGCTTTTGCCCCATTCACAGGGAATGCTGTAGATGATCTGTGCTGTCTGTTGATGATCTCTTTTCAGCTTGTTTTCGTGAATGAACTTCATAAGAGTGTGTTTAGTTTTGAAAATTGTCCTAATCTTGGATTCCCCTATACTATACATTCAACGATTAAAATCAAAATTAGTCCACCGTGCCTGTGAAGAGGGTCGTAGGATAAGCTGGGATGAAGCTAGGATTTTGGAAATTGAAAGTAGCAGCAGATATAGGAAATACAAGGAATTGGCCCTTATGGCATGCTTAACCATCCAGTTAGCCATCCAAGTTTGGACATTTCTTCCATCTGGATTCCCCTAATCAGCTATGAGGTGAGCAACTCAGAGGGAAGATTAGTATGATTTGACAGATTCTTCATGGTTTTCTATAAGATATTATCCCCAAGTGTTCAGTTTTTTATTCCACAGATGGCACTAGCTGTAGGCAAAAATGGTTTCACAACTTTCTCCAGTTAGTTGTATGTATTGGTTTTCATGGACTTGGTTTCTTGCATAAAATTTCCACCTCCTTTTCTATCTTAGTTCCAGGTCTGTGCATGCTCTAACACCATTTTTATTGTGCATTTTCCTTTTATCTCCCATTTACAAAGGCAGGTCTCAGGTATTTATATGTAGCTGTAGTTATAAAGACATAGACTCAAACAAGCAAAGGGTTTTATAGCAGGACCTTCTGCCTCAAGAATGAAGGATCTGTTGAGATGAAACAGAGATCAACTAAGATGGGTGGTAGGATTACTTACTGGATGCTGCCACCTAAAAGGACACCTTTTCAAATTGGGACTGACAGATAACCCAGCTTGTGAAAGGTGCCTACAAGAAAACGAATCAGCCACACACACATCCTGTGTGATTGCGAGGCCGTAGCTTATTTAAGGTTTTGTCTCTTGGGTTAGTATTTTATGGAACCAAGTGACTTTTATGATGCCTCATAAGCAGGGACCTACACTTCATTAAAAATATATTGAAGGTCGCAGTGACTCCAGGAAACTTTGTTCTGAAGTTTCTTTGACTATTGTAGTGGAGTTAGACTTGACATAAGATTCATACAGAAATGCCCTATGCTGTATTGTACATGGATCTTGGTCCTACACGAAGGAGGGTCATGTGTGAGTACAACCAGAGATTAACCATCTTCTCTTTTCACTGTCGCTGACTCATCAGGGTGCTGGGTTAATGATGCAATGATTGCACATAGCAGAACAGCTGTGTTTCTGCTTGTCCTGCAGATAATCTCACAGTATTAGATTAAATTGTAGTAATTAAGAGTATTCAGAAACTGGTGTAGGGTGTTGTTTTTGCACTGCAGTCTTCCTGGGAATGTGGGGAACAGAGTCCAAGAGGGTGGCGGCCATTGAGGGCGACTGTCTCATAACATTACAAGCTGTATGTTACTTGAATGGAGTGTGTGAATGCTTGTTCTGTAGACTGATATACTTGTTGTAAATACTGTGTTTTAGAATTGTGGTTTGTATTTTCGAGCCTGGTTTAACATTTCTCATTAAGGGAGTGAATACCATACATTTTGGTGAAATGATGAATCTTGATAATTCTTTAATGGCTGGTATTGCTGCAAACCATTAGTGTGGAGTGCTCTTGGAGAACAATATTAGACTTATCTACAAATTCTTGTATCTTCTAAGTGTTGTTTATTATGGAAGTGATTGCTAAGCTCATCCCTACCAACAGAATTCGTCTTCTGGCCGAACTTAATATAATAGTTGGATGGATTTTCCTTTCCTGAACTCTGCAGTTAATGGGGAGGATGATTTAAGGGTGCTATCATGGATCTGTTCCTGGAGGAATAGGGAATTATGTAATTACATACAAGATGCACAACCAACAGTTGGAATAGGGAATTATGTAATCACATACAAGATGCACAACCAACAGTTAGTTTAGTTAATAATTAGCGTAGAAACCCGATGATGTAGACCACTTTTAGTTTTTTTGACTGATAGGCATATAGAAACAAAAAAACTACTTGACAGATCCTTTCAATCCCTTATCATGGTACTGAAGCTATTTGTTTAACTTCCCAATCTGTGCAGGTTAAAATTACAAGGAAACTTGTATTTGGCGCACTGTTGTTTAATTTTTCGTACTATGTGCACTGCATGTCTTTTTAAAACTTCTGGTTTTCAAGCTGAAACGCGCTTATAAGTTGTTTGAGACATCACCCAACATCAGATTTTAAAATAGAGGGTTGAATAACTAGCTACCACGGGGTTTTATTGTCTTTTTTTTCTGCTTGGTAAATTTCAATTTTCTCTTATGTGTCAAGCTACTTACGATTTTCATCACTTCTGTTGTGCCATTTGCAAAAGTTGAATGTTCAAAGACGCCGATAGGTCCATTCCACAGCAAAGTTTTGCTGTTTGCTATCATACTGCTTATTGTGCTCAAGGTTTTAGGGTCGATATCCAAAATTACATCATCATCCAAAATGGATTCGGTGTTTCTTAAAACGCCAGTGTTTTAATCAGAGTTTACTGCAACCAGAACATCTTTAGGCACAATTATTTTACAATTGTTCCTAAAGACGTTCCAGTAAATGAAAGAAAAAACACAGTGATCATTCTACTCGGGGAGGGGGGAGAATTGGTTATGACATTAATACAAATAAGAGCATGCCTGTAAGTAAAAAAAGAATGAAATTCATATGAAACTTACCTCGAAGTATCGTGGCCTCCTCTTGCCTAGCACCACAGATGACCAGCTGCTGTTCACACACCTGCAGTACAGAGTGTGGGTTGGTGGTAAAGTATCCAAACAGTCCTCAGCTGTGGCCTGTGTCACTATAATGAAGGGGATGGATATCACCCTGTCACCCCTGTAGTGCTAGCAATTGGCATTGGCTACCACCCTAAACACTGTTACATATGTGGGATAATCAGGGCTTGTTATGTGGTCCTTGTATCTTGCTGCTGACACCACTGTTAAGGAATTCATCCTACTGGGTGTAACTTCCACTAAACTCTTAAGTAACTAACAGTCTTTCCCACCACATACTTGTGGAGGAACTCTGAATTTTTACTCTGGTAATGTGAAACGAATGGTTCAGTCATATGAGTAAGGAGTAGTGTATTTTATTTCAGTTTACCTCCTGCTGGTATCTTGGGTAATAGGATCAGGTTTTGTTTCATAGCTACCACAACCACTCACTGAACTTCACATTTTGTATGCACATTATTTACATGAATAGAACAATCAAAGCTTCAATGCCTGCTTTGGTGATTTTTGCTGGTGTTGCACCCCATCTCTTTCCCCCATAAACTAACCAACCTTCACTGTTCATTTCTAAGTGTCTAACTTTTGATTGATCTCATAACTAAATCAGACCAGACCCACATACATCCACAGGTTGAGAGACTCAGCATTGTTAATTCGCTGGATGTACTCGTAGATTTCTTAAGCGAGTAATGTCTCGGTTTGGTGGGTTGTGGTTCAAATTGGACTTCCTCCATCAGCAGTTATATTGTTAGCAGCATCTACTTCTTTCAATTGAATTCCTTATTGCCTGGACCCCCAGTAGCGAATCGTGACTTGCCTGTAGAGCCAAAAAGTAAGAAAGCAAGAAGAGCCTGCATCCTATTTCTTCACAGTTTTATATTCAGTAATTACTTATTCCACAGTCTGTCACAAGTCTTGCCTAGTATGGCTCAGTATGGATGCAGTATGTGTTAACTTCTCTTCCTATGTCAATGTCAAAGTTACTTTCTGACTGGCAGTTTACCGCCAATCAGTTCATCTTGGCACCAAGCCCCTCGAGGCTTACAACCATTTTTTGTTTTTGCAACGGACCTTTTGCGGTCATAGTCCTTAATGTAACATTCTCTCTGATGAGAGTGTGGGTTTGTCTCATATGGGTGGCCTTTTGTCAAGTGTATGTCTCGCACAAATAGCGTGTTATCAAAAATTCTTCCTTTTGCACTATATACAAGACCTCTGTCAGTCCAGGCTTTGTAAAGGAGATCATGCCTAGCGTCACTGCCTCTACTGATGTATACTTGCATAGTCTGCTCGGCTTTGGGGCAGACTGAAATACTTTACTGAGGATGGCTGTGATACAGTACTCCCATTTCTGAAATCCACAGTGGTTGAACAGTTAGTAATCTAAATGGAATTGCATTTATAGTCTATCAAATGTTCCATCTATAATGCAAAATCAGTAATATTGATTCACACTTTAATATCACAAAGTGGTTGTTAAGATTTTGTATAAAATTATTAAAATATGGTTTATTGACCTTCAGAAACACAAATGAAACAAAGGTAAATATTTATAGGCGCAGCAAGCATTGAAGCTTAACATTCAAGCATACAAAAATTTCTAAATACCAAGTAGCATGTAACATAGACATTAAAAACAATTTTTAAGTTAGACATCTGTATAGTACCAACATAAAAATGTAACTTTCTAATACAATATAACTATATGGAGTCGTAATTTGCTGACTTCCACTTCATTGCTGGGAGCCCAGATGGGAGAGATATCCAATTTGGGTTGACTAATTGGATGAGCTACCAGAGATGTGTGCTGATTCCTTGTATTTCCTGTAGGTGGTGATAGGTTCATTGTGCAAGTCCTTCACTTCTTTCCAACATATTTTGTGTCCTTCCTCATATGCATATTTTGCTGATTTTTATTTTCTGAGCAAGCCTTATATCAGATTGTATTAGCTTTTGAAGAATTCTGCTCCATTGAATTAGTTGAATTTTCAGTCACTGCCTTCATTAGAATGCATTTCCTTTGTCTGTGAACCCTTAGAAGGGTCACTCAAAACCTGATGCCTCCTGGTTTTCTTCCAGGCCATGTAATGTTGCGTACAGAATGTATCGTCAGGTGAAAATGTAAACATCAATGCAAATGGCTCTCAGGTTTCAACACTGGAAGCCAGGTGACTGGGTTATAGTAGTCTTTTAAAATAGAGGATGAGATTCACTGACATGAAGAATATTTGTGGGGACATAACAGTTAATGTGATCACAGATGTTGGGTGAGGCATGCTAGTGATGGTAGTGGGCTGAAGGACATACCAGGTTGTCCATACATTGCAGTGATGGCAGAAAATGAGGGGAGAATGGATCAGTTGCTACAGGAACACTCGCTTATTAAGGCCTGGAATGTATATGTGAGAGTGGGAATAGGCCATAATGCATTGAAAACAAAACTAGAGGCAATTTGGGATGCAGGAAATTGTGTGCCAGATTTGTTGCATGAATGCTAATGCCGTATCACAAGGAACGGAGAATGTGGGCTTGTGCTGATGTTCTGGAGTGATACGAGACTGTGGGTGACAATTTCCCGAACAGTTACCTCATTAGAGATGAGACTTGAGTGTACCACAATGAACCAAGCCAAAGTGGCAGTCTGTGGAATGGTGAAACAAAAATTGGCCAACAATTGGCTATCTGCTGTAAAAATCATGTATTCTGTCATTTGCTACAAGGGAGGGGATATGCTTGTGTGTGGATGTCTGGAACAGGGGACACACAATTAGTTTTTGCTGTGTGAAGGCACTGAAGAAGCTGAAGACACAAATTTTGACTGTGAGGTCGCTGAAAGGAAAATATTTTCTTCAGCATGACAGTGCCAGGCCCCACATCAGCATTCTCACAATAAAGACCATTTTCTGAATTTGGATGTACTTTTCTGCTATATCTGCTGTATGGTCCATGCTTTGTGCCATCAGACTTTATGTGAAGTGGTGAATATGTGGAAAAATGAATGTAAGTCCTTAGAGGCATGATGTATTCGACGTACGAGTTAGATTTGCATACCTGTAATGGTATCCAAGAAAAACTTGGAGGCATTGGTTCTGTAGTGACCATCATACACATCAGCTGGCATTAACGCAATCCATACCACAGATAAAAAGGCCTTTGGATGTGTGTGTCATATTGTCCTCTGTGTGTTTAAATTTCTGTAATGTAGCAATAGTATTGTCATCTTATTGTAGATAATTTATAGTTTCACCCCTTGAATTTCTGTAGTATCTGTTATAGGTTGAATTTAAACTTGACTTGGACAGTATTTCTGATAGGGAGTAGATAAAGTGGAATTTCATTCTATATCACTTAACTTCACTGACTTCCAGATTCCTCCATTAAGGTTGGTACCGGAAGTCACATGACAACCCTGCTTTACCCACATTAAGAGAGAAAGCATGGCTTGTCATCTTCCAGTTTGACTTCATCTTACATTACTAATCCTGTGAATGTATGTAAGTATGGTCGAGTCAGTGCATGTCTTTTGTTTGGCTAGGACATCATGAGGTGATGTTTTCTTAAATCATCCATGTTTTCTCATTTTTCATACTCTTATTCAAGTGTTCCTCCTGGTTTGTGACTTGCACTTTATTGCAGTGAAAGCAGCAAGTCCTGCTTTTGCATTTACTCAGCTGGATTTTATAAGTCATTTAATTCTGGTCCCCTTTAATAACTTAACAGAAATGTATGAAATTTACTGGTTGTGAAGAGGATGAGAGTGGTCTTATAAGCACTTATCTGTTAATATTATTCATGGAGGAGTTCGAAGATTGACTGAACTTGAATGTAGGCAAAGGAGATATAATTGTATTGATATGTTACAGGCAGGCCTTTTTCCCTTTCTGTTTCAGCAGTACAGCATAGTGGAACTTTTTAAATAAAACGCAAGAATTATAAAATGAAAATCTGTTACTGAAAGTGAAGGAGTAGCAGAAGCACAAATAAGGATAGCATTTCATTTTAACTTAAATTTGTTATTTTGTATTTTGGCCTCTGTATGCCCCTTCTTGCAGTTAGTTCTCGGTTAACGGCACTTTTAGTTGTGTAGTTAATGTGGTGTTGAATGGTAGGGTGAATTGGAGTAATGAATGTGGAAGAATGTGATCATGGCTGTACAAAGTGTTGGCTGTGCAGGTTTCTCTTCTCTTATAACTGTCTGTATAGACAAGATCTTTAAAAAATTGTTTCTTTACATAAAACAGTGCACAGTTTTTTCTTAATGAATGTGAAAATTTATATCTCTGGAGTTATTGAAAGCAGGTCTGTGGAACAAATGATGAAGAACATCCCCTTTTAAACGAGTACTCTGTGATCAGTTCCTGTAACATGATAGATGATGCAGTGATGATCCAGTTCTGTCTGAATGCTGCTGAGCTTGTCCTTATTTTCAATAGCTATATGGCTAATGTAGTCCAAATCTTTAGTACTGTAAGTGGTTGGCATGGGAGACATAGAGGTGATACCCTTCATAGAACCACATATATTGAGAAGATGGCCACCAATGCCATTCCCTGTACCAAGATTGTATTAATAAAGGATTTTGATAAGAGGGCAGCATGCAATAGCTACAGAAACTGGTACAATTGCATGCATTAGCACAGGTTTTATGTTTGTAGTTGTAATAAAAGCTATACAAAAAAATATTTCAATTTGTTGTGTAATTTGTGTTTTACTCTCACAGTAAGGGAATTTGTTTCACAACCACTGAAATATGGATGGCTAAGGACATAGGTAATGGTGTGGTTTGAGTTGGATGGAATCAGCATAGGTTTCATTGGCAGTAATTTACCTTTGCAGTGATGAGCCTTACAGTTTTTTAACTGCAGTGATTGTTTATGATATTACTGCATATTCATTCATAACTGATACTTAACTGTATTGAGCATGCTTTGTGGGATTAATTTTATTTTCAAATTGTTGCTTTGTTGTATGCAGTTCTTTTTATTTGTTATGTACAAGTTACTGAACTTTCAGTTCCTTTTTTGTTTGTCTGCTCTGGAATTTCTTTCTGCATATATAATTACTTTCTAAGAATTTGAATTGAATATTGAATTAAATGTTACTGTTGTATACATGTGTTTTTTCTAACTATTTTAACATTAGTTTGTAAATGTTTAACTTTTAAATTTAGTTGTGCTGGTGACAAGTAAGAATTTTTGTGTTTTTTTGTAAATATAATTCATCATTGTGCTTGTGTTGGTACCACTATTCAGGACACACTGAAACTATATTAACTTCATTAGGTTATAGGCATTGTATAATGAATGTATATGTTGCCACTGTGTGTCAGCTTGCTACTGTAACAGGGTAAAGATAAATTATATTTTCATTCCTAAGGGTATTCAGCCACCCATCCTGAAACTGTAAAAAGACAAATATTTTATTGGTGAGAAGGATGAAGTCTTTATTCAGTTCCCATTTTGAAGATGTTCAAAATGTAACCAATCAGATTTTTTTTTAATTTAAAAATAGATACTTATAAGTCCTCATGACTATGTCAGGCAGTAGGTGAATAATAATGCATATTATTGCTTTTGTTATTTAGAATCTTTCAGGTAACATGAAATTTTCCTGAAAGTACATTCTTTTAAAGTGGATATTCTGTTAGTTCTGTTTGTGAAATATATTGCATGCTCTGCTGAGATTATGGCCTAGTGCTGTAGTTGTCATTGCTACTTGAGTTTGATGTGTTCTGTTTTCAGTAACATTATATCTATGAAAACAGGAATCGTGTCATATTTGCATCATTCTTTATCTGCTGTGTCTGTGTCTGCCTTAAAGTGAATCTTGCATATGACATCATCTGTTTCATTAATAATATATACATGGTGTTAGAAGTGGGCAGATTTACATTGCTGTCAACTTTTCATGTTAGTCAATAGGAATTTGTGATGGAGAAACCAATTTTTACAAAACACGTTCTCTCTGTTGGTGGAGTTGGAATCTTAATGGACAGCGAGCACTGAAATACTGCTTTGGTGAAATGTTAGAATAGTACATTTTTTCAGTGTCAGCATTTTTCTTCACAAAAATATCTGGTTATTTTGTGTTAAGTAGTTAGCAAAATTTAGATTATGGTGTTGTGCGTTATGGCACCATCTAGTCTGGTAGATGGTAACTACCCACTAGACGACTGCTGCTACTACTACACACACACACACACACAGAATCATAACTACTCGTTATCCAATTCTTCACTGCCATGAATAACTTAAATTCATAAAAGTGTTCAGAAGTCTGTCACAAATTTATTGTAACAAATTTTTTGAAATGTCTGTAAAATGAGCATCTCTGGTTCATCAGTGTTGGAGATGGAATTGAATGAAAGAGAAGTGAAGCACCTAATCATTTTGATCGGTTTTTCTTGCAGCCAAAATTTTATGGGCTGTCTGAAGTTGCTGAAGAACAGAAACAGTAGGCAGCATGTGAAGTAATACACAGCCATGAATTGGAATGTCTGGTGACTGTCTGCAGCTGCTGTAGATCTCTTCAGTAAAAGACAATGTCATTTTTTAATCTGTAAGGTAACTTTATTTATTTAGTAGTTTTGAAATGTGGCTTTGCAATATTTCACTTTTCAAGCATGGACTGAGATCAGAGACTTACTTGTTTGGTTATTTGCTACTATTAAAATTATTTGTTACAGTTCTGGAAATTCCCTACAGTATGAATTCTGTGCTTTCACAGAGGAAATTAGGGAGTGTGTTTAATATCTGGACCACATGTTAAATCATCTTAATTTTCTTACAGTGCTAAAGAAGAAAGATTTTTATGGGGTGTGTTTTGTAATGCTCAAGATATTTGACATATCTGATCCATAATTGTGATCTTGTAAAGTTGTTCTGGGTGTAGCATCATTCAAAACCGTCGGCAGTGATTACCCCAGAAGACTACAAGGAATGTGGGAGAGATATGAACCAGAATGAAACCTCAAGTCTTATTGCAGTTACAGATACTGGTGTGCATAATCTTGTCTGCAAGTGGCCTTAAAATGAAGGGTAGAATTATAAGATTATTTTGTGGAATCTGTATGTTGGCACAAATCAATTGGATGTGGTTGTAAATACATTTAATTATGACATAGAAAACTAATAATATATGTATATATGTAGACCAAGGGTTTGGTATGTTTTTCCCAGTACTGTGCAAGATACAGGCAGGAACACAAGGTTAGTAAATAGGATTAAAAGTTTGTGATGATGGTATATCAATACAGTTATGGTATTTTTGAACATTATCCATCTTCCGGTTTTCTTACTTAAAACACAGTTTTGGAGACTGGATTCTGTCACCATATTCAGGTAAACATCTACTCAGTTGGGCCTGGATCAGGAGATAGGGACTAGCTTTATTGATTGTACCCAACTAAGTACATTTTTACCTGAAGATGGAGCTGGAATCCAGTCTCTGAAATGTTTTAAATAAAAAGCAGGATGATGGATAATGGCCAAAAACATAATAATTGTAGTAGGTTGTATTTTATAATATTATAACACTAAATTTGCACTCAGTCTCTGCATTGTACAAACAGTTTCAGTGTATGCTTGATCAAGGAGTTGCTAAGAACATCATTGTAACAAGATCTTTTTTCACATTTGTAACAGATTTAGATTTCATAAACCCCTGTTAACGTTTCATTGAATTGAATGTGTGGTTAGACATCCCTTTAATAATAGAGTCTCCTAGGATGTGATAACTCTGCAGTTTGGCGTAGAGGTCCATGTGAACCATTTCTACCAGTCTACCAATCATGTCAGAAGATTAATCTTAATACTCACCACCCTGAGAACCTCAGTTCTTAGACTTGTATCCATTTGTTCATGTCATACTTTGCTTGTTATTGTGCCTAAATTTGTTATGATTGATATGTAGTAGAGTATACACCAAAATCAAATATGGGAGCTGGCTGTTGGTTGGCTCTTTTGCTGTGTCTTGTATATGTTGACATTTTGTGCTTAGTGTTCAGCTTTTTGTCTACTTATAATTTGAGTTCTTCATTTTTATTAATAATGATGTTTTATAAAATATCACGATAGTTATTCTGTTGCATACTGAACTGTCTCTGTCTTCAGGTTAAAACTTACACAGTTGAGCCTGGACCCAGAGATAGGGACTAGCTCTATTGATTGGGCCCAGCTAAGTAGTCTCTTACTTGAAGATGGAGACAGAATCCAGGCTGTAGAAGGCACTCTGCACCTACTATTAATGTCACTTACTTAAATTCAGAAAATGTCATAAATGGAATGCTTGTAGATGTCCTGCCTTGTTTTTAGAGATGTTGCATTCCAGCTCAATGTGAGGGATGCTTTCAGTGAGCTATATGATGGCTCCTTTTAAGTTCAAGGAGATTTTGAGAATGACCTTATGCTCTGCATGTTTCATTTCAAATTAGCTACACAAATTTTAGGTGACTTTTTTGGCCAGACATCAGAGGTAATCACTCTTTCATACAAAGTATCATGCAGTAATGTCCTGGAAATGACGTGCGTGTGCAGTAATACTGTCATGTCAAAAATATGCACAAACAGTTTTGCTCTGATTTAACTGTCACGTGAGAATGTGTGGTTGAGTACATGGTAGCCTTCTGTATTAAGAAATGTCATCTAAGTCATTTACAGCAGATTTAAAATGTTAATACAGGAGCATATTGACTTTACAGTCACTGCGTAGGCAGGTGAACAATCATAAAGTAAATTGTAACAGTAGTAGGACAGTGTAGAAGGTGCATCAGTGTCTTTTTATTGGAAGCAAAACTGGTCTTCCATGGCAAGTATTAATAAAAAAGTAGTTGAATGCTGTCTGTAATATTCTGTGATGTATTCTGTTTTACAGTGTTCATAAACCATCTACAGTTAATGCAATTGTATGTCATTCAGACATATTTTGGCAACATTGTCAGTCCTTTGGTCCTGTGTTCTTAACACAGCTTCAGAATTTAAATTTTATACACTATTATTTTCACGGAGTTTTTCTGTAGATTTGGAACATTTTGTTGGTACCTTTAGTATGTGGTTACTTTCACCTCCACTGTTTCACAGTTTTGCTGGTACCTCACATTATTTACATATTAAGATATGTTGTCATCCTTTCTGCTATTCCCTATAAGTTAAAATTATTTTGTGAAACCTTGCACTTTCACTGTTTGTTCACTGTTGACTTCTCGTGTTTCTTTGCAGTCTGTGCACTTTGATTTTGACTGCTGGCTGCTTGGTACACAAGTCCTATCTGCACATTTTGATTTTATGGTTATCAGCTGTTGAATGCTCTATATTATTTAGCACCAGTTCAAAAATTATGTTATATTGGTTTACATGCTTGTTTATGTCATGTTTTATTGACTGTATTTGTAAATATAGTACTGCTATGCATCCATGAGGTGTCCCTTCAGAATAAATTTTGGTATTTCTGTGGTATCTGTACAATGTAGAAATATGTCCATTGTAGATGGTTTATGAAACTGCCGATTCTAATCTCTCTGCATGGTAAGACAAATTAGTGGAAAGAAGTAGACTCATAGCATGAGAGAAGGTTGGAAGGAGAGGACTATGGTCAGTTATTAAATATTTACAAATTAACCACAGATGTTCTTTAGCATAATTTATTCTTATGATATTTTAATTAAGATACAGCTAGGCACATCACCCGTGTTTCTTGTTTTGAAAAGGTGTCACATGTAAACTTTATCAGATATTTCATGGCCAGCTTTGTGTGATAGGGGAACCCCAGGGATGAAGTGCCTTCCGTGTAGATTTAGCGATCTGTTCCACTAACCAGAGTTCTTACATTGTGTACTACTAAACCAAAAGAAGCTTCACAGTGAAGCATTACAAAACATAATTGTACTATGCTAATTGTAAAATGGGAAGTAAATATTGTATGCTGTATAGGCCTTCATATTTTATTGCCCCTATTCTGTTACCTTCCTACATACATACTAGCAAGAGGAAGACTTGAGTGTACTTAGTCTCCGAGTTTTCAATAAAAATGGCATGTTTGTTATCTTAAATTTTGTAACTGTAAAGCAGGTTAAATGCTTCAGTGGTGTCTGACCAGGCAGGTTGATGTAATGGTAATACTTGGACTTCTGTTCAAGAGGGAGGTACCAACTTTAAAACTCAGTTGGATTTTTATCAGTCACCTCCCTCTAAATATTTACGTACCATTCATAAGAACTTTCAGATTCATTGGGAACTTCTGCAGTTGAAACATCATCACTCATTGCCTAAGAATTGATCACTACTATCTTAGTACTACTTAAATGGCAGGGTGAGGTGTACATTAAAAGATTCCACTTGGCTGGTGATCACAGACAATAGATTGTCGAGTCTGAGCAATGCATCTTATTCATATATACAAAGGTGGAAGCATGCATTCCATTTTCCAAATGCATTGTTGGTTATTTTGCATACTGCATTGGCCTTGATGTTAATGTACTGCAGATAGAAATCTGTAGTGCCATAAACAGGCCTACTGCACTCCACATAATTATAAATTATTATTCTTATATTTAAGTGAATATTCATAAAAAAATCTTTCAAGAAAAGTTGTAGATGTTAAGACACGTATACTTTATGTCACGCGTTCATTCTGTATAACTTGAACCATTATGAGAAAGAGTCATCTTTGGTTTTCATGAAAAAGGTTATAATTCAACAGTACACATTGACATTTGGTCTACATGACAACTTTATGGTAAACCCTTCTGCCGTGCTAAATTTGTTGTAGATCCATTCAGTACTGTAGGGTAGGACAACCTCCCCTTTGTGAATTCAATGAATTTTACAGTTAAGATTTTGTTAACACAGGTATTTTTTTATTTACAGTAATAAGAGTTCATAACACCCCATTACTCAGTTTTTGATGGAGAGTTTGACTGCTGACTGGAGATTTGCGTTTGTTGTATTTTTCTACAGCCGTGTCTTCATGTGGTAGTCCAAGAAGAAATTTTTGTGCACACAAATCAGTCTCGCATATCAGGCTTTCCTTTTAGCCTGTGAGCTGGAAGTGCACAATGCCACAGTTGCTGAGAGCTCTATCTCTTTGGGTATAACACCATGTATAGTCTGTAGCTCTGTATGGTGTATGCTGTGTCCTGCTTGGCTTATTCTCTGACACTGAAGATGGGGTGATGTGTTTCTTCTAAATGGCAGTTGAAGGGACAACATATTGTTATATCCTGGAAGACAGAGCTCTTCATAACCACTGCTGTGAGAACCTCAGATCCTAAATACCGCTGTTTCACTAAAACAGACACAGTGCTTTTTGCCACATGTGCCCAATTCTGATGGCAGCATGCAGTGGTCTGCCTGATGGCTTCTGTCACTGAAGCTATGTAAGCTTCTACTAGTGTGTTTCTTACTAGTAAATTAAATTAAAATTAAATTAAATTAATCTGTGTGAAGTTTTTGGATCACTGCAGGAATAAAAGATATGTTGTTCAGCATTGTCAGATATAATAGGTGAATGAAGAATTAATTTGCCCACTTTTGCATGTGGCTGCTGATAAAGCAACAGTCCTCCCTTGTGCATGTTAGTCGTATAATGGTTATACGTGGGTCATTTCATAAATAATGCACAGGTTGGCAACGCTGCAGATTAGATGACGCAACAACAGTGAGCCTCACGTCAGTTACAGTTACAGAAAGAAATGCATAATTTTGTTTCATTTATAATGTAGTCTGTTCTTAAATAACGTGAGTTAGAAATTGAGCCTGCACGGTTGGGTATTGTGACTGTTGAAGATCAAAGGTTGTACATTAAGATCGAAACTTTACGTGGAAGAAACCTGACAAAAATCTACAGACTTTGAACCGCAGCTGAAATCACAGTCCGAGTGGAAAGAACCATCTTCCCCATGACTAAAAATATTTCGATGATCTCAATCAAAGGTCAAACAAATGATCTTTGCTTATGATCATGAAGGAATCATCATGACAGACAGAGTTCTGTGCGGGAAAAGTCACAGCAGTTTATTATCGTGACTTTATGCAAAATCTGCGCAGAAAAATGCACAAAAACCGACCTCAGTTGCTCGAAGCTGGGCAGGTCATTCTCCATGACAACGCTCGCCCACACATCAGGAAAGTCGTAACAGAAAAGCTGTGCCAATACGGTTGGGAGGTGTTGCCCCATGCTCCCTACAGCCCAGACATGAGTCTACCAGACTTCGACTTATTCTCAAAGTTGAAACAACCTATGTGAGGCTGTCATTTTCCCTCTCTGGAAGAGCTTTCTACTGCAGTACCTGAGCCTTCGACAGGTAAACAAAGATGGTGTCCTGGATAGAATAGTAAAGCTTCCCACACGTTGGGACTTGGTCATTAAGAAGCAGGGGGACTATATTGAAGGACTGTAAAGAGATATTAAAAAAAATGAACATGGACATAAACAAAAAATTGTCCGCATTATTTCTGAAGTGACCTACATACTATTCGGATATGTACAGCTGAACATCACGATTGGTTGGATAGCTCTCCTTCACATTTTGGAGGACTCAGGTTCATATTGGCCCCGTGTACTGGCAGTTCTGATTGAAATTTTTCATTTTTCAAAGCCCGACCAGCCAAATTCTGGGATGTTTCAAATTAGGCTGCAGATGTTTCCTTCACATAATTTCCAGTTAATTACTTGCTGATCAAGGTTCCATTCAGCACTGTTACTAACCATAAATCATAAACTGTAAATAAAAGAGAAGAACCAAATATATTAAATCGCCTCTAGTCTTTGCTCAAGTATCACCACATTTCAGTTTTGGATTTTTGTATCATGAGTCCTCTGACATGCCCTTATTTGTTCCTACTGTTCTCCAACTGTTTATTTTCTGTTTGTTTCTGTGGGAATATGTTCATAAAATTTCTTTTCCTTGGTGTCAATTCTGAAAGCAAAGCCAAACTAAGTTCTTTTAGCAGAGAATGCCTTGCTGTAGGCTTTGTTGAAGAAATTTGATGATTGATATGCCAGGTTCTCCATCAGAAGCATTTGTATTTACAGAACATATGGGAAATGAGTTTTCTTTCACTGCAAAGGTGTTGGCTGCTATTGATGATGGTTGGACTGCAGACATTTGAAAGGAAGTGCTGTCTGCCTGGATAGGAACAGGTGTTACAGAAGAGGACACCAGAGTCCTGCTTCAGGTTCTGGTGGGAGGTAGGACATAAAGGTCATCTTCAGGAGTTAAAACTGAAGGCAAGGTATTGAAGGAAGGTGTATGTAATGAAGGTTCAGGAGGTTTTCGAAGTGATGGTGCAGCAGAATCTGTGCCACATGGAGCTACCAGTCTGTTCAAGTGTATCCTTTTAGGTGTAGTGAAATCACTTTCTGAGACAGCATACTTGCAGAATCAATAGTGCAGGATAACCAAACTCTGCTGAAAGGATTAGGTCAACTGAAAAAAATCCAATGACCTCATCAGGACTTGAACCCGCGACCTTCCGGCTTGTAGCATAGCTCCTCAACCACTACGCTACTGCGTGCCCAATTTCTTACCACATACCGTGGTAGACGGCCAGGGTTCGATTCCCTACAGGGGGAATATATTTGTTTCTACTCCACTGTGTTCAGACCACGTCTGGTGCCCACCCAGCGTCAGGGTGCTTTGCTCCCAGGGTTAAAGTGGCAGGGGCTGACCACTCCCATTTAGTGCAAAGGTCAAGAATGGTGGAGCTGTACGTCCACTCCCTCATACGTCTTTATGGCATAGTGCTTAATTTCTTAATTAAGTACAGGGCCAACTTTGCCTTCACAGCTGAGTATGAGAAAGTCAGGTAAGGCATGCTGGAGATTCGGTGAATTTATGTGTTATATATAATCGTCACAAACTTTAGGTCTTATTGAAATTAAAAAAGTAAAGTTGTCCTTGTGCTTAACTAATTAAGCACTACGCCATGAAGGCGTATAAGGGAGTGGATGTATAGATCCACATTTTCTTGACTTCTGCACTGGCTGGAGGTGAGTGGTCAGTTTCACTGGCCTGCCACTTTACCCCTGGGGAAAGAGCCCCCGGTACCCATTGGATAGGAGGCTGGGTGTGTCCCAGAGCCTGTCTGGACGAGAAGGAGAAGAGAAAATTCTCACCCTACCGGGACTCGGAACTTCGACCCCTCGGCCTTCCAGTGCGTAGGCAGTCGCTATAGCGACTGTGCTACCCCGGCTCTCATTTCAGGTCGTATTTTATATTTTATTTAGTAAAGTATTTATTTTAATTTTCTTTGGTAAAATATTTATTACTTACAAATCAGAGATATTTTCGATATAGGGGCAAAAGTGAGTGATGGTCCTCAAAATGTATTGAGTTATTTAATTTTACATATCTGTTTACTTGTATTTATACGAGTATATGAATTTATTAGATTGCGGTTTACTTAACAACACTGCCAGCATAAATGATGAATTGGAAAGAATGTCGAACGAAATGGTCGTGGCTCGTTTTGAAGCAGTACACCAGCACTCTCCGGGAAGGACTGAAGATTAGCGAAGACAAAAGTAGGTACTTCCAGTCTGATTCCAAGTGATTGCTTTTCAGCATCTTCAAATCTCCTGCTGTTATTGTGGTTATTTTACTTTATGTTTCTGTGAAGAACATGTAACCTAGACACATCCTGCCAGAGTCACATTTCTCCGATATTATAACAACGTTTATTGCAGTCGCCATATTGGTAACCGCTGACTTGCAAACAGAATTATGTAAAAATGAAATCTTTAGAAGATCTATTGCTAACCACTGTTTCGGGATTTCCAATTCAATATCGCTCCATCATAAATTCGCGTTTCAGTCTTGTCGCTGGTACAGCTTTTAAAAAATTAAGGAGCGACGCTAGGATGGTCTCGAAAGGCAAAGTTTTCGCATCAAGATTGGTCATAAGCGTCAACAGAGTGAAAAGTGAAAAGGGGAGAGAGACATAGCAAGATACAAAAGAACAGACAGATGAACACAGCGTGGTGATTTCGTTAACTTAATTCATATATACACGGCTTGAGATTCGGCGGGATGGCATCCCATTTCTTTTCTAAATGGCTTAAAAGCATCCCGTTACTTCTTTGGNGTTAGTGTGACGGACCAGAATGAAAGACCTTAAACTTACTGTAATATGTTTGTAGGTCTTAGATGGAAANTCCGTCAAATGTGACACTTTTATAAGTTTTCCACCTCGTCACCACCTGCCTTACATGTTTCGGCTCACCACGGAGCCATCATCAGAGGCATTTATAGTAGAAAAAGAAATCACCAACACACAAAACTTCGCTTTGTAAAATNTTCAGTCTAAGATAATCTAAACTTAACGCAATCACAGCTGACTTAGCTATGTCTGGGGAAGTGAGTTTGGTGTGATTGGGCTCTGAAATAAAAATGCTTGTCTCACAAAATTAATTCGACTGGTATCAGTCAGATTCACATGTTAACAGGGTGACCGTGTTTTTCGTTATTATATCCGGGAGGGTGAAGGGCGGAAGGTGGAGGGTGAAACGGACTGAAGTGGTGTAGGGAGACGAAGGAGGGAACACCAATGATATGAAACCTGGGTTATGCTCATATATTAGAGGAAACCCCATGCTGATGTGGAGGGTGAAGAATCAACATATAAAACATAAAGTCTCCGTGTCTTAAGTAGCACGCTATGAAGACGTATGACACTAGAAGGTGACGAATTGTCAACTTCACGCCCCAGTTCCTTTACCCCATGCAAATAAACTCCCAGTAACTAATAGTTAGGATGCTTTGGAGAAAAGAACAGTCTCTTTCTCCTTCCAGATCTCGAACTCCAGTTCTCAGTCGTCTAGCCCTTAGACGAGTCGCTGTACCGAATGAGCTATCTTGGATCCAAGAATAATAATAGTTCAAATCCACGCTTGCTTTTCTAAATTCCTTGTTACTTGCTTCCATAGGCTAAGATAAACGAATATTGGTGGGGGGGGGGAAATTCGTTTAAATTTCGGGTTTAAATGTGTAGCTCTTTCTCATCAGTGGGTCAGGCCTCAAATAGACGAATCCATTTTAACACTTGTTTCAAGATATGACATTCCTGCCTTAACGTTTCTCACTATGAAAGTTGTAGAAAATAGACGAAGGGGAGTTGTTTCCATAGCAACATCAATAAACAATATCAGGCGTTTGTATTCGTGAACAACTAATGCACTTACGATTCAATGGCTTAAGGCCTGACCGACGTAACTACACATGATAGCATTTGTGGGTTATTACCGTACAACGGCCAGAGTCCCATACTGGGGTTACACTGACGTTAATTCATGAACTGAGAGCTTCGGTAGCGCTGTGAAATTAGGAGATGAGTTGTGCGACACTGCCCGGACTTTTGGTATTTCGGGAGCTGAGTTAAGGCAAAGGTGAGCTGTTATATTTGATGGGTTTTATAGGTCTACATTAGCCTAGTTTGTTATGTAAATTAACCAACAATTGTAATTTTTACTACGCATTACTCAAATTTAATTTTTTTTTTTTTAATTTGCTCCTTTTCTTACTAATTTGTTAACGTTAAGCCAGTTTTAGCAGTCCTGCAAACTCAATAAGATTAACAATCCATGAGTGAGATCACAAGATTCGTGTCACTCACAGTCCAGTAGGCACGGATTACTCAGCCAGGAGGGAACCGTTCTGTACCCTCTGTCTCCATGGGGCAGATACCACGGAACAGCTGCAGACATACCAATACCATAGTTACTATAGGAATCTGACGATGGTGTATAACACACTGATATGTTGGGATTTTGGACTTTATCCATCGTCCTGGTTTTTAAGATAACAAATAAAAACACGACGTTTCGGAAACTGGATCTGTTTCCGTCCTCAGGTGAAGGAAAACACCTATTCAGTTGGGTCACTGGTCCAGTGATTGAGGCTAGCTCTATCTAAGGGACCCAACTGAATAGGTGTTTTCCTTCACCTGAGGACGGAAACAGATCCAGTTTCCGAAACATCGTGTTTTTATTTGTTATCTTAAAAACCAGGACGATGGATAAAGTCCAAAATCCCAACATATCATACCAATACCGTATTCTCCGAAGAGGTTGTGAGTCAACACTGCTTTTGGCGCTTTTGGACACAGCTTGACAGCTGCGGGTGTTGGGGCTGGTTGTGTCGAATTCTTGGCTATCTGTGAGGTATCATCTTACACCTCTTTACTTCCGGAAGTCGTCATCCTGGGCCTTTGATTCCACTGAGGTTTTGTTCATTACATCACTTTGTCCTGCCCGTGAACTCACCTTAAAGAAGGCCTTCAGTTCATTCAGTGTTACCGTAAACAACGTAAACAGCGCTAAAATGCGGCTTCCCATCTAAACCTGTACAAACGTTTACTCTGTTCTCCTCCACACTATTCACAATAGAGGTCCCACACTTCATCCGTGTGCATCCGGCAAGAATCTCAATGTCATTGAGTACTTTATGTATGTACTTGTATTACAGAAGTTGCTTCTGGGTATTTGTTCGTGACGGTATGACATTGAGATTTCAGTGATACTAGCTTCTGTCTCCAGTATTTCCTGAATCCCGGTACTAGGACGTTGGCCATCTTGGTGTACACTCAAGTTCACCGCTTGTTTTATTGATTCGCACGGCACTGCACAGAACCGCGGCCGGGCGGCAAAGTTCAACGATACCACCTGCGCCAAACGGGAGTTTGCCATGCACGCACTACTAAAGTGAACTCCGTAAAATCCACTTTGTCCAACACACGTTTCGTTCAAATCACTAAATACATTCAAGACCTGGTGTAGTTGAGTTCCTGTCTGACTGTGAACTTATAACACATTCACTAATCTACACTCCATAAATCAGTACTGCGCGCGCTAAGTTTCTACCAGTCGTTGCTTGGTAAAGGCTCAACTAACTCCCCTGAACCGGATACCCAGTCTCAACTGACTTCTGTCCCACCTATCAACTCTCAACTCCTGATTAAGCTCAGTCAGGGTTAGAGTCAGAGGCAGAGTTACTTTACGACTGGTGGTTTACCACCAATCAGTTCGTCTTGGCGCCAAGCCCCTTGAGAATCACGCCCACCAGTTTTTTTTTCAACTGAACACTTGCGGTCATAGTCCTTATGTAACGCTCTCTCTGATGAGAGGAAGGGTCTGTCATTTACAGTTGCCGCTCGCTCTCTCCAGCGCAGTCATTTTCGGGTCCGAGTCCTGCGGGACTCGTGATCATATTTTGCTGTCTCAGTTTTGAGACGCCCCAAACTTGGAGGACCATGTCTCCATATTTATATCTCCCAGGAACATTGTGGCCCAGTTGTACCCCCAGGGACTGGGTTCCCTTTTCATCTCCTCCTATGACTTGCAGGGCTATGATGGAGGTATTTGGACCTGCATCCACACAGCCTAACCCTGATGGGTTTGCTGAGGCTCTAAATGAAGTTGTAGATTGATATGTGTAGTGTAGGAGAACTGGCCGGTACTTTTGCATTCCCTGCAATCAGTTATGCTGGTTACATTTATATCATGAAGTATGCTGCCTGCCGATCCAGGGCATACTGCTGAGGGAACAGTGGATGCAGCCAGACAGGAGTGATCTGTCCCGATGTGGGCTGCTGGAGGAACAGGTTGCATAGGACGAAATACTGGCAACACTGGATACAAATTAGAAACCATGAATACTTGAATCCATGGTTGGCTAGAGTTTTCTGTATTTAGACTTTACTGTAATATTGAACACCATCCTTTACCTATGTAAACACTAACAGCACACATTTTTCAGGACTGACAAAGTGGTACAATGTTTCTGAGAAGTAAAACTGGGCTCCTGGAAGGAGTACGGAAACCTGTGCAGCGACAGGAGCCAGTGAGTATTTTCATATCTGTTGGGCACATGAGGTAGGGACAAACTTTATGGAACAAAGGTCAAAGGAGAATATAATGGCATAAATACAAAGTTTCTGCTTCCAAGAACACTTTCAGTAAAGTGAGAGAATTTTAGAGAAAATGTTCTAATGCACTGTCAAATGAATATGATTATAGTTCTCAGCCCGATTCATTTATTTTATAACATGGGTTTCTGGATTGCTCTGAAGCAGTGGATCCCAGCCTTTTCACCACCAAGAACACTTCTCAATTATTTTTATCTTACAGACCTCATGCTTTCTTTAAAATTCCTTTCCCATCGAATTGTCCTTATTGACTAATAATTATGTAGTGTTACTGAACTGAAAAAAGGGTGGGGTGGGGTGGGGCAGCTCAGCCAGTGCACACCTCTCACTCTCATAACTTCAAGAATCCTTTCCCCCTTTCTTGTTCTCATTTCTCCCAGAAAATCAGAGAATCACCAAGTTCTCATTATGACCAGAACATTTTTGGAGTTTTATCATGTATAAAACTATGACTGGAAGGCAAAGGAAGGACAACCTTCGTCTCATTCTGTGCTTGGAATCAGCGCTGAGTGTGCGTGCATGCAGAACCAGATGAGAAGCAGAGCGTGGTGCGAATCACAAGTTACTGCAGTCCAAAATTCTGGAAGAGGTCAGTGCTGTGCTGTAAGGTGAATTAGCAGTGAACAAAAAGAAACCTACTTCAACATCTTAAGTGACAACTGTCAGCAAGAAATTAGCTGTTCTGAAACACTATAAACATTACAGCAGTTCTGCCATTTGTCACTATCAAATAAAATACACAACAATATATAACAACAATATACAACAAAAGAACAGCACACCTTCGCGGACACTTAAGGGTCAGATATTCCACTTTGGGAACCACTGCTCTAAAGGGAGAGAAGATAGGATGTGCGGTTGCTTCACCATTCTGTGGGTATATTTCATTTATATCTGTGACAGTATGTTATCTGTAGCTCAGATATCTGCATGAGAGATTCTTAAACTTTCCTCTCAAATGCCAAAAAGTTTCTCCAATGTGTTCCTCTCACAGTGCTTTTATATTATTAGAATATTAATATATGAATATATCTGTGTATGCATGCAGATATCCAAGTTATATACAATGTAGGTGTATATAAGAAAAGTTGAGGGGTGGGTGGGATTTTCTGTTTTACAGTTTATTTCTTTGTACTTCACTGTTGAGCCATTGGCTGGTGTAGACTTCTTAGCAGGGCTCTTCTTTTATTATAGTATCAGATGAAGCCTTACGAACATGACCAGGCTTTAATCCCCAATTAAGGACCACTGCTCTATGTGAAACAATTCTATAGGTATGTGTTAGAGATTCCTGTCTTCTGGGGTGTGATGCTATAAGACCTGATAGAGTGGTGTCAATGTTCTGGAGGGAACTTAGCCTCAATTTTAAGACTATTCTACTCTGAAGCTTGAGTCAGTACATTTCTCCAAAATGTAGCTGGAATTCTAAATGGCATCATGACCCTCCCAGAAGGGAATATTTTCCTGCTTAATCATTTTCTTTTGCAGAAGACTGTGAAGAAAAATCTCTTTATACATTCTTCCTAAGTAGCTTTAGTATAGACTTGAAAGGATTCTGACGATGGTGTATGCTGTACTAGGCTAATTTTGGACTCTGTCCATCGTCTGGTATATAGAAGACAAAAAACCACAACGTTTCAGAGACTGGATGTGTCTCTGTCCTCAGGTGGATGGGGCAGGATAAACCTACTCAGTTGGGCCCGTCAGGAAGAGCTAGTCTCAATCACTGTCTTCTATATACCAAACGATGGATAGAGTCCAAAATAAGCCTAATAGTTTTGTATAGGTTTAGTATGATTTATAATTTTACAAAACATAAAATTATGTATGTTCCATGCAGATGAACTCTGCCGAGTTCCCAAACTTTGTATGTCCAGCGCCATACACACTGCGCCCATTTGCAGGGGTGTACAATCCCTTTCCATATGGATGTTCCATTCTCTGCAACCATCCAGCAGATTACGAAGCTAAAGATCTTGTCAAGAGAGCAAAGGATTCATGGGTAAGCAGTAATTATGAAATATAAATTCCTGTTGGATGATATTCTTGTAGACACTCTCTCAGGAATATGAATACTCAAAATACATGTGATCTAAAGTAGAGGTAGGGGAGGTTATCCTGAAGTAAGTTCAGAAGATTTATATTTTGAAGACTTATTGAATTATTTTACTATTAAAATGTTTTCTGAGAATCCCTAATATATTTGTCCCCCAAGGCTATTGAATGTTTGGATTTCAGCTTAGTTTCCTAGATGCTTAATTAAAGAACTAAAGTTGTCCCTGTATTCAATTAAGCTTGACAACTTGAAGACATATGGTGGAGTGAAAGTCTAGCTCAAACATGTCCTTAACCTTGGCAGTAAAGGCCCACCCCTTATACATTCATTCATTCATTCATTCATTCATTCATTCATTCATTCATTCATTCATTCATTCATTCATTCATTCATTCATTCATTCATTCAACCTTGGCAGTGAAGTCCCATCCCTTATACACTCATTCATTCATTCATTCATTCAACCTTGAGAGTAGAGAGATGTGAGTGGTCTGCTGCATGCCCAGGCTGCTTTACCCTAGGAGAAAGAGTCCCTCGTACCCATTACATAGGAGACTGGGTGAACCCAAGAAGAGGCCTTGACATGGTGCTCCCACTGAGAATCAAACCCAGGTTATCCAGACCATAGCCAGTTACTATACTTACTTAGTTTCTTTGCCTAATATTTTCTTAGCCATATTATTTATTTCCTGATTTTTGGATAAATATTTAATGTAAGAACATAATTCTGTTTTACGTTATGAATCTTGGCACTGTTAGAGAACTCATTCTGGCTATATAACCTGTTCTTAATCATATAATACAATTTTTTAAAACTGTTTATTATTACTTATGTTAAGCAGAATGGTGTAGTGGTTATTTTTGCCTGCTTTGCACTGGGCTTTGTGTTGTGGATATTCACATATCCCATTTTAGACAGAAAAGTTAAACTGTTTTACAGGCTAGGCTTGATGTCATGGACAGTTTGTATGTTTTCAGCAAAAGGATGGTAACTGGAAAATTCGATTAACTGTAGAATTTGATTAATTTTATTTTGCACCGATGAATATGTTAAAGAGCACAGATCCCAGACAGAACAATAACAGGAGATAACTATAGCCACACATGGTGACAGATATATTCCAGAGGAGTAATTGTAAGTAACTACGAAGGAAATTCATGTAACCAGAATGCATATGTTGATGTAAAGTGTAAGAAACAGCATTGCTAAGATTGAAATAAACAGAAACTTCCTTGACCTGGATCTAGGAATGAAGGCACTGTCACCTTTTCAAATTCAGGAATTGTTTACATAATTAGTTAGTTATTGGAGAGGGTGGGTTTCCCCATGCACTTAGACCAGTATTGGTCCATTGTGCTTCCCTCTATGATATTCTACCAGTCTCTATACCCTACCGATAAATGGTGCATACCATCAGTCCCGCCGAGCAAGCGAGTTCGGCCACTTGCTTAGCGGTGTCTATAATGCTTCCCCCATCTATCAGAGGCCTTAGAGACTATTGTTGGGCAGGAAACATCCTGGAATTTGGCTCAGTGCTCTCCTTTGGAGATATGAGGTTCTTTTACGTGCTGTAAAGTTACGACACGGGACACACAGCTTAAAGTCCCTCCCGGAGGACTTGTTCCCTGAATTTTTCCGCCCTTAAAAAATTCGACGACCTCCACCAGCTATTTGAACCTGCGTACCACGAGTCATGAGGTGGGAATGTTACCTCTAGACTACAGAGGCCGCTAATTGTTTACATAAATCTGGATATATTTGCTGTAATGAACCTAGGTTGAAAATTAATTTAAGAAGTGAGATTGTGATTTTGGAGCAACCCTTATACTATGTCACCATGGATTCTGTCAAGTCTGATACATCTGGCTGGTCTCAAAACAATTGATGGTGTTGCAGAGATCAGTGTCATTTATGTATGCTAAAAATATCACTTGATATCAAGTTATATAGGCTGAACTGCACATATGTAACATTGATTATATATGTATATCTAGAATATTGAAATTGGTAAAAAAATTATGTACTCTAAGACATTTTGGGGACACAGATTTGAACACGTGAACTTTAATGAATTATTAATGCAACAATATTAAATTATGAAGGAAGCAGTCTTCTGGGATTTGGCACCGTGTATATGTGGTGTTAACCGACGTTCCTCTGAAACGTCGGTTAACACCACATATACACGGTGCCAAATCCCAGAAGACTGCTTTCTTCATAGTCAGCGCCATGAAAGCCTCAAATCTTACAATATATAATTAAATCAGATATGCAGAATGGTGTACTTTCTGTCACAGGCTACAGAGGGGAAAGCACTCCTGCTTCCAGAAGAAATTGCTGCAATTCACGCAGGTTTCCTTCAGGGCTCACTTCCTGCTCCATATGATGATGTGGAAGATGCTGTCCCAGAGGAACTTTTTCGTCCTTACACTGACACTGACTCAAGACCCCTGACCCCAGCTCCTACTCTGGCGAGCATCATGACCAAAGGATCACTTCGACGCTGTGTCACCCCTGACCCAATCCCAACACACATTCTGAATCCAACCCGGGAGCGAACAGTTCTTCTACTTGATCTCCGCCGAAGTCACAGTCAGGACATCCTGAGTTGGCAGGGATTAGGTCTACCAGCTACAAGCGCCTTTCATTCTCTGTCTAGAGATGTATCTCCAGTTGAAATAGGCCAGGATGAGCACGTTCCCCAGAAGAAGAAAATCAGTGTTAAAAAAAAAGGAGCTGTAAGTGGGAAGATTGAGGAAAATGATAAAAGTGTACATCAGAAGGTATGATACTTGTACAGAACATTTAAAATTATGTATGGTTTTGACCAAATTTTCGTCAGTCAACTGTGATAAAACTAACCATTTAAAGACTGAATTGCTTCAAAATAATATATACAAATTCAATTTGTACCTCAAAAGAATTATGTCTCTGCTATAAAGACCAACCGGTTAATGCAGTTTAGGGAAACAGTCACTGTTTATTATGAGAACCATACAGAACACACAAATACACTCTTTGGGCAGAATGCAGAGATGTAATGTGTTGAAGTGGGTGGTACATATATGATTAGTAACCACTGGGATGTAGAGAGTTAAGGAAATCAATAGAAAAATTATCATCTACAGTGGTTTCACAGTCTAATGTGCATGCAGTCTTGCACAGCTCCATAAAATTCTACCCGACTGTCTAAACGATTCATGAATGAATGAATTAATGTATAAGGGATGGGCCTTCATGGCCCTTGCACCTCGACTTACAGTGATTTATTGTGCTTTAAACGATTCACAGTTTTCAAATAAATTCTGACTTGCAACAGAACAAGGATGTAATCCATACAAGATGAATACAAAAAAAAAAGATAGAGAGACCTTCCTGTGCTTGCTGCCTGTATACTGCTTTGGCTATACTGAGAGGTTTATCCCTTAGATTAGAGCTTTACTGACTACTTGTTCACAGCACATGACACCAGCTGATGTCCAGCTTCTCTCTAATGAGAAAGTCAACTGATACCACATAATCTAATTGAAGGTTCTCTTCATTCTCGAAAAGTGTTAATTTATGTCATACTACAGCGTCAAGGCATTTTGCACTGATGTAACAAATTCTGTGACATGCTGAAGTTCACCTTCCACATTACATTCCAGATTGTAATCTGTAAGGTATCCAGAATGCATCGATTATTTCATAATTTTTTTTGTTTCAAGCTTCCCTACAGATGAGGATTAAACACATTCAGTTCTGAGAAACATGACAGTGCTGTCCTCTACTGATGAGACTTTCATTGTAAAGAGACCAATGCAGTGTATACTGGTGCACTCTCCTGCTTTGTCTATCATTAAAACAAGCTGAGGATCAATAGTACCCTCATGAATGTTTCTAAAAATGCCAGTTGCAAAAGTTGCATCCTGGAACTCAACCTACAAGCTGCAGTGCTTTTGGAAAGTTCCTGGACTAGGCAAGGAAAGAACTGCTGGCTTAACTTACTCAGTTTTGGCTGCCATCTACTTCTAAAAATAGTCTTCTTGGGAATGTATACAGTGACCCCATCGATTTCTCCACTCTCCAAAAGCACCTGGAAGTGCAGTGTCACGTGGCAGACTGATGCAACAGGCTTGCAGAAGTGTGACCTTGACCTCCCCCTACATCTTCTTTCACCTAGTCAGTTACAACAATAACAGTTCAGGAACTTTCTCATAGAACCTCATACTTCACACTGACAGAAGTTTATAAAGGCTATAAGAATACACATTTCAGAGACACCTGTTTCCTGGAAAAACTGACAAACTGATTTTTTTTTTGGGTTTTATGTTGAGCTTATTTTATATGCCTAGGAGAGTGTCTGATGTGAGCCCATGCTTTCGTTATGTCCCATTCTGTTTTTAAGTAAAAAATAGGATGATGGATAATTTCCAAGAAGTAAAAAGAAAAAATAAACTGTAAAACTATCTCTGTAATAGGCTGTGGAGGCTCACGGGGTCCTGAGACTTCAGTGCTCCCACATTTTGTAGATAATCGGCTCACAGATGTCAGTGAAGTTGTCAGGCTTACGCACCGGTCACTTTGTACCCCCCAGGAAGATTCCTGGCACTTTTTTTCTGTTAGAAATTGAGTTGACCCAAGGGCCACAGTGCAGCTGGAAGGGTTAGGTAAACTGAAAAAATCCAGTGACCTCATCAGGCATCGAACCCGTGACCTTTCGGCTTATAGCACAGTGCCTAAACCAACTACACTATCGCTTACCCCACAGGAAGTAAGTAATTGTTTTTAAATAAAAGAGGAGATTGATAACATCCAAAAAGTCAACAATTTTTATTTTTCTGCTTGATATATAAGGCAAGATGAACAGGACAGCAACTGAGTCAGCTTCCCACATTTGTTAAGAATCTGTAATGAGATTGTAGCCTGTCTCAAATAATTAAATAAGTTTATTTACTTCATTCCACCCACTTCATTCCACTTAGCTGAAAATGAAATTCCCGAATTTATTTCAGGAATATAAATTTTGAAATGAGTTCCAAGCCTTTGACACAACACATTATATCTCTTATTTACTCACACATGTTTCAGTGTACCTTCTGGGAACAGAGGAGTACAATATTTATGGTAAAACTAAGTTGCATTAAGTATCATACCTGTAACCAGTTGCAGCAGCAGGTAGTGCAAAGCGTGAAGACACTCTCAGTCCCCAGTGACTCTGTGAATATTCTGATGGACATGTCAGGTAGCAATGGAGAAGAGGATCTGCCTAAACGTCGGGGTAAGCATCGCCGCCATCGAAAGAAATCAGGCAGGGATGGATCCAGGGAGCCTGAGGAGTTTCAGGGGCTTGCTGAACCTGGAGAGACACAAGTAAGAATCTATGTAAGGGATTCAGTTCTAGAAGGACTAATGACCCTGAATTCCTTTGAATTCTGTATCCAGAAGCCATGAGAAATTATAAAATCATAACTAAAAAAACTAGTGAACTATTTATTTGCATAAATTCTCCGTTTGTAGATCTTAAGGTAGACTCGTCATTTTACCATGTCATCATGCATATAATTTTTCAGATACACAATAATTTACACTGTTCAACAAACTTTATTTTTTATGTTTCAGCTATAAGTGTGTTCATTTGTTTCTGAGACCCTTGTGTTCTTACAAGCTTTATTTTTGGAGTAAACATGGTAATCAAAATAAAAGTGGGGCTCCTCATGTCTGCTGTACATTAGCAATGAATTTTCAAATGTGGTGGTGGTGGTGGATTTTCTGTAAAGGAGATTTTATGATTTTTATTGTACTTTGATAAATAATAAAACTAGAAATTTATCAGCGCTGAGGATGGAAAACTTTGCATCCGGTTCTTGAAATTACTGTTAAGAAACTATTAGACATAGTGAATGAAATCACAGCTGACCAGTGCTGTTCATGTGATATTTATAGTTGTGCTTATGATCTGCCAAACTAAAAGTTGAATATACATTCCCCTATCAGTTATGGTGTTGTGTTGCACTGAATAAGAAAACAGCTGTAACAAAAGTCATATATTCTCCAAAGGTAGAGAATTTTAGGGGTTTACACTGAAATGTGCTAGTGTCACTCCCAGTTCAGATGTATGTAAAATTTATATTGATAGTATTAATGAAAGGGATTTAAATGAAAGGGATTTATAAAGGACAGAGGTAGGGTGGCCTTCAGTGGCATGATGTTTCATGGAAATACACCTCTAAGATTAGAATTTATTAGAGAAGGAATTGGGTACAATGATACTTTAAACTTAGATTAACTTTTCTTAAAAAGTAAGGGAAGTGGGTTAAAGACAAAGTACAAACATTCTGTTTTAATTCACACAATGCTGACTATACATTTCACCTAAATATTAAATACCAATGCAGATCTCTCTATATCCTAGCACAGGATTCATAAATTACATAAAATGGTGAGTGAGATGTGAGGAAACTCTTATTTGACATCTCTTGGTGCTAGGTGTCTGCAATGGTCAATGACTTCAAAAACATCAGTGCCCGACCTTCCCTGACCCCAGGAGCTGGCCCAGGAGAAGTAGAAATTGCAGACAACCAGCAAGTTTCTTCTCTTGAAGGGCACAGGTCCAGCCAGAGTGGTAGTTCTTTTATTGATGCAGCTATTCTGAAGCAGCTACAAAGAGAACTGGACCAGGAAGTTATAGACAGTGAGTTTAATCCAAAGGTTTGTTGAAATTGTGCATAGTATACACGCACTATACCTGTAAGTTCTGAAGTGTTCACAGTGACTAAATGCAACATTTCAGATGACATTGTTCAATAAAATTTCAGTCAGACAGATGTTTTTATTTTATCTATTGTATCTTTCTTTATTCATTTACAGAAATAAAAATAGAATTTTCTACCACATGCAGCTTTTGAGTGATAGTTGAATTTAGGTTACTGATATATTGCTTGCTTCTCCTTTGCTCTGTGAAGTTCTGGATGCCACTACTGGTAATCAGATGTTTAAAAACATGTTCCTCTATGCTTAGTTTTTCATAAAACTTATATGTTGACTTTCCTTTGTCAGTTACTTGCGCTCAGTCAGTGCAACTGTCTTTTATGTATGGCTTTTATTAATTATTAGCAAACTTTAAATGCTTCATATACTTTTATGTGAGTGTATGCTTATTGTTACATGCCAAAAGAGTCCTCAAGTGTGCCAACCAACAAAAAAGTTTCTGTTACATGTGTGAAGAGTTAACATATAAATATGAAAATGTGAAATTTCACTTCTCTCATCAAAATGTTTACAAACTTTATTCTGGTTTCAAGACAAGGGGATTAGGACAAGACATGGGCACCTTATGTACACAGTAGCAGATGTTAAGATTTCTGAGAGGCTGGCTCAGTGAGTCTTGTCAAATGCTACTTTTAGTTCAGATGACAAGCTCATTTAGCAGATTGCCAGGTCAGGTTAAGTAAACTGCTTCTGGGTCCAACCAGCACAGTCATTCATGGTTCCAAATTCCACAGGACTCATGACTGTCTCATGACTCTGGGAGTTGTGTAACTCCTTTGTTAACAGATTGTCAGTACTGCTTAACACATTTATATGTATTAGGCACTGCTGCAAAATCTGATCATATGGACCTGCACCCAAATTCACCATTAGCTAAGGCCTGTTTTATACAGTGAACATTTGCCACTAGCAAAGCCATGGGAAGTGTGGAATGTAAATGATGAAGATGAAAGATATTTAGAACATAATGACAGAAAATCAATAGATGTTGATCCAATTGTTCGTAAGCAGGACCTAATTTTATGTCTCAGGCAGACCACAGTGGTCCTATCCAAGAACTTAATTTGTCGAAAAGGTCGGGGTCTTTAAGAAAGAGGCACTAAGATATCTTTGTTCTTCCAGCATCAGTGCCACTTATATGGAAGGGTCATACAACAATATGCATAATTTTTGGAAAAATTTCCAAATATATGTGGGAACCTGAAAATTATCACACTTCTGCTTGGTTCATTACTGGGCTATAGAAAACTCTATGGGATAGCCATTACTCAAAGGCGCAATGACTATTTCAACTAGCATTACTTTTGGGGAAAAAATATGTCACCAGTCAACCTTTGATTAATCCACATAAGGTTTTCTTGGTGCCACTACATATTTAACTTGCTTTTGAAAAATTCTGTCAAATCTATGATCAAAATGGCAGCAGGTTTCTGTATATGAAACAAAAACTCTCAAGGATCAATGAGGTCAGTGGCAAAGCAGGTATATTTTTGGGACCACAGATCTGAGAAATCATAAGAGACAGCATATTTGGCAGTAGTTCAAGTGAAGTTGAAGGAGCATCTTGGAGTCTGGCATGCACCTGGTCTGCACATGCATTATGTCACTCATCCCATCAGCTGCTGATGCTGGAGACAGTCTCTAATATAATTATTATGTCAGTGTACTAACATGACAAACTGAATATTTTGCAGAGGTGCAGAGCCCTTAAAGAAGCTCTGAAATCTTGTCCTGACAAAAAACCACCAATAAGTGAAGAGATGAAACGACTGAAGTGTGAGATGAGACTTCATTCAAGTTCTATTGAAAATCTGCTTAATCTACCTAGAAATTTCTCGCGCCAGAGCTCCAGGTTCGAACTGCCTTTGGACAGCAGACTCCTCAACAGTATGTGGAAAAATGCTGTAATTGTGATGTGTTCAAAATATGGGGTGTACACAAAATATATTCTGCAATACATAATTAAACAAACAAGAAATTTAAATTTTGACATACACTTAGAATTTGTTAGTAATGTTCCATATATGCACCTCTTGTAATGCAGTAGATATGGAAAAAATATTCAGCCTCAGCCCAAATACATTCCTTCTTTCTGAGCATATCACAATGAAGACCATCTCTTTTTCTTCATGACCAGGTGAAGGAGGAGGAGGAGGAGGAGAGTGGGAAGTTGAAATTTCCAGCAAGATGCTGCACTGACCCCTTTCGGCAGCTTTGTTCACACTGTTGCGAATGAAACTCCTCAAATTATTGGGGGAAGGGGGGAAGTAGCCTTATTTCATAGGAATTCCAATTTAATATCCCTTGACTTTCAACTCATGTAGCTGTTGGACAAACAGACAATGTTGAAACATTGAAACAAAGCATTATGGTAGCTATTGACAGCATCATCACCAGAAATGTTCCAATGTGTTATCTCAATATCTGCTGCAATACAAGAGATGCCCATATGGAACTTCACTAACACAAATTATAAGTGTATGCTGTCATTTTCCTTTTAATTTCGTTCTATTAAGTATCATGTGTATGGATATGTAACACTTTAAAAAGCAGAGAATACATTTTGTGGACATCTTTTGTATTTAATAAGAAATCTAACCTGTAGAACTCTAAAAATCTTGTGCTCACTAAGAGGTTATATTTTTCCATGTATATTGCTTGCTAAAAACTGGAACAAGGAGTTCCCAGAATGAAAAGCATACATATTTTCATTGTTTCAGCAATGACTCCTATGCAGTATATACAGCGTTACATTTGCATCTCCAGTGGCCGCCGACAGCTTTATAATACAGTGTTCAACAGGCACAAAGAGAAAGTGGAAGAGGATGAGACAGAACGTCGAATTGTAGGCCAGGTATATAGACAGTATTTCCTGTAGCTACAGTAGTTATACCTCATACTGCCATTAGCCAAATTAAGCAATATCTTTCTTGAAATATTTTCTGATTTTCTATTTATATGCTGAAGTGAAGCAAAATATTGTCATGTGTATGAGTGTTACTATAAACAGGTTGGATTGATCATGAGATTTATCAGACTTTTTGATACAGTGCGTGACTACACTTTCTCAATCACTGTCACACACAGACCAATGTTCTTAGTCTGTTACATTCTCAAATAGCCGTTGCTTTGTTGCGGCTTCCAATGGCAGACTTTCCCCTTCCTCTGGGTTTGAAACTACCCGTGGCTTCAGGTAACAGCCTCTAACAGCAACATCTAAACCTAAGCGGTTCTCTGACTGACTCAGGCACTCATCAACTAACTCAACAAAACTGACTGCCTCTTCACTAACTGTTCTGCTTATAACATCTCAGCATGGACTACAAAGAAAACACCATTCCTCTGTTGCAGTTGTTTATTTTGTGCTCGTTGCCTAGCAATGGGTCTATATGCCACAATATGAATGACCATTGAGGAAACCAAGAACTAGGAAGAAAGACATATAGTGAGTGAGACATACAAAATAGTAGGAAACAAGCTGATGGAAGGATAGAGGAGAATGGAAGTGGCAGTGAAATTGTGAGTGGATGATGATGTGAAAGTAGATTATTAATGTCTTTATGAATTTTTGGGGTCCTCTGATGGTTCATTTTGACGGGAATTAAACTTCACTTTTGTTGTGCCTCTTCAATATAAAATGTCACCCAAATCCCATCACATGTCTTGGATTTCAAACATGCCTGTGGATGTGAGTTCCATATAGTGTTATCTGGAACTTCCTAAACTGTTCTGGGAAATGGTTGGGCAGTACATTAACAGAAAGGTCTTCTCTTGGTGGATCCCAAGGTATATAATTCTAAAGGAAATTTCTGAAGAATGATATTAGCCAGATGGAGATGCTGGAAATTATGGCAGAGCTTTTACACCAAGCATGAGTATTACTATATAGAAGCTGGAGCCATTTCATGACAGCCTCTATGACTTAAAAAATAAAGAGTACAAAATATTTGTACATTTTTACTAAAGACAGTGTGCACTTACCAAATGTGAATGACTGCCTCTTCACTAGGACACCTTAAGTAGGAACTGACTAGCTGCTGAGAGGCTGCTCCAGTACCAGATAAGTAGCTGTTCATCATTTTAATGCTTATTCTTTTATGTGAGTTTTACAATTCTAATTTTCTTCCAGATTTATAGCTGTTACAATTTTCTATAAGGCAGAATCACATTTTTTTCCTTGGTTCTCTAAATTCCAGGGATGCTTCCCATATTGTTCCAGAAAATGCATGTATATCAGGAGCTCTTGATTTTCTGGCAGTTTGCTTAAATGGAAAATGTACAGTTGTCTTCAGACACATACCAAAGAGCACAGGAACTGCACCCATGTGCCTTCTTACTATTCATTAAATTTGGAAGCTGAATAACTTGCTCCATTGATATAACACCGATGGCAGATGATTTATTATTAATTTTCAAGTTGGTTTACATGTCACTGTCACTGATATTGCTTCACTTGATGATACTGAATACTAGACAACTTTTAATTCAAATTCTTTTTATGTAATATCCTGCATTCCTGCAGCCAAAATGTATTCCTCAGTAAATTTGTTTCTTGTACTTCATGTCCTTAAAACAAAGTAAAACACATCATTTTACAACCATGTTGAGCCTCCCCATTTAGTTACTGTTGTTCCCAGATACTGAAATTCTGAAATATTTTCAAACTCCTTAGTACATACAGTAACACTGTGATTTCACTGCTGATGTTGATTTTATATTATCCTCATATAATTAGTTTCACTTATACTTGCTTTTAGACAAATTTCTTTGCTAGTCTGAAAGAAAATATCTGTCTTCTCCATAAGGCTTTTGGAAAATTTTTGTGATGCAGTGCATTCTTACAGTGATGGGTTGTTAGTCTTATCCCCAACCATTCAGTCTGCTGCTTATTGTATATATTTACAGCTGTCCGCTTCTTGACATTCTGCTCCATCCACTGAGGATGCAACATGTCATGATGGCAGAAAAACATGTAATATGCCCAAAAACCATATCCCATGAAATCTGAAACTTAGCCATGACCATGTAGCAATTATTCCTGTGTGTATCAAGAAGGCTGTATGTAATGTATTCTCCTTCACTGTTATTGTTATTGTAATGGGAAACATTCCTTTCAATTTTGTCTTTCTTTAGAATGTGGCGGTAGCTCTTGGAGAAATAATGGGCCGTCCGTTAAGCAATGAGCAATGTAAATACATCAGAGACCTGATTGGCTGGGAAGACTGTGATCTACTAGATTTTCGGACATGGTGTGGTTTATGTGCACTGTGTGAACGCCTTCTAGCACCAAAGTTCATTAATTTACTTCCGTCAAGGTTAACAGACCCATGTCACGAGGTGGAACAAGCTGATTTTGAAACTCTGCCCCAAAGACTGCAGGGGCTTCACCCAGATCCTCGACTTGTTACCATTCTTCACAGTATATGGAAACTGTAAACAGACTATACTTGAATATGTATCATGTCTCATCATTACATACCATACTTTACAGATCAATTTTGACTTTTATGGTATGCATCCTGTTGTGTGTCATACAAAAGATATATAATGGGGTAGTCTACCCAACATTAGTGCTGAAAGAGACAAACAGACACTACTGTGTCAGCATTTGTTTTATTGACTGTGGGTGGTAACCAATGTTGATCTTCAAGGTGTGACCATGAACATGGGAGCTGGGATAGCACAGTCAGTATAGCAACTGGCTATGGCCTGGATGATCAAGGGTCCCGGTAGGCCCAAGAATTTCTATCTCCACATCATCCACCCTGGCTTTGGGGCCCTATGTATATATATGCTACTTCACATGTAGTAAAGAATAACAGCGGCACGCACACAGGAAGACTACACAGGATAACACCTATACAGTGTGGAAACAAGAACTAGCCGCTGCAGCACTTTAGACATAGGGCGAGTAACCCTAACAATTTTAAATTTAAAATTGAGAGAAAAATTTTAAAGGTTTTAAAATTAGAACTAAAGATTTTATAGTGCTACTACAGGAACGTCAAAATTAACGTGTGTAAAATAATCTACAAACCAGACAGATATCAACGAAGTAGATGTTGATAATAACAAGGAAAGTGTTTTAAATGTTAAATTTTGGGCTGGGTGCAGTGTGACAGCAACGTGAGTGTTATACACCTGATGATGGCCGTCTGAGGCCGAAACATGTAGTGTAGAGGAGCAAGATCAAGGACACATAATATATTGTTTGCACTTGGGACGGAATTTGTATCATTATATCATTTATTGTATGGAGTGCAACAGGATGCTTAAATATAATATATTATTATATTTGCCATATTATTCTGCCTTGTACCTAACTGGTGAAGATGAATATATCAGATTTTCATGTATCATTAAATGCAATCTTAATTTTGTTGACAAGGATGTGATTCACGTTCTCGAGTTCCATCATTTTAATGAAATTAATAATGAATGGGTACCTGATTACTGTTGCTTACTGTGCACGATTTATAATACTTAAACATAACTGAAAAACTATGTTCTGTGTGGCTTTCAAGTGAAAGTTGTGAACAACTTATGAGGTTTAATATATGTGTGTCTGATGAAAACAGACTTTTCTTTCAAATTTCCACATCTTCAGCTTTCCTAAATGCATGTATTCCATGTATGTTACAGCTCACAATGTCCATTGCATTTGGATAAAGAGGTGTTTGATGTGAAAGAAAGGTTATTACTTTCCAGGCACTGCTGAGAAAAATAATTTGCAACCTAAAGTCATGTACTGCAGATGGTCTTACTATGTTGTTTTTTTTTTTAGGGGGGGAACCAGGTATAATATCACTTCACTCATATTCCTCCCAAAGGATATGGGTGAAGTGATACTGAACAGAGTTAAAAAACGGGTGGTGGGTGTAAGAACCTCTGCAGTGCAAGAGATCTGGTCGAAAAATTATTTATTGTTATTCTTGAGACAACATGGGCGGGGGGAGCAAGGAGCACCCAAAAGGTGATATGTTAGCATACCTTCTTACCGTTTGTGCTGTCGGATCTGGCGGCCATTTTGTATTTACTTAGAGGTGAATGCGTAGAGATGACAGCAGCATTGCACCGTGGTGTCATGGCGGCCATATTGCCCACCAATAACATGAGAGTTTCGCGGGGCTGGTCCAGTGTATCCCACACAGTCAGTGAGGAATATGTAGTTGGTGTGAGTGGTGTTTTTATACGGAAATAGAAAGAAAATGTAATTCGTATAAGGTTGCCAAATGAATGCAACATTTAGTAGTAATAAATATAGTGGATCGAAATTAATTAACTTATTGTTGTAACCCAGTTAGTTTTCCAGTGAATCCTTCCCATGTTGGGTTGAAATTATGCTGTAGTTTAAGTGTTTGGTGTGTGCTTGAGAGGCGGAGGTGAAAGAAAAGTCGCAAAATGGCGGATCTAGAGGCAGTGCTCGCAGACGTGAGCTATTTGATGGCTATGGAGAAAAGCAAATGTACTCCAGCAGCCAGGGCCAGTAAAAAGATTATACTTCCAGACCCTAGGTATGTACAGATTACGATTACAGATATCAACATTTTGCCTTGAAAGTACGAGTTTGGAAGGCAAGCTGTCACTCCTGGCTTTTATCAGTTCTCCATAAAACTGTATTTTTAATGGACAGCAGTTAACGTTTACAGTGTCAAGGAGAGAGTGAAGTAGCCCCTGAATTAAATAGTTATGACCCATTATCAGTGCGTATACAGTGTGAATATCAGTATCTGGGTGCGGGTGTCATAATTCCGTCACTGAGTACAAGCAGTTAAGGATTTGCTGACACCGTTTACGATTAAAGCTGTCAGTCAGTGAACAGTGTAATTCGCGCTGTTAGCTTTTGGTATTGAGATTTTCAGTGCTTAATAGGATCTGAGAAAACACCTGTATTGTAGAATGTACATTACAAAAGCATTTAAACGTGTTTTCGCCATATAGATACTTGTGGCAAAGTACAAATGTACCTTTGGGGACTCGATGAAGCGAAGCGAACCTCACCTAACCCAAGAAAACCATATTTTATCACGTTATTATCTTTATAATGTAGAGACCAGTTACATAGGGTATTTGTATTATGGCAAGTACCATTGCAAGATAAAATTATATACAGTCACAAATATACTCCATGTCTGTATTGTAAAGTTGTTAGTATATAAGATATAATGAGAAATTTTCACTTTGTTGTCAGAGTCTTGCCTTTGCTATGGTGAGGAGTGGTGGGTAATAGTGTTTTGTGTTTTTATAAATCCTTCATTTGAGGTGTATTTATATACTTTATTTGATTTTGTTGTTTATCACATATTCACAGGTATATTGAGATGTTCAGTGTTTACTTTCATAATAATCTGCTGTCTCTTCTGAATATTTTAATTCAGGGACCCTCTAAGAGGGCCCTGAACATCTACACCCTACGTCAGAGGGCACAGTTACTAGGTCTTCTGCTGCCTTGGGGCTCTGGTCATGGGCCCATTGAGGGTGGGACTGAGGAAGTTCATAATAGAGTGAGTGGTTGATCAGGATGATGAATTGGGTAGGCTGGCAGTTGAAGTGGACCAGGGGTGGAGAGTTCATTTCATTTAATTTCATTTTTATTATCATTCAACAATCCATACATACAGGTATTACAACCATTTGGATAGGGAAATTGTCAGTTTTACATCTAATTTCATGCATATCTCTACAGTATACACTGTACCACCCTAATATAGGGGGTTTGTCATCTGAATATTATCTAGATCTAGTTACCATTAATTTAATTGTCTTTACACAAATACAACAAATTAATCAGCTACATATTACATTTACACACTTGACGAATCAAAAGACATAAATTCATCTACAGAATAAAAGGAATGTTTCAGCAAAAAAGATATTAATTCCTTTTTAAATGAGTTATAATTTTCGGTTTGTTTTATTTGATTGGGGACCTTATTATACAAACTAATTCCCATATTTATCACACTCCTCTTAAAAAGAGCTGTATTACAGTGCTGTCCATGAAAATTTAATTTTCTTCGTGTGGTAAAATTATGAATGTCTGAATTTATTGCCATAAAAGCCTTGTATTTTTTGATAAACATGTCACCTCCAATATATACAGAGAAGGCAATGTTAAAACATTTATCTACATGACGTGCGACTACTAATACCACTAATCACTCAAAGAACCCGCTTTTGCAATTTAAAAATGCTTTTACTTTCCCCATCCCCACCCCACAATAAGATACCATTTCTCATACATGACTCAAAATTCGAAAAATAAATAATTTTGATCATATATGGATTTATTATTTCTTTTAATATTTTCACCATATAAATTACTTTGCATAGCTTTGCTTTTAGAAATTGAGCATGAGCGCACCATTTTAGGGTTTCTGTCATGTGAATTCCAAGAAATCTCAATTCTGACTGATATACTATTTCTGTATTATTAAAAACTATTTGTGGTCTTAACGGATCTCTCCGCTGTTTTGAATGTCTCAGGGGCAGTGTCCTTGGTGTCTAGCTAAGATCAGGTGGGGACACTGCTATTACTGTCACATTATCATCACCATTGTTGGCCTTGTAGATATTGAATCAGCCCATAAATAATTGAAATATACAATAGATACAAGAGTATGAAGAGGTAGCAATGTCAGGACAGACCACTGTTTACTGATTTAAAATTTTCTGATGTTTAAAAGATGGAAAAAAGTAAAATCATAACAATAAATGCCTCCAAAGGACAGTTATATGTGCAAATTACGCATATTAAGAAAAGCAACATCAGAGTAGAATGAATAAGTACTATATAGATGAGCTAATTGGATAATAATATCCTATTTTTGGAAATTTGAGATCTGTTATACATATAAAAGCAATATGAACACTGGGGAAATAAGAAAAGAAGGTATGTACAGGAGAATAAGAATATGAAATACAGATATAGCACAGAAAATGAAAGAAATTATACAGTAATCATGTAACAGATAGAAGTGAATATGAATTAAGGCCAGCCGTAGTGAAGAAAAAGTAATGGAAATTAATAGAGAACATTGGGACTGCTGCATAGCAGATTTAGAATATGATGGGCATGGCCATAAAGGTAACACCTGTAGAATTATCAGGGAGCTAAATGAAACAAAGCCGGTCACGGTAGCTGAGAGGTACTGTCTTTGCTCGCTCAGAAGCTGCGATCGTGGGTTTGAACCCCACACAAGGCATGGATGTCTGGTGTGTGTATGCATTTATTCTGCGTTTGTCTTGTCCTCAGTTTATGTAGAGGCCTTGTGACAAGCTGAATACCCATCCAAGGAGTCCTGCCGTCTGTAAAAATGATCATTGCAACTGAGAAATCAGCTCAGTGCTCCAAAAAAAGTGGGAGTGAGAGGAAGAAAATGAAACAGAGGATACACGCACTTGAACGCTATACCTCTTCACCAGTGGGAACAGTATTAGCAGCAATTATAGACAAGCAGAGAAGTAAACACTGTAGTGGCAGGAACTGATGTTACTGTAGATCCTGTCACTTGGGATGAAGTATTGTTAACATTTCAGAATTTTAAAACAAAAGCACCAGGCCCAGATGGCACAAGAAATAGAATTAATAAAAAAGACAGGTAAAACATATCAACACATGAAAATATTTTAAGAATGCCAGGTAATCAGATTTCTGAGAAGCCATTTGGCTGTCATCCTAAGGGAAGAAGAGAGGGAGGTCAGCTGCCCAAAGGAATGTAAAGATTAGTTAGTTAGTTAGTCAAACCCAAAGATCAGAACAGGTCAAAGGCCTAAACCATTATTATTATTATTGCCGCCACCATGACGACGATGACTACTACTGCTACTGCTACTTGACATCCACCAGATCATGGCTCATTTAAATGAGCCAAGCATGAGCGGTACTGCTGTGTCTCATACGAATCTTGGCATTTATTATTGAAAAGTTAGAGGTCTCAGGACCAAGCAACTTGAATTTTATGACAGTGTTTGCTCATCCAATTTCGACATCATCTGTCTTTCCAAGGCATGCCTCAATGACTTGTGATATGATCAGTTTCCAAATGCACCGTTTATCGGTCTGATTGGCTATATAGTAACAGGCCCAGGTATGACTTAGAATCCTGCTCTGAATGCGTATGAGTTGAGGTTCTTGTTGTTGATGACATAAATTTGTAACCATTATTTTTCCTCTGGCACTAAACCTGAAGTTATTAATGATTATTTTCACCTTCTTGAAAACGTTCTGGACACCAACAATTTTCACGTTATTTTACTCAAATTAGGGGACTTCAGTGGTTCTGGTGTTAACTAGGAGGGCGGGTGACTTCAGCCGATCTTCCACTATTATTCTAAACTCAAGGGAGAAGCTGTGTAGACTTCCACATGTCTTCTTTGCCTTAGGCAGTGATTTGCAGTTTTTGACAGGCATAACTTGCTTGTCTAGTCTTTGCTAATTTCACTGATCTAAAGTGTGTTCCTGCTGACCCTGGCTTGGTCAAGCCTGGTGCATATCATCATCCTTTGAGTATTGATATATTTTTGCCTCATGTTAATAATAATTTGAATTATGAGTTCAGTTATCGAAATTTCGCAGCTGACAATTACACTTTGCTTTACAACATTCTTTCTGCATGTGGTCAAGTATTTATGAAACTTCTTTTGCTGATGTCGCCGTCACCAGCCTCAGTGCTGCTGCTCAAGATACCGTGGAGCAGACAAAACCTCGTGTGGCTATAACAGCAAGTCCAAATCCCCCCCCACACTTGGTTTTGTAATAACTTATGGTATTACCTTGTTGAGGCAAATTATTTCCACCGACGACCAGGTAAGCTGCTGGGTGTAAGACCTGCAATACAGGTGTGGCAGTCCTCTTCTGTAGCCAACCGAAGGCAAGAGCTTACTCTGACACGTTTCCGCAATGGTCACACCTGCCTGATTTATGAGTGTCAGTTCCATGGTGAAGAAGCATGAACTTGTGACCGCATCGAAGCACCGCTAACGATACGGCATGTTTTAACTGAGTGACCTGTCATATGCAAGGCTACCTACAGGGCATCCTCGGGGATCGCAGTTCCATTGCGAATGAAGTTTTAGATTATCCAAATAGCTTTGGGTTCACGAAGTCAGTATAATCGTACCTTACGTTTTACTTCATCAGTGCCTAATAATTTACAGTATATATGAATATATTGTGTCTGTACTTATATGTATGTATAAATACACACACATAATTTTATCAGTACTGCTTGCTAAATATACAGTGAATAGAAACGCATCCTTCATCCACGTAGAATTTTGTTGTAGGTCTTGGCCATTTGTATTGTATCGTACCTTTTATATTTTATCATCCAAATTTACTGCGTTTTTAGGCCATAGAGCCGAAGACGCTGTCAACCCTGTAACCCTCACTCGTTTAGCTTTCACCGATTAGATTCCAGCATCATTTTATGCGTGGTATCAAGGTTTAGTGTTTATCTGCCAAAATACACAACGGAACGCCGGCGAACAGTCGGTCCTGTCGCGTTTTGCC